CTTATTCTTTTCATTAAATACTTATTTGAACAAGTTCAGAAATATGTACTTTTAGGTACATAGTTGTTCATAATATTTTAAGTACAAATATTTAAGTGGCATTTTGGTTGCTTTTTAAAAAATATAAACTACTATATACATATAATTTTGTACACACACACATATATACCTATATAACACATATACATATAACATACTTGCTATATATATATATTATACATACATACATACGTACATATATATATATTAAGTTTTATATATATGTATATATACATTTTGAAATTACGCTACTCATTATGTATTTACGATTTTAATGTTCTTAGCAAATATATAAATGTTTTTTTTTTAATTTGTTAATATTTAAATTAAATATTTTAGAGAATTTGTATTAAAATATAACACATCTAAGCAGTTATTTTATTTGTATTTGTTTTTCACTTTAAATAAACGTAATCGATATCACTTCACCTCACTTTAAGCCACCTCTTCGTTACAAATTCACTTCACATAACATTAATCAACTCACTGAATCTTTGGGTAAACTTTCATTTTAAACTTAGCTGAGGATAATGTAGAAGAAAAAATGGAGGGTCTTTATTTTGTAAAAAGTGTTAGATATTTTTCTAAAGTACTGTAATATATAAGTAATATGTAATTATTAACTATACAACTCTTTTACAAGTTTATTGTTTGTTCTAGAAATCTAAGCTTTGCTTTAAGTCTTTGTATTTGGTGTAAATGGTGTATTAAAAGTAAAAACAAAAGGTTTTAGGTGTGGTGAGCTTTAATATTGTTGTTTGTGATGTAAATGATGTAAAATATTGATGTAATCAAGTAACGATTACTTAGGTGTGGTAAGCTTTTCAAAAAATGGCTTATGTGTAAGATATAAATGGTAAGGAATGTGTACTTGCTGTGTTGATCAAGTTGCCTGCCTGATGCGTTATTCGATGTAAGCTATATGATCTTGCATCGTAATTATAAGAGCTTCGATGGAGTTTTGTAATTTAAAAATAACTAAAACAATTGCACGATTTGTGCACTACTGTACAAAAAATTCTTTAATATTAAATGATTGATTTATGGGCTACAGGTCATACATATTTTTGTAAATAAATTAGCTTAAAATCTAAGAAGAGTTTTAAACGTGTAATGTGTGTTGAATTTAGGCTGTGTTCGCTAGTTGGATACCAGAAATCACAGAACTGGCTGCCCAAAGAAGCAAATATGGTGGAACATATAGCAAGGATCCTAGAAAAAGGTACACACCCTCTGCGTTGTACCTCCACACATGAAACTATCAAAATTTAAAATATAAACTAAAATATCTGTTTCATTTTTATTTTTTTATTTTAAATTTTTTATTTAATTTATTTTTGACATTAGCTTTCATTACTAATAAGAAATTTATTTTAATCTTATATATTTAATATAGAGAAACATTTAAAAATCAACAAAATATTATGTTATACTTTTGTTATACATTATACAGTTTTTAACAAAAATAAAATAGCTTTTAATATTTAATATTATTTATAAATTATTTTCGTTTGTGTTTAATTTGTTTAACGTATGAATTTGCATATTCAAACATTTGATTTTTTCTCTGCATTTATCACTGTGCACTCCGAAATAAGAAAATGTACAACTTTAATGAAAAAAGAGGTTCAATTGATGAATCCATAACCTCTATTCTCATGTGTCATTAAATTTAATTTCATGAACAAAAATGCTTAAAAGTTATTTTAAATATTACACAAATTAAGTTTTAATCAAATAATTATAATTATTTTTAATTGGTTCTTTCAAAATTTTGTGCGTTAAGTTCTGTGCAAATAAATTGATCAAAAAGGCATTGGTTTCTTGGCGGCATGTGTCTATGTTTAGCTTCAAAAATATAAAATAAATAAAGAAAAAGTATTTTTAACAAACAAAAAATATGATTCCAGTTAGCGACCAAACTAAAAAGCATTAATTTGCCAGGAATTAAAACTAAATTTATATTTTATAACAATCATTGGTGTCTATGTATTTCGAATCCTTCTGTAAATTGTTTATTGCGATTTTTCTCAACTTGATCTCAAATAACAAATTACTAAAATTTATTTTATATTCTTTCATTCATTTTACTTTGATATTAAATTGCTAAATTAATTAAGTATATAAATTATGATCAAGTGCTGTTCAAAATATTTTATACAATACTCGATACTCTTACATAGTATATATCGTTAACTCTCAAAACTTTTACATAAGGTATGTAGTGTTTTGTTTTTGTTTAATTATTCTGTTAATAACATATTTAAAGTTTTTCAAAAGAACATAAACATTTGCAAAAATGAAAATAATTAAAAGACAAAACTGCATGTTTACATAGTAGTTTCTTTCATTAAATAATCATATATCATTATTATTCATGATTACATATAGAGATTATATCGAAATAAATTAATTTTAAATATGTTTTTTTAACAAAAGTATAAGCTCTTCTGTGGCTATGAATTATTTATATACTAATGATGGAACTATGTAAAAAGAAATAATATTTGAAAAAACTATATTATTGCTTTAGACATATGCATATGCATATGCTTAAATATGCATATATATATATAATATTCTGGCATTAGTAATTAAAACTAATTTAATGAATATATACAAATCAGCTTTTTTATATTTTGCAGTTTCAAAATTATGTAAATTAAAAATAATGTAAATTTACAGAAGTATTTGACTATATAATCGTTCAGCAAAAATTAAATTTATAAGCATAATTTAAATAAATTTTATAAAACTACATGTAATCACAGAAATCGATGTATTTTTGAGGCCAAAAATTATTGAGTTTTCTACTAGAATGTTAATTAAAAACAGAAATTAATTTGATTAATTATTAATTTGTTTGAAAAGAAAATTCTCAAAGCGAGCAAATATAAGACACACAAGAAATTTATTTATTATCACATCAAAATAAATATATTAAAATTTCTTAAATGTCTTTTAAATTTTCGTTTTTTATTTAAATATCGTCCACTTTATGAGCACAAAACTTTAATTTGGACACTAAAATCATTTCCTATTTAATAAAGTAAATCAATTACACGGAATCCAAAGTAATTTCTTAAAATGTTTTTAATAAAATTTAATTTGAATATAAAGTCTTATATCAAACGTTTGATTTAATGCAGTTTTACACTATTCGCTCTCATACTTTTTTATATTAATTAAACATATTATATATTATTAATTTATTTTTAAATTAAATTTAAATGTTTTAGCGTTTCTTATTAGAAAATTAATAAATTTCGCTTGTATTTTTTATTTTGAAATTATATTGTTTCTTTTAAATAAATTAATATTAAGAATTTAGTTAAAGTTACAGAATTCATGAGTTTTTTAAAATGTAGTTAAAATTGTTACAGAAATATTATAAAAGTTCAAATAATAATTTTACAATTACGATTTTAAAATTTTGTTAAAGTTTTTATTGCTTGCACTGCCTTTACGTATGCCGCAGCCACGCATTAAAATTAAAATTTGAGAGTGTATACTGCTTAATATATCCGTATCGAAACTTAAGAATAAACAAACAGACATCATACAAAATTTTAATAAATTCATATTACTTTACAATTCATAAAACATTTTACTTTAATATCCCTGCCAACTACAATTCGCCATCAAAATCAAAATCAAATCAATACCAATGCTATCGCCCTTACCTTCAAACTCTATATTAAAACAACAGAAATAGTCTTATTAGTATAATTAATATTAAAGTAAATATTCTTTCATGTAGAATAATTAATCTGAAATGCAAGTTTGACTTTCTAGAAGTAACATAATTGTAAGTTATAAACAATTTTTCAAATATAAATATTAATATCATTTTGTATTCTTTAGATTTAAGTTTCATGGCACACTAAAAGAAGTTATTTGACACAAACCAAATTTATATATATTTATAAATATATTTGTTTTTATTTTTATCTGTATAGACATTTTTTGAGATTCAACTGACTAGCACATCTATAATATGTGTATTTTCTTAAAAATTAGTTGGTACTTACTAAAACACCGTCTCCCAAGAAATCGAAGCCTTTTTGCAAAATGTAGAATCATTTAAAACTCTAACTTTATTAGTGTTTAGAAATATTTACAAAATTAAATTTCTTAATGTATAAAGAGATTATAATTAACATAAAAAACAAGAAAATTAAACTTAATTTGTCACTTCATAACATTGTGTGAAAGTGTCGGTTGTTTATGTATATACTTTATCTATAAAACTATTTATTAATTAGCTTTTTTATTAATTGTGCTTTATTTTATTAATTTTTGTTTCTATAATATATTACTGTTGGACTTATATTTATGACTAAGGAGCGATTAAGGCCCCGTTCGCATTTCCATTTAATGAAAACAAATATATTATATTATATATATATATATATATATATATATATATATATGTGTGTATATATATATATATATACATATATAATATATATATATATATATATATATATATATATATATATATATGCATATACATTATATATAAAATAATTCAGTTCATTTTATTATCATTTATATTACAAATTTGTGAAACATACTTTTTATATATAGGTGAGTAAACAGAACTATAGTGGTTAATATGAAACGGAGCCTTAATCAAATTTTAACGAAAAAATGTTTATTCTTTTTTAAATATCGTTAGGTCATCACCAAGAACAAAATAACCAATAAACGAGTCTTAACCAAATTTATATTATTGGCATTACAATTTAAACGAAAATATAGGTGTAAGCTTCATAACTCTTTCAATGTTTTTCAGTATCTACGCAAAAGTCAAAAAATTACATTATAGTATATCTGAAATTCTTACTATAACCAAGTATAAAATGTTTTTAATTCCGAAATTTTTAAATTGATTTGAATTGAATTTTAAAATTATACGCATACTTCTTCACTATCATTTCTCATATCTAATAAAACAGGCGATATTTGCAAGTTGTATACCTGAGATTATAGACTTGATTGGAACAAGAGCTAAATATGGGGGCACATTAAAAAATGAGAAGGGTCGAAGGTGAGATTTTAAAATTATCAATCAAACATGAAAAAATCGTACCATAATTAGATATTTAGTTTAATAATTGTTAAAATTGTTTTATTTTAAAATAATGTTACTACAAAACCAACAACAAATATTTTAAACAGCTTTTAAGTATCTTTAATTTTTTTTGTTAAATAAAAATAAAATACGTTTTGAAATAAATAAACACCAAATCAAAATGAAATTTCTGCGTACCCTCAAAGTTATATTTTAATTGAATTTATTTTTACAAAAGAATTTTTAATTATATTTATTTGCGGCTCATTCATTAAACACATAATAATTAATTTAATAAGAAATCTTTTGTGTTGCTCTTTACCATTAGCGAGCATAATAATTTAAATAATTTAATTTCTTTTATTAAATTGAGAGTTGATGAAAGTTATTCGAGGTGAGAGATATATATCAATAATAAATAAATGGATGTTTTTTATATTGATTCATTTTAAAAAAAGGATACTTATGAGTTCAAAACTCGATTGACTCAATTAGATATTAGTACATGTAAATTACAATTCGTACCTATAATTATAACTGTAACTGTAACTGTAACTGTAACTGTAACTGTAACTGTAACTGTAACTGTAACTGTAACTGTAACTGTAACTGTAACTGTAACTGTAACTGTAACTGTAACTGTAACTGTAACTGTAACTGTAACTGTAACTGTAACTGTAACTGTAACTGTAACTGTAACTGTAACTGTAACTGTAACTGTAACTGTAACTGTAACTGTAACTGTTACTGTAACTGTAACTGTAACTGTAACTGTAACTGTAACTGTAACTGTAACTGTAACTGTAACTGTAACTGTAACTGTAACTGTAACTGTAACTTTAAATGTAACTGCAATGAACCTTAAACTCTTGAACTCTCTCATCATAAATGTTTATTTATCACATTAGATATCTAAAAATATACTACAGAAATGTTGATTTCCTAAATTTAATTTTTCCAACATTAAACAATTGATCTCTGGTAGAAAGTTCAGTTTTTGAAAACTGTAATATCCTTTTTTTTTAATTTCTAAATAGGTATTGGTATAGAGCAACAAAAGTATAATATTTCATTTAATTTTATAAACCCCAATATTTCTACATAATAAAAATGATGAAATTTTAATTTGGTTTATTTATTTTATATTACTAACAATAACAAAGACTTAGTTTACATCATGAATTATTTTGGGTGTTAAGCATATTAACATAAAAATATCAATATTTTCTTATATAAAATTAGTAACAGTTTTTTTTTTTGAAAAATTGAGAAAATATTGTTTTAATTTGTTCAAAGCATTAATCCCACATATCTCATCATTATTAATTTTGTTAATTAACATTCTTCGGTTCCTCATAATCTTGACATACAATACAAATATTCGTATAAAATAAGATATACAAATTGATTCAATAATAACTAATTCGCTGATTTCATAGTCAAAAAAATTATTACAAAATGACAATATATTGAAAATAAAATTTCTAAATATTTTTATTAAAATATTTTTAAATTTATGATTTTACTAAATGCAATCATGAACCTCATTCATAAACATATATACATATACAATTTTATGTTTTAATTTCTAAGATTACAATTAAGTTTTATGTTAAGTTTTTGTTACTGTAATGTTACTCATATGCCTATTCTATTAACCAAAGTAAATTATCGTAATTTTATTTTTCAAGCAATTTTAAATTTAAAAAGAAAAATCATATAAACTCATGTTGCACGCTTCGTGTTGTGTTTTATTTAAAGTAAATTATTGATATTAATAACATAACTAAAATACTGTAATTCTGTCTGACTGTCTCTCTTTCTCTCTCTCTCTCTCTCTCTCTGTCTCTCTGTATGTGTCCTTAAGATCGAATGTATTTGCTGATTGGTGTTTATTTTGTTTTTTTTATGTGAAGTAATTGTACTTGTAAACGTAATCAATAGAGATTCTTGTAATTTAAACATTTTGAATTTATTAAAGTTTATTAAATTAAAGTTTTTTATGTTGATTTCTTTGTTCAAATGCAGTATATTTGTATGTACTAATATTATTTTTAAAATTAAGTTGCTGTTTTGCTTTATATAACTTACGAACGTTGTTAGCTGTTCTTTATATCTTGAGAAGTACAAAAACAGATAGGAGTTTTATGAACGGTCACGTAGGCCTGATTGCTTAAATACTAAAAAAAATTTGTTAAACAACATCTTATTTTGATAAATTCATAAAACGAAGTTCGTACAAAAAATTGACCAAATAGTTTAAATGACTCAGATACAAGTGAGTTACAGAATTAGCATAATTATAGTACTGGAATTCAATGAGGAGGCAATAATCAATATGAAAGTTGTACAAACATTTGGTTAAAATATTTCTGAATGTTGAAATATTAATTTCGATCGTGTTCATATTAGGAGTCCTTTATGAAATTTTATCCATTTTAATAAATTTTCAGATATTGTTTACATACTTATAAAATTTTTAATTTTTTAAATTTTGTATTAATAGGAACAAACTCTTAAGTTTAATTACTCTGTAGTGTCAACAAAAAGATTTTGTAAATTTAAACTACAGAATTTATTAATGCTTCTTAATTGGATTATGTTGTATCACAAAACATTTATTTTAAATTTATTGTATGAAAAATGCATTTATGTAATTTCAATACAATACTTCAATATAATAATAGCGTAGAGTTATTATTAATATTACACAAAATATAAATTTACAGAAATTCATGAGTATAAAGCGGTACTCATTCATGAAACCAATAATTTCTCATTATATTGTCCACATAGGACAGTATCCTGCATCAACTAGTACTTAATAGGCAATGAATTGCTACTTCGTAGGGATGCCTTATTAGTTAAAAAAAAATCGATACATGTAAATATTCAGAGAAAGAGACAGCAGCTAATATTCATGAAATAAATCGATTTGCTTCTTCTACATATTTTATTTGTAAACTCATGTTTTAAAAAACCTTACATATTAAATTTATATTTGAAATTGTTTTAAATAACTTCTTAGTTAATTGTATGTGTATGTGTGTCAGTAAATTAATTAAAAAACGAAGTAAGAACGTAATTTTTTTTGTCAGTGTTGTAGATTCTGATTATTTAATTTTGTGTAAATGTGAAACATTCATCAATTGTTTCTCTTTATCATTACATTTGAATAATTTAAATTTTTATTTAATAATTTTAATTTAAATATATATTTTTTAAATTTAATTTAATTTATTTAAGCAGTTATCGAACTAGATCATTTGTTAGTTTATTTTTAAAATTATTTAACTATACAAAAATGAATATTGTTCATTGAAAATACAAAAATATAAATATTTCGTTTAATTAAATAAAATTTTTTGTAAAGTATATGATCAACATCATTGAATATCATTAAGTAGAAGTCGAATTTAATTTAAATACTTAAATTATTAATAATATTTTTATTTAGGTTAACAATCAAATTAATTACATATCACATAAGAGTATATATTAATAAAAAAAATTGTGTGTGGATTCCCTTAAGGATGTAAAAAAGTTTAAAATATAGATTAAAAGTTACTAAATAATCCTTCGCAGTAGGATATTGTCGAAAAGAAAATACTTTCGGGCGCAGTTCGTCATGACAACCACCTTATGCACCACGTACAATAAAAATATATTGTAATTAGCAGTAAAATACACTGTAAAGCAGTAAGAGTTTATTTAAAGCACATTTGTGAAGGATATTCTATATTTATGTCTATTGTTTTTGTAATTAGCATACAATATATAAAAAAACCACCAATCATAAGTTTACGTAATTCATTTTAAATTCAATACATGACTTAGATACGTAATTGGATTAAAATGAAACATTCACTATGTACTACTTATATACATTTAAAACGAACAACTTTTTATGTTAATTGATTACTACTTTTCCACCTAAAATTTTGATTTTACCTACATATTATATTCATACTGTTTGAAACCTTTTTTGAACCTCAGTATTCATGTATTATCACAGTATTGACATTCATGAACCTATACTCGATCCTTATGCTCCTTTAAATTAATTTACCTTTAATTTTAAAAGTACAAAATCATGTCTGTAAATATTGTATATTGTAATATTTTTAGAATGAAAACTTGTAAAAATCTTAAAAATATCTATAGATATTTTATACATTAAACAAAATGCGTGGCAGGGCATTTTAATTCATACTTCTTAGTATTTAATAAAAAAATGACTAAAAAATTTGCTTACACCTCTACACATTTTGATTGATTATTTGGTAATTTTAGTAAAATTTAAAATAACAAAATATTTTATATTGCAACATATTGAACCAAAATTACTGCAAAATTCGTAAATGAATTAAATAAATACACTCACATTAGACAAAATTCCACTTGAAATCAAGAAATTTATTGAAATTGATTGTAAATACGAAATTTAGTTAGTTTAATGTGTATACAAATGAAAGATTCACTTTAAAAGATATTTGAAATTTTGCATCTGTTTGACTACTAATTAGGCATTCAATAAAAAGAAATCATACACATTATTACAATTAAAATTATGTGAATATAATCATTATTTTTAAAATTTTTTTTAGAAACGATTATATTGTATTATATATATTAAGTAGTTAAGAAATTGTATTTATAATTTTGCAAGGTGGTATCTTAATGACACCTACGAGTCAAGAAATAAAAAACAATTTTATGTACATATGTTGTCATATCTAATTTAACAAAAAAGACACAAGAACACCATTATCTGTGCATTCAAGTTAATTAATATATGAATTGATATTATAGCAGCATATTACGATAATGAAATAAAAAGAAAAAAATATTTTTATTAGAGAAAATAAAGGAAGAAAAACTTCAATTGTGGCAACTTTTGCCGATACATATTATTAATGCAACGTATCTGTAAAATAATTCGTTTTCCTTGCAATAAGAGTTGCTCCCATTTCGGTATTTATTTAAAACAAATGATCATATTCACTTTATTGCAATATTACTTGTTATGCGAAGTCCCACAATTTTTAAATAAATATCTATTTTATAGAAAGTGAATCTTTGATTTGAAATTTGTATAGAAACAATTAAATGTATGGCTCACATCTATCATTTCCATACCTCAACTTCTCATTTGTTATTTTGTGCGATTTTATTTGAATTCGTCCACTAAACACCGTTTGTCTTTCTTAATTTTATATACTGTTTGATCACGATTTTTCCATGTTAGTAGTGAATTCATAAAATTATTCATTTTTGTCAAATAACTGGCACCAGCATGTTTAGTTATTTTTTACTCTAGAATTTAGATTTTAAAAATTAGTAGTGCATGTAAGCACAGCTGTTGGATCCTCTTACAACCAACTTAAACCAAATCATCCACCAAGGCACTTTATCTTACGGACTCGATTTATCGCCTGCAAGATCGTGAATGGAATGAGTAACATAGATAACACATAAAAAAATTGTTGTAAAAATAATGTATGTTAAATGCCTGAGTTTGTCATTTGTAAATATGTTCGTGTATCTGCATGTGAAGTAGTTTTTGCGGATTGGTAAATTTTTTATATGAGCAAACGACAGCGAATCAGACATATTGTAAATCTAAAACTTTGCTTAAATATTAATGTTATTTACGTTATTTTAAATGTTAGTAGTAAATTATCATTTTATTTAAGTTAATAATTTGTTTGTATTAAAAACTAGCAACATTTATGGGGTAGCAGACTAAAATTTGCATTTTGTTTAGTTCTATAAAACTACATTATTTTCTTATATTTATATTAAATAAATATTTTTATTTGAACTCAATTTGCAAAAATATAATTTTAATAAGGGTTTTATTTTAATAAAATCTAAAAACTTAGCTTACTTACTTACTAAATACTTTTAAATAAAGTAAATATTTACTATGCACAAATACATACATACACACATACGTACATACAAACTACAAAATATACATAAGAAAACTTTTTGAGAAAATAAAAAAAACATTGCTAAGGTAAACTTATCAAATGTAAATTCATGTAAACTTATTTGTAACTAAACCTAGAAGTAAAAATCATATACGCTAAAAACTAATACACGAAAGATACATAACATATAAGGCCACTCTTTTTAAACATTTTATGCATTTTTTATTGTATAAAATTTGCATTTTGCATTCATTATCCATTATACACAAATTATTACTTAAAACGCTTAAAAATAATTTTTCTTTTCCTTAATGTTTATACATAAATGTACTCATTTGCATTATATATATATATATATATATTTATATATTTTATTAATCGATGAAAATGTATTTTTTAAAAAACAATACAACTTGAAATGTTATTAAATCAAAGAAATTTTTTATCTTCACTTCCGCTACATATGAACAATAAATGAAATCGATTAATAAATGTGAACAACAAACAACAACAACAACACGAATTGATTGGAATCCATCCAATGTTATTCGATTGGCTATTGAAAAACTAATTGGTCTTCACTCTGCGCTCATCCTGCCGCTTCTGACGTACTAGACACATTGTGGTGTGCGGTCATATAACGTATGAGTCGGTATCGCATTTCCTCAAGGATTTCTTGCATGAGGACAGAGAAGATGTGGACGTGGAAGTTGTGTTTTTACATCGGTGAGCTTACATTCTTTTTATACTTGTCTATAATATAATCTATTTAAATGTCTTGTACGCTTGTATATATATTAATATATTATTAAGAAATACTAGAAACTACAATATATTTCAAATATGTAATTAAGTATGTTCACTTTTACAGTATATAGTTTTGTATGAATATTTCATTTTTTTTCTTATTTTATTAAAGAATTTATTAATTTTGGTCTAAGTGAATAACTAATATATTTTTCTGAATTATCCTGAATTATATTATGATACCATTTCCATTAATTATGTATACACTTTAATTTCAGAGTTCCCTATACAGGATGTGAATTAAATATATGATCAATTTAGTAATGTTTTAATAGTTCTGTTCCACAACCACTTAATTAGTTTACGTTTACATATAATGGAAATTTGATTTTTACTGTTATAACTTACATTAGTAAAACTGAGAAATAAGTCGAACAGTTTTTTGAGTGATTTTAATTTTATATAAAATTTTTAAAGGATAACTACTAATACATTGACATCTCTTAAAAAAAATTTTCGAGATAATTATATGCTATAGAAACACAAAAAGCATGGAACTATAGATTGGTGTGTATAAAAAAATTTCAGCTAAACCCAAAAAAAAAAGAATTAAACAAATTGCGAGCATGAGCATAGCCAAGGGAAGCAGCGATCCCTTGAAAGTATGCTTGGCTCAAGATTTTACACGTGTGAATAACCGCTCTTTCCGTATATGGTCTTGAGCGTGCTTATTTGAACTTCATTTAAGTGTAATAAGATTTTTTTTATATGGAAACATTTTCCCTTGCTCTCCATCCATACATCGCATGCAGACTATGATCACGATAACGAATATCTTCATTGGTTTGAAATTACAAAATATAGGTTCAGTTGGTATCTAATTCTTCGTATTTTCGTTATTTATATGCTACTACATTAGCCATGTCGTTATCATACGAAAAACTTTATTTCTACAGAAATCCACACAATTTCAACAAAATGGAATCAAATATCTGTTTGATTCCACGTCAAACAGATAAGCACCCCACTTATCTCATAAATAGAATAGAAAGTTGCATCAGCTCAACTTTTCCTGCTACCACTGAGTTGGGGTGATGATTGATACATGTAGCGAATTTAGGTTTTTTAACTACTTCGCTGGTCCATTACACATACACAATTGAAGTAGTTCATTCCACGCAAACCTTATTCATGTTTTAACCAATTGATAAAAAATAGAAATATATTTTTAACTAAAATTATGACAATAGTTTTAATTTTAAAATTATATTTTATGCGTACTAAGATAAAAACTTTTCAGCTTACTTAACAAATATTCCACATATTTTGCACTTTATAATTACATAAATATTTAAGTTTAAGTTTATTTATGCTAGTCAAGTATAGTACATTAATTGTATATAGTATAAATTGTCAATAAGCGCTAAAAAATCAATGTAAATTAAATACTGAAATTCATTAAAAATCGTTTGTACCGATGCGTCTTTGCACGTCTAGTAAGGAGCCTGATCTGGAGCTAGAAGGACTGCTGAAGCGCCACTATACGACAGTGGCGTTTTTTCAGGGCACCATGATGAATGCTGTAGACTTGGAACGAGTGAAGGTACAAAAACAAAATTACACTGAAATTAATCAAAAATCAAGAGTCAAAATTCCTCATATTAACTCGAACAACTTCTGACGCGGCAAACGTGATTCAAGCATTCGAAACAAATTTCATCAATAGTTAGAGAAAATTACAAGAAAAACTGAACGAGAATATTAATAAAAAAAATTATTGTATAAAAATTCAAAACAAAAACCAATTTTTTATTACAAGGCGAATTTAATATTATCGTTTGTGCCTATAATTTTTCTAATATTCAGTTTGAATTTTTAGTTCAACTCCATTGGCTCAAAATGATACACCTCATTTTAAAAGAATGTCCTGTCTTTGTTAATTATGTTTAATTACGGGTATTATCTACATTTTATTTTCTTGGACAAATTCTCAAACATTAACAATTATATAATTAAACTTTCTGCAATCAAAATGCAACTTAAGAAATAATCATTTATTTTTATCAATTATTAAAACTTTTTATTTAACTCTGCTTTCAGTTTAGTTATTATTTTTATTAAATGCTTTAATACCGGAATGACATTATTTTCCCCAAAGTATTTTATATTGTTTGAATAATTAAATCTTTTAAATTGTTGAAAGTTTTTTATTACTAAGTATATATAATTTACAGGCAAACGTTTACTATTTTCTATTTAAGCAGTAGTTCAAGTGTTAAAACTTTTTTACTATATTTTTTAATATGCGGTATTATATATTTCATATAAAAATATATTTTTGTATATTTTAGATAGTTTTCAACTTTTTAATATTTTTGTAGTTTTCTTTCAATAGCTAAATAAATAATTTTTTTTTTGTTATGAATAAAATGCTTTTCTTTCCTCTTAAAAATAAGTAATTGAAACTATATTTTGTATATACTTTTTACCAATTAAGCGAAAGTTGTGCACAATCTACGTCTATTTTGCATTCTCACATCGTTTAACTATTTTTCTAGATACTCATAAATATTAATTATGTAAATTATCTAAGAAATTAAACTTAAGTTACGATATTTATATAATATATTTAAAGCAAGCCGATGATAATGTATTCTTGTTCTTATGCATCCTTCTGACAATTCGGAGATAAATTTTTGTTGGTGTCGAGCAGCTCAAAACAAAAATTTTAGTCGACAATATATTGAAATCCTCTTGTGATAATTATATGAAAGTTTTCATATATTAAGATAATATTAAAATTTTTCAAAATGTGTTTAAATAAAACTCAAGATAATTTTTTAAACATTTTATAAATTCCCCATCCAATCATTGATATTCGTCGTGCTGTTGGCACATATTTTATACAGTAGTTTATATTTAATATATATCACAGTGTTGAATTGCTATTTTTTATTGCTCTCTATGTAATTGAAGGTGTTCCCTTCTTTTAATGTGCTTCTTCGTCACAATTTTAGTCATTTATGTTAATTTATATTTGTTCATAGTACTGTATATTTTAATAATAATTTAAAGTATGATTTATCAAAGAAAATAACAAAGTTACTGACACTACAATTGTGCATTCCCATAATTTATCCCTTGATACTTAATAGTAATGGCATTTTAAATATTAAAGTACATTCAAATGTATTATCTTGTATTACCTCTTTCACGTGAACAATACTTATTAGAACTACTATTGAAGGAAAATTCAAAAGATGAGTTTGATATCTTCGCTACATTCCAGTGGCAATTTAATAAAGTTTTCCTACAAATCAACGTCTTATACTGCATACGATTACCAACACATTAAACAAAACTTCTTTAACCTCGACAGTCTAGTGGATTGCAGCTAATTAAGCTGAACTATTTCTTCCATATATTATAATACTTAGTTTTAAATTTAGTTATAATCTTGCAAAGTTATAAAATCAATCGTAGGCTATACAAATTCAAATAAGTAGAATATTATACCTATTATAAAAATAATTTTCTTAATTTTATTTATTAGTACTCTATAATTAGGTATATTTAAATCAATGTATATAATCGAACAAATATTTAATTGTATATAGATATTTATTATATTAACTGTATACATGTACTTTACTTAAGTTCAACAAATTTGTGCAAAATTTGATTTTCCCGGTATACATCTTAACCACAATTTTTTCTATGAATACTATACGATACATTATTTTCCTAAATTTAAAAGTAAACCACCCGATTTGGAACTAGAAGGTTTATTCAAGCGCCATTTTACCACGGTGGAATTCTTCCAAGGCACTATTATGAATCCGATTGATCTACAAAGGGTTAAGGTAACAATTGTGTTTTTTTGTGATTACTTAATTGGTTAATTTTGTTGTTGTTGTTATCATTTAATATGATTTGTTGATAATTTTAACAAATAACATGTAAATTTATGTTTGATATTTTTATATTTTTGATTTATTATATTATCGGTGTATTTTTATCTAAATGTACTTATTAATCTTTTATTCTAATCTGTCTACATAACTTACTCATTACATACAGTAATCCTTTATGTAAACTAACTATCAAGCTGAACTTTATATTGTACCGTTAACTATATCCTGAAACACATATGTTAACAATGACATTAATAATAACAATTATATTCTTCTCTATAATACTACTTGATATATTATTATAACAACAACATGCTTACTTTTTCCGAATTATTTTCTTTAATATTCTAATAAAAATGCAACATATACAATTCAATAGAATATATTTAATAATGACGAAAATGTTTTCAAGCATCTAGCTACATAAAAGATATATTTTTATTTCCTTATTTTTAATTTGAAAAAAAATTATTACATGTACAAAAATATGTGTAGTCTTAACACGTACTTATAACTAAATGGATGCTTCCATTATCCGATTGTTTATTGGCTGAAAATGATTGGAGTGGTGTCATTTGATATGTTGAACATCATCCTATCACAAATAAGCATTATAAACCATATTCAATGTATTTTAAGTATGTAAATGTTATTGATGTAACTTTAAGTATATAATTTAAGCAATAAATCTCAAAATAAATAGTTTATGTGCAGTTGAAACACATTTTAAAATTCTATAACGATAAATGCTAGAACTCGTTATACTGATTGCCAATAAATTAGCTCACTTTAAATAGTTATTATCTTATTAAGTATTATGCTATTATTAGTTCGATAAACTATTGTTAATTTATATTAAATTTATGTAATTAAAATATAATTAACCACACTTGTTTTTGCCCATATGATTTAAATAATACATACATATATAATACATATATCCAAATATGATCAAATGATCAATATTACTGAACGAAAATATGTATATAATCGTATAAGCCAAGTGTGATTGGTCAGTTAGACATCTTTAATTTATAATGTATATGAAAATATACAGAATTGAAAGATTTAGGAAATTTAAAAAATTTCTTACCGCGAAATGTTCAAAATTTTTGTATTCAAAGAATTTTAAAAAGCAACAATAAGTATAAAATACTCATTTTAAATTAAATTTATGACTATTTTAATAAACATTTGATACAGTTTTAACTGGACATCAATTTTTAAAGTTTTCCAAACGGATTAATATCTTTTGTATGATAAAATAATATTTATAGTGAGAAATCATATTACCAATCCTAAAATCCTAAAAATTTAACATCAACATGCCCAGTAATACATGAATTTTTAAACAATTAGTGTGTTAGTATACATTAACGCTAACATAAATAGCACCTAAAAAGTGCAGCAATAAGTCGCATTTTTCACACAATATCCATACAAAATCTATACAAAATCCACAAAAAAAGATGTTAATGAGTTTAGGTAATAGTAGGTGTTAACATTTAAAAAAAAAAAATTGTTTTAAAAGTTCCAATTTTCATGTCTAGTTCTTGTTCAAATAAATAGAGAGGTGTATTGGATTTAAATATTACCCGTATTTTTGGTTATTTTAAATGTTTTGGAAAACTATATTATTATTATTATTATTATTAAATTCATGACTTCAATACTGATCTATATCAAAAGATGTTTTAAAATAATAATTAATATATATATATATATATGTAAAAGTACAAATATACTTAAAATATTTGTATGTTAATATAATTGTATTAAGTGCATGATATTTCAATAATTGCTTTGATTTTGCTATAAACTACAAATTTGCATGTATTTAATAGGAATATTATATTTTATTTTGTTGCGTTTACATTCATATATGTATTGTAGAATATATTTAAGCAATGACTAATACATGCTTTTTAATACCTAATATTGAAATTTTCTAACAATTCTTCATTAAAACTTATTTTAATGATATTCATTCAATATTACTTTTTCATCTGCTAGAAGAGAGTTCATGTCTTGAGGCTTGAGAAATTTATTTTGGTGATAATTTCAATAGATATTTTATAGTCGATTTTTTTTCGAAATAAAACTCAAGTACTAGAATGTAAGGCACATGGAAATAACCGAAATCGAGTAAAAATTCGTTATGATCAATACCCGTACTTGATAATTAATATCCTCTTTGTAGTTTTTACGTTATGAGTTCATTATGCACTGCAATCTTTTTCATATTAGTTTAGATCTCTTTTAAGATCTCTATAATGATCTCTGAAGTCTCTGATAGTGTATATAAAAATAAATTATTGATGACACATTATATTAATGAGTATTCAATAAATATATTGAATGAATCAATGTTAATAATGCGCTATGATTTGTGTTTTCTGTTTATGTTTATTGCTATGAACTTAAGTACTTAAATGATCAGAATTAGCATATATTAGTTATATATATATATTAGTTTTATAGTTAAGTACATATAAATAGAATACTTAAAAAAATTTTGAAAGTTCAGATATAATTCAAAACTTCATTCTTTAGGAATTCAATTAAATGTATCTACAATAAGATGTTTTTTCTATTGAATGTTTTTACTTGCATTAAATTTATGACTATATGTTAAACCTTTAAAAGGAAATTGCATGCAAATGCTTCTTTTTCTATTGTAACTTTGTTGATATGTAACAGTATTTTGCTTGGTGCTATCTTGCTTTTTTTCACAAACCGCTATTCTTTTATTTCGTGCCGTTATTCAATATTAATAGTTTATGATTAATTTTTTATTTTTTATTTGCTTTAAAATTATTCTATATAATTTTTCTAAGAAAACATTCTGAGCGAAATTTTTAAACATATTTCTGCCACTTGATTAAAAAAATTTCATGCTTTGAATTTTGCTTTCGAACCCCTTTTCGCCAATGTTGCATAATATCAGTTTCAATAATTGTTGAATTCATTATTCGTATAAATTAACTCAAATCTTATACTAAAAAAAATTGTTTTTCAATAATTATATAATTAAATTTAAATGTACAGTGTACACGCCAAAAATGAAATTAGAAGCAGAAGATACATTTAAACCACTATTCACTACATTCACTAACATATTTAAAAAATACATTTAATTACCTGAAACTTTGTTTGCTACAATAACACAAACGAAATCAAACCTGAATAAAACCTGAATAAAACTAGCTTACAGCAATTATATTTTTAATTACTAATCATTTTGTATCTACAATAAAGGTACATGAAGCTGATGCCTGTTTGGTGCTAGCTAATAAATATTGCCAAGATCCCGACGCTGAAGATGCTGCCAATATTATGAGAGTAATTTCAATCAAAAACTATAGCGACGATATACGTGTTATAATACAGCTTATGCAGTATCATAATAAGGTAATCTATCATTTCGACTAATATCAAAAAGGCTGCAGAAATTGTGTTCTGTTGCTTGCAGGCATATTTGCTAAACATTCCCTCGTGGGACTGGAAGCAGGGAGATGATGTGATTTGTTTGGCGGAACTGAAACTAGGATTTATTGCACAGAGCTGCTTAGCACCTGGGTTCTCAACGATGATGGCCAATTTATTTGCTATGCGTTCTTTTAAAACTGTAAGTTTAAATTACATTTTTATTTTAATAAAATATGTATTGCAAACAGCAGCTATACTATGAATAATAATACACTAAAGGCAATAATGAAACCTGGTCGTATTCAATATTAAGGAAAGTTAATGGTACAGACGATGACCGACACATCTAAGAATTTATAAAGATTTTAAAATTTCGATTTTCTTCATTTTTTATAATATCGTTTCATTGAACATTTTTTTAAAGAAATAAATGAAAATGCCAAAAAATTTCCCCTCACTTATATAGTCACCAGACATGCAGTCTTGGACAAATGATTATCTACGCGGTACTGGCATGGAAATGTATACCGAGACATTGAGTCCAACATTTATTGGAATACCATTTGCTCAGGCTACTGAGTAAGTTCGTCTCCAACTGTAAAGGACACGTTGTACACACATCAACATATAAACATAAATCTCACATATTCACACAAACACTTGCATACAAAAGCCGTAATGTTGAAATTACTGTTATTTTTGACTCTTGGTGTAACTATAATTTTTTCTTATTGGTGTAAATTTTCATTTGTCAGTTACAAAACCACACAATTACACTACAAGAGAAAAGTTTAATGTTCTTGCTAAAAAAAATATTAAATATAAATTTTTATTTGATTTTAATTTATTTGGAAAATTTTTCAATGTTAATTGTAACGTGCCTTCGATGTTGTAAAACAAAAATGTATGTTTTAATATTTAGATATGCAAAAATACACAAACTTCACTTTAACCTATAAATATTGACATAATAATAAAAAAATTAAAATTCAGTATAATACTCTTATAGTACTCTTATAATAATTTATAATATAAAAATTGTGCTACGTTACATACGTACAATTCTTTTTTATATTGTTTTGAAACAAAGACAAAGTAATACCGAACACTAAAGTGCTAATCAAAAGGAATAAGTACGACTGACATATCCTTCGTTATTTCAAATATTACGTATTTTTAATCTGTACTTATATTTTGAACATTTTCCTACATTCTATTCTATTCTATTTCTGTACACTACGGCTGCTGAGAGAATGTTACTTTTTCTACTGTACATATAAAGGAAGAAAACAACTTATTCGTGTTATCGTTGTTAATTTTATTATTGTTGTTATTTTGAGGTTTAACACTCTATATTGCGATATTTTCGGTTTCAAACATGCCTAGGCATTAAAATTTCGAAATGCCAGAAAGACTATATATATTCCTATATATAGGAATATATATTTTCTATTAGAGATATTTTAGAGGCAGCACTTATTTAACTTTAGCAAATTTAAAGGACCTCTAGTCATTTTGATTCAATTTTATTATTTATATTTATCTTTTTAATTTAATTTTTCACACAAATAAAAAAATTTCTGTTATTGACTTAGCACAATATTAATTTAACTGATATAACATATTTGGTTTATGCGACTCCAAGACTATGAAAAAAGGATAAAAATATTCCAGGTGTTCTGAAAAATTTCATTTCTGATTTCTGAATTTCAACACTGATTATTTTGTTTGAATTATAAAATATTACATATGTTTTAAAAAAAGTTTATGATTCTTTTCAGACACTGATTGTGTCAGTGACCTCACTCGTTCAATAGTAGACAATTTAATCAGTTTAATCAATTTAATAAGGCAAACATTAAAAAATAATCTCTTACAAAACACCACACAAAACATTTCTCACAATTCATTTCACATATCAACGTGTTAAATATTAGGCAATTGTTAAGTTAAAAGCTAAAAATGTAATTTTTGCTTTTGAGATATTTAAAGTTTATTTGAAATGATTTTTATGCTTTTAAAACTTCAATTCGGTTTTATAATTTATTTATTTTTTTTAATACCAAAGTTTTGTATGTTTGGAGGCTTTAAATTGATTGCTAGGGGACAAATGTAAAAATACTCCAGTAATATGCTCGCCATCCTTAAGCTTGAATATTAGTAATAAATTTATATAAGTAAATGAGTTTTAAGCCATTAAAAATATGTAAAAACTTGTATATACCTTCATGTATCAGGTTTTCTCACACAAATTCTTAAATATAAATTATATACAATTATTAAAATAAAAACAAATGTTAAAGAAAAACATTGTTGAAAATCGAAATTAATACTTAATTCAAAACACAATCGAACTCATTTTTAACTTTCAGTCACCAGATACTCAGGCCTGGCAAAATGATTATCTTCAAGGTACAGGGTGTGAGATGTACACTGAAACCCTTTCACCTTCATTTACCGGCATGACATTCCCACAAGCCAGCGAGTAAGACCCTCAGAGGACTTGAATTTTAATTTAAATATTAAACAAATTAACTAATACAATTTTAAAAACTTACTAGCAATTTTTTATAATTTAATCAACATACTATAAATAAAAATGCATCTGAACCTTTCCGTGTATAGAACTGTAAAAATGCATCCTATCTATATAACATTATAACAATTTGAGCATTAAATGGCATGAATATAACAATTCTTGCATCTTTAAACATTTCCTAATGTAATAGATTTTTATTAATAACACACAAAAACCTAAAATCCGATTAACGATATCCAAAATAAAAACTTTTCTGCTCTTTTCATTGCCCTAAGTCAACCTCACACAAAATCATATCCTTGCATATACAATTTTTCTTCATTACAAGATGAATAACCGCATTTCACCACACTGAAATAATTACTTTTTGTAGAAAATTCGCACAATTTCTCACCCACAAAAACCAGAAGACAACTGTTTACTAATCTATAAATATACATTTTGTACTAGATGAGTTGTACACCACATCATCTCCCGTTGTAAAAACTATTGCATGTTCCGAAATATATATTTTAAAGGAATCTTACACAATTTTTTTTAAAGAAAGTTAATCATTTTTACATTTAGAAAAACATAAAAAGCAAAACAAAGTTTGCAGTTGTGAATTGTAAATGATAACTCAATGTAGTCCGTAGAGTTAGTGGAAACACCTTGTATTGTTGGCATGCATATTCTACATGGTTTTGTTCCTGCAAAATTACTTGTATAATCATCGATTTTAATTTGCATGTTTATTTAAAACTTTTATTAATGAATTTCAAAAAGAATACACAGTTTTTGCTGCTTTGAATATTTTGAACTTAGCACAGTTGCATGTAATACGCTTCGTTTATATATATATTTTTTTTTTAATTAAATAATAGCTAAACAAACTTCAAAATGTTATTTTACAAAAATTTATTTATTCATATAAAACGATATTAAGTTTAACACACATCTATTTTACCTGCCAACTATGGTATGCTTAGGCTATGTTTTTCCAAACTGAAGTTGCTTCTTTTGGCGATTGAAATCAAAGGAGCCGAAGATGGCGGCGATAGTAAAATTTCGATTAACCCACGAGGTGCTAAAATTCAAGCGAATACACAAGGATTCTTTATAGCACAGAGCGCAGATGAAGTGAAACGGTGAGTAATATTTACTGTATTCGATTCGCCAATCCTTTACAGGCTTCCTAATAAGGCTAAGGCAGAATGTTAACTTTTAAGTAGTTCGTTTAGTAAAGATAAAATTTGTCTTACCCACATAGTTCACAAATCGAATGCTTCAATTATTATTTAGTTACAATACTTATTTATGTTTGCTTTTACTACTTTTAAGAGCATTTTAGGTACATTAATAATATAATTTATATAAATTATAACATTTTATTATTTATTTTGCAGTGCTTGGTTTTATTGCAAAGCGTGTCATGAAGATATCAAAGATGAAACACTTATTAAGAAATGCAAATGCAAAAACTGTAAGTAAATTGTTTTAATTACATTTAAACCGAATATTTAAAACTTTTTTAAATTAATTATTGATTTCGTATTTTCTTTATCCAATTTAAAAATTATAAAAATAATTAATAGATAAGTTAAGTTTAGGTATGCATAAATAATATAACAAATAAAAAGTATAGGTATTCTGTAGTGTTAAGAATTTGTTTAAATTAACAGTTTGTAACAACAAAAGTATTTTAACATACATATATATATAATTTCTTATTAAATTGTTTTTTCTAAATATTTTTATTGTTTACCTACACCATTTTGGCGTGGCCTTTACTCTACGTACTCGTATCTCTACCTACAAATTGTAACTACCTTAAACTATCAAATACAAAATTTTCAACATTTTAACATTTAATATATATATATATATGAATGTATTAAATATTACATAACCGATATGAATGATCAATAAAAAAATAATCCAAATTTTATTTAACTAAACAATTTTCTGTCAAACAGTGGCAGTTCAGCCAAGGAATAAATTTGACGATTTAGGTAAATGATAACAAACAAACACTAAAAATTATTAATTAACAGAAACAAATCATTTAAAACTAATAATATAAATAAATTTTGTTCTTATGTGTATTTTGTACCCCTCCCTTTCTTCCTTTGCATATCACGTTTGTTTCGTTAGTTTTGTTTAATAAAAAAACTTTCCTCTTCCCACACCAGAACCATGTTATCAAGCTTCACTGTTATCAAAGCTGTGAAGCATTTTTGGTTTTTTATTTTGCAGTCTTTAACAACAATATTTTCTTACCTTTAAAATAATTTTTATAAAAAAATATATACAAAAACCTAAATTGCAATTTAGTTTGATATTTAAAAGCGAACGTTTCAAGTTTTTAACGTTTTAATACAATATGTTGCGTTTCCATTTCCGTTTCAGTTTCAGTTTTCGTTTTAGTTTCAGTTTTCGTTTTGATTCGTAATTCAGTTGACGATTTTTTTTCGTTGAGTAAGCCGTGTTTAAATATTCCATTAACAACTTTTCAATAACTTTGTTCTTTAATTACTAATTTTTTAATTGAATAGTACAACAAAAATTAAAATTACTGATGATTGGTTAAAAATTATATTGTATATTATTTTAAATTAGTTACATTTATTTCAAATAGTAAATGACAATAATCTCTGGTTCCCTCTCATCCTGTGCAAACGTACTTTATTCAATTGAACTGATTTTATCTGATTTTATATAAAATTTTTTATTTATTTAAAAACAATACTTGATCTCTTTTTGAAGAGAAGTTCTTCCTGGTGGCTTAATATTAAGTTAATTTTGTAAATATGTTTGTGCGATATGCAACCCAAACCCTTTTATATATACAATAATGTTAAATTATAATTTTAAATTTAATTTGAATATTTAAACAAATAAAATAATTAATTTTTTAATATTTCTATTATTATATATAAATCTATGTTATTTATATTAGTGCCACAAATAATTACAAGAGCACATTCAGAACTAACTCTTCTTTTTGAACTTCCTATTAAGCCTTCAAAGTCATAACTAACATAAATTTGACAATTTGTTTTTAATCTGTTATTTACTTTTGTATACATATATGCACTTATTAATTTATTATACTTATTAATAAATTATTTTACAATTGTCAAGTTTATGATAAGCGTTAAACTACTTCCAAAAATTGGTTCCGGCCAATATTTTTACAGTATGTAATGAAGCCTGCGTTACTTTTTGATATGATATTTTAATATTTATATATTCAAATAATTTCACTTAATTTACACTTATCTAAAAAAACGATACAATTAATTAAATTTGTTACGTATTTAAAGGCTAAACCGGTGATTTATTAATTCAATTTTTTTTATCTTGCAACACAATTGGCTTAAACATTTTATGTAATATTATTTTTTACACTATCTTGTCGCGAAAAGTTCAAAACTAAAATTAATTGATTTTCATTTTGTCTTTTAATATATATTTTATACGTTATATCCTATGAAGAAATAAACATGATTGTAGAAAAACATTCCAGTTTCAGTTTTTTTTGCTGTCACAAATATTTTTATCTAAAATTCTGATAAAAATAGATGTTTAGCACTCCCGATACTATATTTAACCTTTTAATTTTGTTGAAATATGTTTCTAATGTTTCCATGTTGAAACATAATGACAGCTAAGTCAGGATTTAAAGGAGACGAGACATTTACATAAAACTTGCATCTACTTGCATCAAGATGGATAAATCGATAAGATGAAGTATTGAACTGTGCTCCTATTATCCACTAACTGCTTTGAACGAATTCATTTACTTATTTTTTTATAATATTAACTAGACTTGTAGTACACGTGCTATGCTGATAATCATTGGTCACAGGATAAGGGCTTTTCTCTATATATTCCCTAATATATAAAAAATATTTAAATTCCTTTCTGAACTTGCATTGTACGCACTTTAGGAATGTTTGACTTTTTTGACAGTACCATAAACCGTATTTGACCGTTAACAAGTAATTAGAAGTGATCGCATTATAAACATATAATTCGAAGCTAATCGAGGCACCAAAAAATATTTAAACTTTAATTTTAGTACTGAACTTTTTACTGAACTTAGTTATTCGTATTATAAAATAAATCACAAATTTTTTAAAATTTATTAAATTCAAAATAGAAATTACTTAAAAATGCACTTCGAATCTTGCTAAAAATGATTTTTCTTACAATCAAATTCTTTTTTTCCATTTATAAAATAAGTGCATGTGAGAGCACAAATTTATATTAGAAATATTTTCAGTTTCAATGATAAATTTTCACGATCTAATTTATTTATAAACATTTACATATAACAGTTTTAGGCCATATAATATAAAGCTGATAATTATTTAATTTATTATATGCAATTTATGTATTACACAATATAAGAATATAAAAATCGTATGCCAAATAATTTTTCGTATTATTGAATATATATAATAACATATAACATATATAATATACATAATATATTTAATAATTTTTTTTACAATATTAAAACATGTTACACAGTTTATCTGAATATATATGTTAAATATGTTCAAGAAGAGTTTCAGCGTGTTAAGGCACTTGAGGAATTTTATAACCTGCTCTTAGTTGTTTTGAAATTTACCTAATCTATCTTTTGTAAATATGTTTTGTTACTATGTAGTGACTTTATACGTATTTGAAATTAATTTTAGAGCCCAAAATGAAAATAAATCGTTATCATAGCCTCATTTGTAAATAAATTTAGGCAAAAAATAATATCAACAATAATATATAGATTTAATACAATTAGTTTCGTTCTGAAATGATTTGAAAGTTACTAAGAGATTACTGTTAGATTACTGATATATTACTGATAGTGTAATGATTTCGAAGAAATATAAAATTATTAAGTATTGTATTATCACACTCGATTAGTTTACGGTTACTTTTACATTACTCGTCAGGTAATGGTAGTGTATAAATATTGAAATTATATATAAAATCAATCACATATACGCGCATTTGCATTGGAAGCACCGACGTTGCAGCTTATAATAAATAAAAAAGGCTGTATATAATTGCATATATATTAACAACTGGAGTTCGAAATATGATATACAAATATACATTCATAAAAATATATAATATAATTGTAGTGTAATATGTAAATATGAATAATAATAATATAAAATATAATTCGTAAAATGAAATGTATTTGAAGCTTTTGTTACGGATATGAAATATGCGGATATGAAATATTTATATAAATCAAGTGTGAATTTGGAAAATGAGTACGAAAACCAAAACTTGAGAAGTAGTGTATAAGAATGGCTTAACCGTAATGTAACCACATATTCACATATTGTGTCTAAATGTAACTATATATTGTTTGTTCTGTAAGTAACTGACTAAAATGTTGAACTATTTTAGAAACGTTTTTATTACATTACTAAACCAATTAACATAATATTTAAAAAACCACTGACACCAAACCAAATTCGATTAAGCATAAAACCGAATCTTACAGATGTGGGCATGATTATGATGCAGACTGGAATGGTGAATCAAGGCATAACCTCAGTCATTAACGAAATGGAGGGTACGGCTTATATTTAAAGCAAATCATCTTTTTTATCAAAGATGTTTTGTATGAAAATCATTTGGAAAACTGTAAACTTTATAAACTAAAACTTAAAAAAGCAAGCAAAATTTCTATTCTTTTAAATGCAAATTACTTTTATTTGTTGCTGCTAAAATTTTTATTAATTTTTTGCTAACAAAAATCCTAAAACTAAGTCAATCAGTAATATAAATCAGTATAAAACGAATTATTAATTTAAATATACCCTACCACACAAACAGACTATATATTGCAACGTACATATACAAGTATATGTACTTTGATGGAGTATCTGAGTTTCCTGTGCAATCTCTATGTTCAGCGGTTAACATAGAAATCGCTGTGAAATGAGCTCTCTCATCATAAATAAAAAGTAGCAAATGCTAACGCAAATGTAGTTAATAAGTTTAATAAGTTGGTCTTTAAACCTTAATAATATTGGATTTGCTTCCACATTAACAGTACAATCAGTCTTACATGAATTATACCCCGCCATCCTTTAAATATACTCATATAATAAAAAATATCCGAATTTTTACTTACTAATTATATTTTATAAAAATAAGTAATTAGTACATAATATGTAGAGTTTGTATTTATCATTTCCTTTTGATTTTAGTTTAGTTTGACATGTTTGAGTTTATAACATGAACATATAAATATAAATAAATATATTTTACGATTTAATACTACATTATGAAGCGCTAGTGATGTATAATAATTCTCCTGGGGTGTTATAAAGTCAGATAAGAATAATATGCTTAGTGTTTTGTATATTTTTTTCTATTTATATACTATCTTTTAATGGTTCTGGGTTCTACTTGATTCTACTTGGTATTAAGCTTAGATTAAAACTTCTTACTATTTTAAATGTCAAATGGAAAATAGATTTTATTAAGTTACTGAAATACTCCTGAAATACCATTACTCATAAAAAAAGTCGTTAAGAATAGATACTAGTGGTACAAATATGAGTTTTGTATATATAAAATGCATTTACATCATTGGAACACATTTGGTCCAGAGTCAAAAATCATTCTTTTCACAAAACCGAGAAGTTATAAAAATGTGTCATTTCAACGAATTTAGAAGATTATTTTCAGACAGTATGGTCTCTCTCCAAGAGTTCTACGTTATTTATGATCACTACACTCTGTATATAATTTCAAATTCTTTATATAAATTCAGATGTGATATAGGAATATAAATAAGTATCAAAAATCTGTGATTTATAAGTATTCATTAATAGACATAAAAGTACTGTTTCATAGCATATTAAATATTATTTACACGCATAATGCATACATTCTATAAAATAATAATACATACATCATTAAAAATTAGGCTAAATTAATTAATTAATTCGAGTATAAATGAAATTCATTAAATTTGTATTTATAAATAGAAACAAAGTAATTATTGTAGTGTAAATTTAGTTATGGAAATTGTGAAATATTGTATACGTAATTCTCATCAATACATTTAATCATTAACTTTGTAAAAATCTTGACTGGTTCAAAGATTATTAAAAGCAAATTTATTTTAACTAACATGAAAAATTTTTATGAGAATCATATGTAAATCTAAGTTGGTTTAATTTATTTTTTTATAATTTCACTTAGTTTAAGTATATAAATAAATAATTTTAATTTCATTCTTATTCTATAGAATTTTTTTTAAATTATGATGAAAATATTATCATTAATTTCATTAACCTTTTTCACACAATCCTTAAAAATTTATTTGTTTCGTATTGACAAAAACAGTGGCTACCTTCAGGAAAGGTGTCCGAGCCGTACAAATGGTAGGACGTGCAAGTAGGTATAAATTCCAAATACAAAAAAAAACAATTTTTAAATAAAAAAACAAATGCTTATAAAGCAAGTTGGTTCAGAGAACAAAAACAACTAAAAATGCTGTAAACAAATGCTATAAATTACCACTTTAAACACCACCTAAACACTTACACCATAGCCTTCATCAAACTTCACACAACTTAGCCATAAAATCAAACCTCACTTAAAACCACACACCTACTAGACAAATTTTCTAACTCTATGTCTCTCTTCTCTTTCACACACATTTTTAACTATACTACATATCTCATACCAAATCGACCAAATTTCATATACCAGGCATCATGCACTCGACACTGGCATTTTACACATAACGTAAACTTCATTACACTTGTATTATGTTGTGTATATGTATGTGTGTAGTATTTGAAAACAATAAATAATTCAATTACATTTTAATAAAATAAATTAGTCTTAATTTTTAGTACATATGTATACAAGCGAGTTAATAAAATAAACTTTTGTCTTCTAAAAATAATTTTTTAATATTTTTAAATTTTGGTGTTCGTAATTCGTAAAGCGATTTGTAAGAGAAGTCAGTTAAGTATGCTTTAAAAGAATTTTAAAAAGAGTTTAATTTTTTCCAAAAATATTGGTATAGATATTACCGGATTACTTTATACTGAACTTCTCCTGCAACTCCATAAAATTCGTATATACCAAACATATTAAGTACTTTAATTTATCGTAATTTGTTAATATCTTTACCTTCGTTACCAACGTCTTGTAATTAAAATAATTTTTTTCTTGAAAAGTTTAGTAAAACTATTGATATTTTTAGTAATTGTTTTTCCATAATCGTTGTGTAAGTAAATATATTTCCGTACACACACTGACTTTACTAAACCTACACGATATTTATACTTTGTACATCCTTTTCGTAAATCGTTTTCTTCCTACATAATACTCCATCGTTGTTGTAAACCGTAAATGTTTACTAATGATCATTATTCTTCAAATGATCAGATTTTTTTAACATTGTACATTTTGTAAAACATTCTTTATTTAATATTTTCAAGTATGTATTATATGTTTATCTATATCAATTATATATTTGTTTTTTAAACTCCATTCTTCATGCGAATTTATTTTCTTAAATTAAATTTTCTATATTTTAATGTACCCAGTAGAACGTACTGAACTTAGAGGTACAATGTACAATATATGTACAATATATTATTAATGCATATGCAAATTGATAAATTTTTAATAAATAGGTATATGTTTACGCAATAGAAAATCCAGCCATTCAATATGTCAAAAGCTAATAAATACAAAATTATAATTAATACAAAAAATTGTGTGTTTGAACAGTTTCAGAGTGGTTTTATGTGTTGTTTACATAGCATGTGGATCACACGCTTTTTAAAAGAATATGTATAGTCTACTACTACTAAAGTGGTTCATAAGTAGTTCTCATCTAAATCAGATTCATTTAAGTTAAAATCAGTCTAAACGATTGCAATGAACTTATTGTTAATTTTTTAAATATGTGTTATAGTATTAAACACCTAAACAGTTTTTCTCAAACATTCCTTTCTAGCAAAAGCTGGAAGAATATATGAGTTTGTGATTCTCTTCGGTCATTATTTGTCAAAACTATCGGGGTATCCATTTTCGAGTTGCTAGAGTAAAGGAAAATTAAAGTCAGTTGTGAATTAGATTTCGATTAAATTTCATTCAATCATTTATTGTAGTTACAGTACTACAATCTTTTAAGATAATTTTGTGCAACAACCCTACCAAATTAATGTCTCGAACTTCATGAACCTTTAATATATCTCCGATATACTCGAAAATAATTGATTACTTTCGTACTTTTTGACATATATTACAGCAATAGCTTTATCACATCAACGAGTATCTTAGATTATTACAAATCTATTTATTGTAATCTACTTGTATAACGAAGTACAAATAGTTGTTTGATGATGAATAATGACGCCTCAAATTATATACGATTTTTAATTTTTTAGTGTGCTTACTTATATGTAAGTATTTTTCAACATATACAGAGCGAATTATATACAGAGCACTTGAGAATAATTTTAAGTTACCTTTTTTAAGATATATAATAATAGTTTAAAATTGCATTAATGTTTAGTGTTGTGGTTCAACGTGCAGAGTCATATAAAATAAATAAAATAAATCGCTGTTAGATATCACTTGTTTACGACTACACTCGACATTACCCAGTTCTTCAATATTAACACCTTTTTACCAGTTCATTAATGTCATTCCATATTTGAGAGCTTCAATTTTTTGATTGTAATTACTTTACAATCAAGTTTGATTGTAATTACTTTAGGTAGCATTGTCAGAAACTATCAAGGGTCATTATTTTTTGTTCCTATATTTACCAAACACAAACATCTATACAGCATATCATATTCCATTTTCAAGTAATTAAACTATTTTTAGGTCGACTTTAAATGTATCTGTATTAAAATATTTTTTAAAATATTATTTTTTGTATTTAAATTTCATCGTTCGTTAAAAAAAATTGAACAAATATCGTCATAAAAACCTAATGGGATGGGCTAATAATTCTTTATATACATATAAACCGTACTATAGAAGATGATGAGTACTTTTTATCAAGTAAGTTTAATAAGCTCGGATGTTATAATTTTGTAGGAAAATTAGTATTTATCAATAATAAATTTTATTTTGTTATAAAATTATATAGCCGTTTAATTAGTGTAAAATTAAATTGATTGCATTTTGTTAAGAAATCATTTTATAATTTAGATGATAAAGATACTTTTTAATTTTTAAATATTTATTCGTATTGAAATTATTAATGTTTATATATTTATTTATATATATATATATATGTATTTATATAATATATACATATATAATATATATGTATATATAATATATATATATATATATATACATATATGTAGTATTGTATCTTATAAGCAAAATGAACGAAAGTATCTATGAATATGTCATCTAAACCAATATTACAAAATTTTATGTGCTAATGAGAATGTGATTTATTACCTTGAATATTTGTAAGTATGTATGTAAGTTTAAATACATTATTTACTGTATTTGTATCTGTATTGGTATTCGTATGTATGAGTATGTATCAATTTAATAACACATATCTTAATGTAGTAACAATGCAAAAAAATATTACAGAAACTACAATAATGCAATATTAGCAAAGGAAAAAATGAACACAGCGTAAACACTTTGAATTGCTTTTATTTAGAATGTTTAATATAAAGTTTTGAAATGAGTTAATGCATTTAACAATTTATTTGGTGCAGAAAGTTAATCGAAACTGATATTGACTCAATTGCATTCAAACGGGGCGCTAGGCTTACTGTAGTCACTCATCAATAACCACAAGTATGCCTGAATCGGAAAATCGAAATTTATTATTCTAGAATACTCACACTTAAAAGGAGAAGTCATCACACATCTGATTCTGTGCTTAAGATTTAGTAGTGGCAGCACAAACAGCTTATTTCGTTGAAAGCAGCGATTTCGCATAATATTTTTGCTTTTTGTGTTAAAAAATATTAATATGTATTATTAAAATATTATTTACAGTATGTAATTGTTTTAATAAAAATTAAACTCATGAACTCATCTTTGCAATTTCTTTTTATATATGAACGACAACGTTTATTGTGTTTCAATGTTCCAATGTTTGAATGTTTTAGTGTTCGTATGTGTAGCTCAAAAGTTCAGTAATCAAGAAACACGTAGTCTTGCCTTTTCTGGGATGGTAAAGGAGAACCCCATCAGATTTATTTCAGAATGAACAACAAACAAATTTACAAAGTGAAATCAAAAAATGAGAATAAATATTAAAATAGCTTAAAATTGATAATAATGATAAAAGAAATTAAATTATTGCTTTTATTAAGACTTTTATTTTTCTTTTGGATGCAGTTATCTGGCATTTTATTGCACTCTCGTTGGTCTATTGGGCTAACCCAAGGGAACACTATTTGCTTGCAACTATGCTTGGATAAATGTAGTGGCAAGAGTAAACAATTTGCAAAGTTGATGACACGTAGTTTGCATGAACCTTTCACTCCCATCTGCATTGTATTTTATTCGTACTTGTTAGTTAAATGTCAATTATATTTACTTGTATTTATGCTTCACACAACCGCTACGTAGTGCACAGATTTTGTTAAAAAATATAGTAAAACATGCTTTTTGATATTACAAATTTACAAAAATACCAAAAAGGCTTAAAGTCTTTAATGTATTTGATCCATGTTAATCCTCCTTCCCAAAAACCATCATCCATATAAATTAAATATACCAATGAATATTTTTATATATTTTGTTTAATTTAATATATTTGATCAAAGTTTATTCTGATGCGGAATATTATGGACATTAAAAAGTGATTATATTATAATAGGTTTATCGTCATCATTTCTATTGTCACCTCGAATGTTAAAGTATCACACTACCGAAGGGTTTATATGATTTATGTAATAGAAAAAATATATTTATATAAAAAAAACGATACATACACATTTCTAATATTAAACTTCGAAGCTAAAAAAATAAAATGAAATCAAATTAGCTTTTCTGTATTATTTTATAGATATACTACAGCAATATAATTATAGTGTATATATAGTTTATATAGGTATATTCGGTGTTATCCACCATTACGGAAACGATATTTATAAACTGCGTGAAGTACAATTTAAAACAATTTATTTAACTAAAGTTTTAATAGAAAAATTGTATTATGTATTACGATATATATAGAAAAGTACTGCTTAATTATACTTTAACTATTCTATTTCGATATCAAGTGTACCACCTTTTCAAAAAAAAAAAATCATTTACAATTTTATAGAATCAATTCATAAAATATATTTTCACCTAATGTTTTAGTAATAATTTGCCAAGATATTAGAATTTAGTGATTTATTCATGAAATAAAATATTTAAGAGATGCAGGTTAGTATAGTAATGCAGAATTATGTCTATAGAGTTCTGATCGTTAAAGTTTCATTATGACTTCTACATATTCCGCATTTGACTATATCTTTGGTTTCAAGAAAAGAAGTAATTGTCTTTTTAATATATGTTTTTCCTTCCTTTTCCAGTTTACACATTTAGTGAATTTCTTGTGTTTGTTTATTATTTCTCTTCTGTTCATATATAAAATCTTTTGCAAAACAAAAACAACTATATAAAAAAAGAATTGAACAATTTAAAGTTAAGTGTGCTGATCAGAGCGTATCTTACAGATGATCACCATCCTGCACCCACATTTACGCCACCTGAACTACCAAAGCGGGTGCATGTGCGTGGATCTGTAACGGGTAAAATATTAAGTTTCTTGAAATTTTATAAATAAATAATTTTATCATTTCTATCTTGATTTGAGAAAGGATTTTTTGAACATGCGTCCTTTAATAAAAAACTGATTAACGTGCGAATAATGCGTTCCACATTTTTTTTTCAAGAAAATTTTTTTTAGTTCTTAAATTAAACAACGAGAAATTGATATATGAAGAACGAATTTTTTTCTTAAAACAACACACGATTCTTATCTTATTACTTTCAATTAAGCTTTTTCTAGTTTGCTTTGGTTGATGAATATAGGTTTCACCTTCATTTAGTTTTCACATATATTTATTTCAGATATTATTTCCCAACACTGCTTTTTATTTATATTTTTTTTTGTGGCACCAAAAAAGCTCATTTCCTCTTCAAAACCATTTCATTCGAAAAAGAACCAAAAATCGGTGCACTAAATTCATATCTCAAGCATGTTTTCATATTTTAAGTATCAGTTCCAGTCAGTGTTAATGTATTAACCACTTATTAATCAATTAATCGAGAATACCCATTAATAAATGTTCTTTAAAACATTTTGCATCTTAATGTGTTTTTTCTTTAAATTAAACTTATCCTTTCGCCCTTGTATTTATTAATTAAAAATTATTTGTCAAGTGCGTAAAATTATTTTAATTGTTATAATTTGTTGAAAGTAATTAGTTATGTTTTTATTTATTAAAACTAAATGAAATAAAAAATTTATTTTTGTAAAAATATCTCTAATCTCTAAAAATTAATTCTTTATTTGCATATGAATTGCTTGTTATTTATCTTAAAATCAGTAAATTGAAAATTAAAATTATTTTTTTGTATCTTACTTGCATATCTTAACCGATGTTATTTATTTCTCTAAAATAAAACCATTTACATATCAACTTTATTACTTAACTAAAACTCTTAAACATAAAACTCCAAACTTATTTAATGCATAAGTACGCTAACAAATTGAAATAAATTTAGTCGAATCGCTTCTAAAACTTCGCTAGTTTATTTCAAGCCAAGCACACGCGGTACAAAATGTTTCAAAAATTAACCTTTCTTTACAAAATTATACTGAATTTCAACTATCTAATAATAAAATCATTATATTTTTATTTAACGCGTATGCATAGGTGATCTAACACGCGACAGAGAAGATATGAACCGTAAGTACTCATCGAGAATAAATTCAAAAATTTCTTAATGATAAATTAGATATTATAATTAAATGTGAACAAGTTTTCCAAATATATATAGTTGTGCATATAATAATATTTATTAACTTCTTCACAACACGCAATTTGTTGTTAATATTTATTAATAAATAATATTTTAAACATTTACACATATATAAAAGTTCACATGCGATATCCATTTGCAGTAATATTCATATACTTTTTTTAGTTTTTTACTATCTAGAACTTATTTTTGGTTAGGTTATTAAAGTGATTGTATTGCCGTATAAGTCTAAGAGAATTTAAACTATAAGTGGTATGAAGTACTTTCTTTTTCTTTCTCACAACTGCGGGACGAGTCATTCAAAAAAAGAAAATACAATTTTCTTGTTTGGTTTCCTAAGCGTCTATGACCCGTGAGCAAACCCACTATTAGATTAGCGTTTATGTAAGGCAACTCTGTGAGATCAACAAATATTTTTTCTTTTTGAGATAAGCCTAAATAGGACATCATAGACCCTTCCAATGTTGTTTTATACTGGAACTTTCTAAGAACTACTTGTCAACTTTGTGCCTTAATATTCAAATGCTTCCAGCATGTTCCTTATCTGATTGACATCCGCTTTATAGTTGCCTGCGATTTTCCGGTAATTGAGTTTCTGGATAGGTCAATACTATGTCGAAATCTTGTTAGCAACCAAAAACTGACCTAGATATAAAACTGTACAGTTCATAGCAGCTTGATTGTCTGATATTACACATATAATCCTATTAAATATATTATCCATATCTTCCCTAATAGTAGCAGCTTCCATTTGAAAGAAAATACCTACATTAATGTCATCAGTTTAAATGATAACACCCATTTTTTATAATAGACCTTTATCCGGACAAATACCTCTAAATAAAATATCGGCAATTAGTTTTATGTCGTAGTTAAAAGTAAAGAAGAGGTGGATGTGATTAATATATTCTGAAGAGTAACTGGAAAGATTTCGAATAGAACTTTGACTGTAACCAAACATTTTCAATTGTGAGATAGTTTCAAGCCTAAGAGTTGAGAATACCGGCATTTATTTGATTATAGAACTGCACAGTATTAGAGAACTGAAATTGATTGATTTTCATATGTGATGCTGTATGGTAATATTTCTTATATTTTAAAAAACTAATAAGTCACGAATGCTAAATAGCTAATATTATTCGTATAAATAAATCGAATGAAATAACATTTTCCGTTTAATTCAACAAGTCTATATATAAAGTCTGGAGGTTTTTTATACATTCATTTTTTCAGAGTTTTCAAGTTCAAAACAATCTAGAACTTGTATAGCTGTTGTGAATTCTAAATTCTTATATATAAACTGTAATATACCAAATTGATCCGATCATTTTTTGTATATAATATTTTAGTTTATTGCTAATTCACTAAAAAATTGTTAATGAATTAAGAATATATAAAATTTAATTTTAAAAGTTAATAACTTATTTTCTCCTTAGTTTTAAATCGGAACGGACGCCGGCCTAACGGCACCGGCAACGGCGGCACTGGCATGCATTTAAGCGCCACAACCGTAAAACAAGTCAACAAAGTGAAGCCCACGGTCAACAGGCAGCAAATGGATGGTCAGGTTATTTCTCCGTCACAGTACAATAGGTAAGTATATATATTAACATTCTTCGCGCTTTCACTACACTAAGTATAAGCAAATGTACAAAGAAAACTTAAACTTATGTTTAACTTAAGTAAGATACTGCAGTAAACTAGGATTATTGTACAGTAAAAACAAAACAAATGCTTCATGTTTAATACACAAATTGGTACTTATTTCAATGTTTTCAATTGGTTCAGGTTTATCAAAAAAGCGCTTCTATATAAATACACGATTTCATTTCTTTAAATATATACTCGTACAAACAATGTATAAAAGAAAATAATTCTAACTCTAATTTTAATTTTATTTTAATTTATTCGTAATTTATTTTCATTTTGTTGGAATGTTTTCATTGAAACGAAATTCGTTTTGTGTTTGTGTTTGTGTTCTTTTGCAACTAACAACAAAAATCATTGTAAGCAAACGTTTTGGAAAAGCAAAACAAATAAAATTCAACAAAAGAAACTGAAATATATAAATAAAATCACTTATATAACAATAACAAAAAAACAAAAACTCTTAATTAACAATTTTGTTTCAGGCCTCCAGAAACCGATGCTAACCCTTATGCGGGCTATCAACTTGCTTACGAAGTTAAAAAGCTCATGTATGCGTCCATACTTTTTCTAGATTGTATCTAAACACTTTAAAAAAATATTATAAAAAAACTTTATTAATTTTTTTGTCATGTTCATGTCTTTGTATGTGTGTTTTTGTTGTCTTTAAAGTTTAAACTAAATTACCTCTTTTTTAATACTTCATATTTTCACTAAGCCCAATATATGCGTCTTGTGTATCTGTACATGTATATTTTCTTATATAAAACTGTAATGTATTTTGTAATTTTGTTGTGTTTTGTAATTTGCACTTAATACTTCTTTACATTATATTAAAAAAAAAAACAGAAAAACTTTGCATATTCAACATAATTCAAAATTAATTTCTAAACACATTTGCTACTTTTTTATCGCTTTTAAATTTAAATAAAGATATATAAATAATATTCACATTTACACACAAACGCAAAGTTTCTATAAACTCCATTTTGTTTTCTATTCATATACACACATTTAAAGCAAATCACTTACTACGCCCTTAGTAAGCTGTATGTATTATCTTTTATAATTTACGAATACCATGCACAAGAAAAACAAAAACAATAACAACAATAAGAATATTGCTATGCAAACAAAACACAAAATTGCAGTACCAATAACAAATGCAATCATGTGAACACAACACAAATGCCCACAAAATACTTCGGCACAACGCACTGCACACGGCTTTTGCTATCAATTCTATATAAACTATTTACAATTGTTTGATTTGAACTATCGCCATTATTTTTCCGTTATTTCACCCATTTAGTTTAACTTATGCCGTTCCGATTGGTAAATCTGGGGTAACTTTTTACGATTTTAATTTTTTAATGGTAAATCTCGAGCAAAATGAATAAGGCTCGAGATTAATTTATAACACTCTAGATATTTTGTCAGAGTAGTAAGATGATCCTAAATTTAACAGCTATTTTATATGACTTGGAAGACTAAGTGTATTTTGATTCGACATACATATGTATTTATGAAAAATAACTCAGCTAGACTAGACTGTTAGACTCTAACCTTAATAATGTTACTCTAAAAACGTGGGGCAACAAAATTTGACATATCGAGTGTAAATCTAGATTAAATCCAGATTTACCAATTGAAAACGTCATTACTTTGTATAGTGTTATTATTTATATAGCAAATGATGTAAGAAAATTAAACTTATTTAAATGATATTATTGATTGATTAGTCCGTTAGTAATAAGAAAACGTAATTTTTTAATTCATTAACAATTTATGTAATGGAGTCAATGCATTAAACACTAATGAGAGTTTAACAGTTGTTCTGCATGAACTATTTCATTTACTCTAGCAGTTCTAACTCTACGAGTTTAAAATCAGGGTCGGCAAAAATATGCATAGATATTTTTTGCGCATGTATATTTGTGATACGAAAATACACAGTGACAAATAAGAGAACACTTATTACTATCTATATTTTAACAAGCTTTTATTTGAAAGCAACATATTTATCTTCATTGGCTTTGTTCTAGAATATTGTTTTTGTTACAACTCAATACATTCTAAAAATATTTAAAATGTAAATATTTTAAAACGCAAAAATTATTATTTTTAAGTTAAAAATTTTAACTCTTCTTAGCAATAAAACAGTGTTAAAAAACAAATAGTTTTGTTGTGTATACTGTATACACACAAATTGTTTGGCTGTACATATATACTAAACAAACTCAGGATTAAGAAAAGAATCATGGAAATACCGACATCGTCTTTAAATGGTTTGTTGTCCGATAAATTATTTTAGTACGCATTAAGCACCATTGCAAAGGAATTTGTTTTTGCGATGCACACTGCTTCATACCTGACTGTTACTATATTGGCGGACACAATATTTTTATTCTAATGTTTATAGTGATGAAGTGAGAACAAAGACCTATTAAATCTCTGATCTGATAAACAAGCAAAGCTTATAATGGTCCGAAAGAAAAACACTCTCAGAAGAAAATATTTTTATTCATCAAAAAATAAGGTTTTCTGTAAACTGTGTCGGAACTGCGGAGTTGTAATAAATGTATACAAACTATAAAGTAAGAATCACAACTGTTCAATTGAATACGAGCCGCAGAGTCAATAACGAGCTTACGATTTGCAACTGAAATTATATTGTTTTATTGACATATTCTTAGGTATTATGTAGTTCAGATTCGTAAGAGTAGGTCCTTATATTTAACAAATTCTTTGACTTACATTACTATTTTAATAAGAATTATCAACTGTGGTAAAGCAAAACAAAGTATCATAATATATTTTCTATAGCGGTCATTCGAAACAATCTTAGAGCGACAGTTCGAAATAGCACATGTAAATGAAATTTAATTACAAAAATCAAATTGTAATATGCAAGAATTATTAAAAGTCCTAAACATATATCCATATATCATTTTACTTTATGTGTATTAATAACATACCTTATCCTTTACTTACTCCATATTGACTCAATCGTGAGTTCTGCGGCATTATTTTCATCTCGGAACTTCATTGTATGTGCCTTTGCGTATACACATTGTAGCTATGGTATTTGGTTGGTAATGGTTGTTAGCGCACTCGAATCTGTTAAACTAAATTCACGTACCCATAAGTTTAGTGATACATGCGAAAAATTTGCATAATTTTTGGTGTAGCAACTTTGGCACAATACTTTTGCAGCATGCTTCATTAGTCCGTTATTATGCTTTTGTTACAATATTATATATAATTTTATTTTTTTTTTGTTTGTTGTTAATTTTATAGGCCAACAAGTCGTAGTTCCGGCACTGGTGCACAAAACCAAAACGGCGGAGTTACATTGCCGGCTGGCATCGCGGATGATCAATCAAAAGATTTCGATTTTGAAAAAACCGAAATGAAATATGATTCGACCGGCATGTTCCATTGGAGTCCGGCGAAAAATCTAGAAGACTGCATATTGGTAAACATTTATGATAATAAATCTAAAACAATCCTTTATAAATTTTTATATCTACATATCCTTATTATTAGGATCGTAATCAAGCGGCAATGACCGTTTTAAATGGTCACGTTGTCGTGTGCCTCTTTGCTGATCCAGATTCACCGTTAATTGGTTTGCGTAATTTGGTTATGCCATTACGTGCATCCAACTTTCATTATCACGAACTGAAACATGTAGTCATAGTTGGTTCTGTGGATTATATAAGACGAGAATGGAAAATGTTACAGAACTTGCCAAAAATATCCGTACTAAATGGTTCGCCATTAAGTCGTGCCGATTTGAGGGCAGTTAATGTTAATTTATGCGATATGTGTTGTATTCTATCGGCGAAAGTTCCTAGCAACGATGATCCAACATTGGCAGATAAAGAGGCCATTCTTGCATCGTTAAATATAAAAGCGATGACATTCGACGACACAATCGGGGTGCTGAGTCAACGTGGCCCCGAATTCGATAACCTGAGCGCGACTGCTGGAAGCCCAATTGTGCTGCAGCGTCGCGGTTCGGTATATGGTGCGAATGTACCTATGATAACAGGTAAACTGCATTGCACTAAGTTGGCTCTGTTTGCGAACGACCAAAGCTCTCGTAAAGAAATTGGCCTAAAGTAATTTTATTCTGTTTGCATTTTCATTTCAAATACTTATAATTTCTGATTGGTTTTTTAATAAACTCGTGCCCAATATTTTGTTATTTTTGTGAGAAATTTATAATAATTATTAGTTAAGTGTTTAATTTTTGGTGATGTAAATTTTTATTTTTAAAATTTTCGAAACAGCTCCTTACAGCAGAAACTACGCCTATTACAGTAAACTTTTTCTGTGATGAGCAAGAATTTATTTAAAAGATTTCTGTTAAAAGGAGCTGGAAAGTTTTGGGCCAATTTCAAACGAATGTATATGAAAGCGCCATGCGTTTGCGCCACTTGTGTGTAAAAATTTGCTCTGATCGAAACCTAATGTTTTGGTTGTTGTTTAAAGAACTGGTCAACGATAGTAACGTGCAGTTTCTCGATCAAGACGATGACGACGACCCAGATACGGAACTATATCTGACGCAGCCGTTTGCGTGTGGTACAGCTTTTGCTGTCAGTGTGTTAGATTCACTTATGTCGACGGTAATAAAATATTAAATTTAATATCGTCAACACAAAAAGACAGTTCTGAAAACGTTAATAAAATACGTCTCAAAGAACTTTCTCTTTATGTTTGTTGTTACAAGTCGAAAAATTCAGATTTGTAAAAATCTTTGCTTTTTCTTTAACATTTATTTAATGGCACCAATGCAGACATATTTCAATCAAAATGCCTTAACACTTATACGATCACTCATCACGGGTGGTGCAACTCCGGAATTAGAATTAATATTAGCAGAAGGTGCTGGGCTAAGAGGTGGTTATAGTACGGTGGAAAGCCTTAGTAACCGAGACAGGTACGCTTTCAGTAAAAATCAAAATTATTAATAAAAATATATATCATAAACTGTTGCACCTTGCAGATGTCGCGTTGGTCAAATATCACTTTATGATGGTCCACTGGCACAGTTTGGGGAGTGCGGCAAATATGGTGATCTGTTTGTGGCTGCACTTAGATCGTATGGCATGCTATGCATAGGATTGTACCGATTTCGAGATACTAGCTCAAGTTGTGATGCAAGTAGTAAACGTTACGTTATAACCAACCCACCCGATGACTTTTCATTACTGCCAACTGATCAGGTAAACTGTGTTCAGCTCTACGTAATTCAGTGTTTTTCACACAAAATATAAATAAAAAATATTTTTTATAAGGTATTCGTTTTAATGCAATTCGATCCGGGATTGGAATACAAGCCACCCGCTGTACGTGCACCAACTGGTGGTCGCAGTGCCAATGCCCAAGGTTCCGGTGTCGGCGGTGGCGGCTCAAACAAAGATGATAACTCTTGATTGTTACTGTGTAGCGCCTTAACTGATGGTCCTTACTCATACATTTGAACGATGGAGCAAACGATTTTGTACAAAATAACGCATTTCTGGCAAAGTATAATTAGGAACATATTACAAACAATAAATATTATAAGTACTTTTCGGCGAAAAACTATACAAAAAAAGCAATTACAGTAAATTCGTAAAAAGAATTATGTACCAAAATTTGTAATAATTGCATAAAATTTTAAATTTATTGAAGAAAAACTTTTTTAAATTGGCATGATATCGTCAAAATTAGAAGTAAATGCGTTAATTTGTACTTTTATATTTGCATAGACGCTCACATGACATTGTTTATCCTGTTTAACAATCAAAGGATATTAGTTTTGTATTATAAGATTGAGTGTCTCTACAAATATAAAATTCATAAAAAACATCAAAAAATTTAACATCTTGCAAAAAACAGACATCGTTCATCTGTGAAAAGATTGCTTCCCACACCATTCCGTATGCCTTTTTAGAACCTTGAAGTTTTTCATCCTTTTTTAATTAGTTTTAGAACTTTCAATATATATAAGCTTAAATATTTTCTTATCAATTTTTATTGTTTTATTATGTATATTAGTTGATAATTAATGTATATATAATTTTGTAACCAGACAATTTGTTTGTTTTAAAGTTTAAAAAATTACCAATTGAATAAAATTTTTTAGTTATTTAAGTTCTGTTTTTATTTGAATTTTCAATGTTTGTATTACAAGCTACAAATTGCTTCTCCCATTACTTTCATAATCCCAATTTAAAAAGTAAAACAATCAACATCATTTTATTGACGCACATTCATGCCATATTCAAAAGTTTTCTTTTGGAAAACTTTTTTGCTTGATCTTGGCTGATATTGGTAAGGATATGATCCTAGTAAATGAAATTAAAATTTTGGAATTTCTTTCTTATTATTTTAGAGGTACGTATATTCATTTTCATTTCTTCTGTTATATTTTGATTAATATTTATTGGTTCGACTTCATTTTTCTATATTATGTTAGTTAACAAGTCATTTATTTGAACACATCATGGAGCTAATCATTGCATTGCATTTAGTTTATTAAATCGAACTAAATCGAAAAATTTTAAAAATTCATCTTAATGGTGTGACGCAAGCAATTTGGGAACCATTAGTGAGGGGTAAGCTACACATTAAACAAGGAACTAAAACAAATGTTTTACGAACATAAAACAGAACAAATTTATACCAAAACAATTTAAAACAGAATGGATAAATTTCTATTTCTATTTATAATTAAGTGAAACAAACTAATATTAAGTAAAAAGCGATTTAAAATACAAAACGTAACAAAATCAGACATAAGAGCAACGTAATTAACAAAGAAAGACTTTGATATGCATTAAAGAATCTCTGCAGCCCAATGCACTTAACTTTAGTCTTTTATGCTAAAATTTTCACCAGAAACGCGACATTAAATATAAACTAAAATAATACACGCATCTTAACTGACGTACAAAAGACAAACTCGAAATGATAAAATGTTACTGAGGCGTAGATAACTCTCTATCAAATTAAAACGAAAGTATGTATGCGTAACATACTATAAAATACATAATTGAAATTGTAATATTTAAGACACTTAACAATTCTTAAGATACTCCTCTGTACTGCAACGGAAGCAGAAACAGTAACAGAAGAAAATAAATGTTAAATGTAAATGCTGTTAAAATGTAATAGGTATTTACGCTTAGCGCAGCGAAAAGTAAAATGAGTTTACGAAACATTACAACAACAATCTAGAAACTTGTCCTGAGAAGTCTGAATTTAACAAAGTGTTAAAGCAGCTGTTAAATCATGACTCTAAACAATGTTAACTTTTCAACAAAAACTACATTAATAAAGCTTATGCCATTTTGTATGCTGTATTAGCAAATACAAGTACATGCAAAAGTAATGCTAAAAAATAAGCTAAACTTTGAAATTTCGCGGTTGTCTTGATTAAATTATAAAATAGTAATTATAATACAATTGATATAAAAATTAAATGTTTGCTTAAATAATCTTTTTTTATCGATGTTTTCACCTAATACGTATTACAAAAAAAAAACACTAATATTTATAGTCATGCTTAATTCAATGTTATAGAGATCATTTAATGCTTATCACTTCTACACTATAACACTTATAACACTAATAACACAAACAAAATATATTGCTAAAAGAATAATTACAACAACATCAATGTTATGAACTGTAAAATTACCGCGCGCTATATGTATGAATGTATGACAATTGTGTGGAAATGCGATTTCAATTAAGGACTAAGTAGTTTTATTATAGATGCAAATAAAATTGAATATAACAAAAATTGCTTCTACCTTTTCAAGTCCATAGATCGATGTATATGGTCAAAATTCACCTATTCACACTAGTTTTCTAAATTAAGTGTGCTTTTATTACGTTATTATGAATACTAAGTATTCAAAATGTTCAATTTTAAATTCTTCTACAAAGGTGTATATTTCCATTACATTAAAAAAAGTCATTATAAGTCATTTTACTTTTAGAAAGTTCATTAAAATACTCTTTGTTTTCCCGCAATTATCACATCCTTTCTAGTTGTTAACTTTCTTTATTTTTTTTATTTTCATTTGATGATTTCTGTTCTTGTCATCTGATCATTTCTGTTCTTCCATTTCCTTTTCTTTATATATATAATTTCATTACATTATTTATTATTTTAAAAAGCTTAATTTTAAATATATCTTATTTCCTATATTGACCCTGTATTGTTTTTAACTCTCTACATCTATGACTTTAAATTTATATCATATTTTTTGTTATATTGTGTTTTTAATCTTTTCATATCAACTTAATTCTGTATAAAGTCATAAAGCCAGCTGACAAAATCTGTTTGGAGGTGGTTAAACATTTCAGTCAAGAAGCATCTTTGAAATTAGAAATGCAACACAGTATAGTATAGTGTATTTTATAAAAATAACGACAAAATAGCTTTGACGAGCTAAGATATCATTTTCGTCATTTAAGCTTGCAAATACTTATTTATTTAAAATCAATGTGTATGCATTTTCTCGGTATCAATTCTTCATTGGAGACAAAAAGCACACACATAAACATAATTATGCGCGAGGCTACGTAAACAATATCTACGATATCTGAAGTTTTTAAACCATTATTACGTGTCAGACTTTCATACATATTGGCTGTCATTTTTTTAAAAAACTTCATTTATTTAAATTTAAATTATCAAATTATACACAGTTCGCCAACTGTGCAAAAAACGTAAGTGAAACTTTAGACAAATATTTTGAATACATAATTGTAAATAACGTGTACATAAAATATATATAAATGTATACATATAAATATATATGTATATGTATATATATCACAGCAATACAATTTTTGTTCTTATACATTTATATATTTTATTTATAAAAATAATTTTTGTACTAAAAATTTTAAATGCAAAGCATATTTGTAAAAATTTTATCATGGCTTTTACGAATTGTTTAACATAATAATTAAAACCTAAAAGATAATTACAGTCAAACAAATTTGTATAAAAAGGATATATATAAAACACTGCCAAACGGAAAACAAAAAAATTCACGAAAATTATTTTGTATTAACGCAAATTTAGTATAACCGTAAAGCAAATTTAGTTTTTCAAAACAAAAAAAAGTATATTAAACGAAACAATATTCTAAAAATGTTTCTTAAACGGTGAATGTATCAGTTGACGTAATATTAACTTTAAAATATATATATTCATATGTAAAATATATGCAGATATATTTATATGTATATTACTGAAATTGTATTATATCGAAAAATACTAATATATTAATACATTTGAATATATATAAATACATATATATATTTATTGTATATTACTGAAATTGTATTATATCGAAAAATACTAATATATTAATACATTTGAATATATATATATATATACATATATATATATATACATATATATGAATATAGACATTTGCCATGCGCAGAGCTTTAATAACACCAAAAAAAAAAAAATCAGATATATCTAAATACATAAAGCTTCAAATAAAAAAAATATTATAATATGTATTACCTCTAAGCTCATATATTCACCTTTATTTTTAAATTACAAATTTAATAAATAAGTACATACTCTTAAACAATATTTATGATATATAGAAAGAAGTCTTTTAATTTTCTTAGCATCTTACAACACAAATATTTAAACACTTATTATAAAATATAATACTAATAACATATATTGAAATGGATATAATAAAAAAAAACGAATTCGAGCTTTTAAATTAAAGTAAAATTAATTAAATTAAATATACAAAAAAAGCAACATTTTTATTATATTACAACACGAATTATAATTTCTATACGAAGAAAAATAAAAAGGATCAAATAAATAAATGAAAAATAATTATAAAATCGATAAAGCTAATATTACGAGTAATTAATAAAACAAATATAAAAAATATAAAAACTATTAGGAAAAAATTGTGAATATTATGCGCCTTCAGAATTATTGTAGATGTGACTATTATTTAATATTAAATTTTATGAAAACAAAATTGAAAATTTAGAATCATTATTATTTTAAAAAGTAGGGACTTCATTTAAAATACAAATATACACATAATACACACGTAAATAACACATTATTATATACTCATACGATTATAATCATAATTACGTGTATTATGTATTATTTACTTGTATTTTTTGTATACTTGTAGGTAATTATGTTTTAATTATTACATTCACGTTCAGTAAAGCAAAATTATTATAAAATAAATGTTAAAAATTAAAACTAAACTAAAATCATTAATTTAATTTAAAATACTGAAACGAAATGAAAAAGAAATTAATTCTAAAAAGCAGAAAGTTAAACATTAAATTATAATATTAATTTAACTTAATTAAAACATTTTTATTATATATATAAATAACATAAAACTAAAAACGTAAAACTCTCGATGTTGTGAAACTTGATTAAATCACGTTTACGATAAATCATAAAAGTAAAATGCTAAAAAACTAAAAAACTAAACTCGAAAAGGAATATTCATTTTGCCACCAGTGAAAACATAATTATAATTAAATTAAAAAGTTCAAAAAAGGAATAAATAGAGAATTTAAATGCAGAAGAAGCAAGAGGAAGATGAGACAGAAAATGGATACGTAATAACGTAATACTAACCCTTAGTAATAAAGCATGTCAACCTAGTTAGCTAGATCGTTTATAGTTCTTAGGGTGAACACCGTTCGCAGCTTCAAGTTAAAAACCAAATCCACAACATTTAAAAAGGAACTTTATAATAATATATTATACATGTGTATTACAATATTGTAAATAAATACTGTATTGTATAATTCCTTTTTAATTGAGTATGAAATTTTAAAACAAAAACTGTATTTTAATTTTCGCAGCACTTAAAGTAAACATTGTAATCGTCATATATAGAAGAATATTATATATACATATAATTATTTCAGTTTTTACTCGCTATTTATATTGAAATACAAAATTTATATATATAAAGTAGACTTAATTAAAATAAATTAATTAAAGTAAAACATCATATTACAACTAAGAAATTCGTAAAACAAATAACTTTAGTTTAAATTATAACAGAAACAAATTTTTATTAAGCAAATGTAATAAGCATAGCATAAATATATTAAAAAGGATATATTTAAAAATTTGTCTAAAAAGTAACTAATTAAAAGAATTATGTTGTTAATGTTTAAAACTTGTTAAAAAATAATATTTCAAATAAAAATACCAAAACAGATATTATTAATTTTTTTTATATATAATTTTAAATGCAATGCGTTTAATAGTATAATTAATAGTACTAACAGTAATAGTAGAATTACCATTAACAGATACAGTAATTATTAATCATACTTAGATTGGATATTTTAAATGCCCTAACAACCCCAAATACAAGGCTGTTGAAGAGTAACAATAGTTAGCACTTATTGTTAAAAAAAACTGCATTAGAAATGTTTAAAGTACTGTTTAAGAAACAGAGAAAATTAAATGTATCTTCCAAATAAATTTGTATTAAATATCTAAGATTGCAGAATATTTTTTGCCACCAACGATTAATATGTTTCGAAATAATCTCATACTGTATACCTAATATTCTGATGTATATATTATGAAGAAAATAATAGTTTAAATAAATTTCAAAAAAAATATGGCTTAACATTAGGAAATGAAACCGATCGTTAGTTATCGCTTTTAAATTCGTCACCACACGTTTCATAATGCCTCATCATTAGAGAAATAGTTTGAGAAATAGATTGGATCGATACATACAAATGCGCAATTTGTAGTGAAATTAATTTTAATTTTAAATAAAATTTTGGTTATTCAGTAAATTTGTCGAATTGAAATGTCAAAACTATCAAAATTCCAAACCCTTTTACTGCCGATACATAGCAGACAAGTTATGCATGAATTTAAAATAATTAAGTTGGATAATTGTCCACAATGTCCACAATAGACTTCACTCATTGTGTAATCGCAAAATATTTCTAAACTGGGCGCAAACTTTCTTCACCCATTGGCCGATGAACGTTAAGTGATATACGCAACAGCAATTCGTAACAACACAAAAGACTTAAGCTACAAACGCGTTTACACTTTTACTATCGGCGTCCGGCTGTAGATTAACCATCAGTTCGTACTGCTGAGCTATAAAAAGTTGTCATAATTACAATATTCAACTATTTCATAATTAAAAGCAAAACCATTTCTACATAATTTAAATTTGATATGTGTTCGCACTTGTACGATTCTACCGTAACAGTGCCAGTGCTCGAGTATGTAGGTAACTAATGCCGACACCAACTTTCCAGCTTATGACCATAAAGCGAATAATATACGTGCGGAATTTCAAGTGGCAAAACTGACTTCCTCATACCTTCAGCTGCATTGCCTGCGTTTAGTGCAAACAATTGACTGACGCGTTAATGTGCTTATGTATTACAATGATTCTTTCTTCTTTCTCACTAATATTACCACTTTAGAAGATCAAGTTTACCGAGTTTAGCTAGTGAAATGGAGCACATGGCAATATGTAACTACTTTGGCACGCATATTGTCCTTGGACAGATTTATTCATGTTTGCCTGGTTTCATTTACTATTTATGGTATGGTTGGATAGACAATTCGCTTTGAGTTGAAAGCGACAGAGAATTATTGTTTTAAATCAAACAAAATGGAGTGATATAAATCCTAAAAAGCAAATATTCAAACTACGTAAGCCTCTTGTGCTAGATCATTGATATTAAGATAACGAAATTCATTCATATATCTTATTACTAACACTATTAAGTTTACTTTTGTACAAAACTGTTCATTGAATTCATAAAACACAGATAATATAAAACAGTTTAAAATATTTATACACATTAGAAGAGAAATTTAGAAAAAATTTATTTTTAGATAAATTTAATACAATTAATATTAATTTGTTTTAAAATTATTTGTATTATTATATACTTTAAATAAAGAATAACTGCGTCGAAGTATAAACAAATTTATTTATTTTTATAAAATTGACCATCATTTACAAAAGTAATTAAGTCATACATTGAATTCGTATTACAAAGTACTAACATACAAATCTAAAAAACAAAACACAACATATATACCATATATTGCATTAAGTAATAAAAATAAAAAATTGGAAATAGAAAAATTAGCAGATAACCTCATAAAAATTAAAATGAACAAATATATAAAGAAATCCAAATAACAGTACTAAAAAAACGAAAAAAGAAAAATTTTAAAAAAATTTGGTAAATAATTTATAAAAAATTTATATATAATTTCGAGATATAAGATATATAACACTAGGAAATGTAAAGTTCTTTCTGTCAGAAGGCACTAGGTACTATCGACTGACGACGGGTTGGCTGGCGGAGGCTATCAGACGCTGGCAAGCATTACACGTCTGTAATGGTTAACTAAGTAAGAAAGTATTCGTTATACACTCGTATAAAGAATAAGCTCGAAAATCAAATGTATAAAGAAACCACGTTACACGTTTGCTCAACGAATAAATTTGTCATATTATTATTATGTTGAAGATAGTTGAGTCAGTGCACTTGAGCACTTTTACTCTCTATTAACTGCGAGATTTCTAACCCCTGTCTATGTCTTAACTGGATTATTGTTTATCACTTCATCAGACTAAGCAATAACTGATCTCAGACCTGCATACCTCCCCGAGGAGCCTGTAATCATTCTGAAATTCGATAACACGGTGTTGATAAATCTGTCAATTTTCGCAAATAGTTTCAGGGCTCTATCTTTAATGTATTTTTGAACGCATCAATCTTGAGGCCCCTGAGGACGTTATTCGTTCTTATATACCATAGCATCTTGAAAAGTCTTCTGTCAGTTTTCGTAAATAACTTCAGGGCTCTATGTTATCCTTTATGTATTTTTTGATCGGATCAACCTTGAGATTCCTGAGGATGTCATTCGTTCTAATGTACCATGGTACCGTAAAAAGTTTTGTGCAATTTCTAGCTCACGAATAGTAGTGTTTGAGGCCTTGCTGAACGCTACACATCCATATAGAAGTGACGGTCGAATTATTTGGCTATATATCAGCTTCCTGTTCTTCCCATTGAGATTTTCATTTTTGAATAGCGGTTGGAGGTGATGAAGAATTTTAGCACAGCTAATTTTTTTCTAGTTGAACATAATTAAGCTATGTGAACTAAGCTATGTGAGGCCTAGATATTTAATGCTATCGTCCCAGTTTATTACCATATTTCCCACTCTCACTTTTGACGGGTTCTGTCTCCTCTTACGCGTAATGAATAGAGCCTTCGTTTTTTCATTATTAATTTTTATTTTCCATTTCTGGAAATTCTCCATGATGCGATTTATATGCTTTTGAAGTGTGTTGGTTATATTGAGAGTGTCGATGAACACTTGTTCAGGCGTAATTCTGGTGGACAGAATATTTGAATGTAAATGAGTCCAGCGTGCTACAGTAAGTATATTTATGAACATGATTAAGCTGATGTAATCCGGCTTAATGAAATTTAATATATTAAAAAAATATTTAAAAATCTATAAACACTTCTAGTTTTCTGTTTTTAAATTCAAAAGTGGCAAAGAAGATTGATACGTATACAACTTACACATGAAATAAACTTCACATTCTATTTACATAAAAGTACCTATATAGTATGTACATATATAGTACTTATGTACTTGTGTATACAAAAGTGAAATAAAGTTTGAACACAAACTCTTTGTGTTCTTTGTGGATTTGATTAGAGATATTTTTCTTTAGCAGTTCCTTTCAAAAGTAACCATCTGATCTTATTAATAATCCTAATTATTCCAAAATGAATGAATGAATGAATGAATGAATGAATATATTATATATTATTAAAGCTTTTATAAATATTAAGCTTATAAACATTTATATTAAATATTCTGAAATATTAATCTTTCGTCTTTTTAATTATGTATAATAATTATTTAAAACTATACAAAGTAGTTAAGTATATATAAGCCCCACTTACAAAAATTATTTTAAAATAATTGTTTTTAATTTTCATTTTTCATTTCATTTCAAACACACACGTGCAACGCTTTATACTTCATTTGCCTTACCGTTACACTGCGAATATTGCTACGCTGCTGCATATCCATGCACGTTCAAAATGACGCTGGCGACGACGCTGACGTTGCTGACCACTTTCTTCGCTTTTCAACTCTGGCAATGCAGCTTCATGACGAAATGGTGCTTCTTCTTAATTCGCATAGCTTAATGATAAACTGGGTTTGATTGAAAATTTCGTACGTGTGCTTATTTTTATTCGCTGCTTCGTTTTTGTTGTGTTTGTTGTTTTTTGTGTTAACAGCTTTAACAGCCTTGCTAAATCGAAAGCGGCAAAAAGCAGCGCGTAGCACATGCGAGTGACAGACAAGCAACAACATAGTCTCTGGTTATTTTATTTGATTCTTGTAATGAAATTTCTTTTAGTCGTCTTTGAAATTTCGACGTGATCATACAATAGTTGCGGTTTAAAAATTACTGATCAGTGTTTTTTGTTGTGCATTGAAAAAAAAATTCATTCAGAATAAACATTTATACAAATTTTATTGTGGTTTTATTAAAACTCTGCACTGCACACATATTGTGTCAAATTGTGTCATGAAGTTGTTTGACGTGATTACTTCGCTAATTACACTTTTGGTCTTTATCTACTTGCAATTGGAATAAAAACATTTGACCTACTTAACCTTCAAATCCTGCACCAGATATAGCAAGGATATCTTTTTACTTAAAATCCGGCTTGATTCAACGAACTCTTCCTACTCCTCAATTAAATCGAAAATATGAAGGTAAGTCAAAAGACCACATTAATTTAAAAGCTGCTTACCTGTTACCGCTTGCCAAGAAAAATTTGTATAAAATAAATGGTTAATGGAATCGTAAGCATTGCATTTATGCCGTATTCGCTTTGCAAATCTGGTACACGCCGTTAAACTGCGCTTTCCTAAATCATAAGCCAGCGGAACAAGTTGGAGTAGGTTTTGCCAGTGCAATTTATGCTGCAATTTGTGGCAATGAAAACGAATTGAAAAAAGTGTTAAAAAAGAAAACTAAAGAAATTACAACTCTAGCGAACGCTCCATTATTTACCGCAGGTGCTTCATGGAATTCGTGCTACAATTCAATCGGCGATGCACTAATTGCAGCTGCTAAACGGCTGAAAAAAATCCAATAATTAAGCTTGAAAATATATTATATTTTATTTAAGCTGGTAATTAGTGCAATATAATGTAAAAGTTTTAAAAAAAATTTTTGAATGTACTGGTAGCGCTATGTAACATACAATTAATTGTCAGAACAAAAATAAAAAAGCTGACGAAGATACTTACCCCCTTTGTAGGAAATTGAATAAAACCCGATAAAAGGATTTTGTTAAAAGGATTTAACATTACTTCAAATATTTATGTAAATAAATAAACATTGCAATGTGTGCTTCGCCAAATTACACCAAGATAGACTTAGTTGACACATAACATAAATCCTAAGCGAATACGCCGTCTAAAGCGCCAAAATTCTTGTGATCTTTGGACTTCAATGATTAAAATGTAATACAGTTGATTTATTATTGCGTCAAATCGCCTAAATCTAATTAAATTTAATTTGTTTGTTAGTTATCTAATACCTTAAATAATAAAACTAAATAAAAAAAATGTGCGCTTCGCTATATCAAAAATAGAAAATTTTATCCAAAATTATTTTAGAAATCTAACATACTCAAAAAATAGCGTTCATTACAGTTTAGATAAACTGTATATACTCAACCGATTGCATCAGAAGAAACAATTGCATATTCTTTCTTGTTCGAATTATTTCAATACATATTAATATAATATATTCTTACATTCTTCATGTTATTGCACAAGAGATAAATAACAATAACAATTCAGAGGTAAATTTGGCAGGATAAGAGTTCGATTCCTGGCACTTACAGTCTCAAAAAATTATTTACAAATACGCTAGTATTTGACATTACTGGAAACAGCTGTAAAAACAGCCAAAAATTCAACTAATTAAAATAATATAAAAATAAATTTTTGTTGTTGTAGTTCACTACTGTTCGAAAAACCTCTTTATATTATATATATATGTATATATATAATGTTATTTTAGTAACATAAGCATTAAAATGTGTAAATTAATTTCACTTTCGTTATATTTTACTATTTGATTCCACATTATTCTATATTTTATTATATATTCGCAACGAAAAATTCAAAATAAAAACTGTCAATAAACTTTGCTTAATTAATTAAAAAAGCATGGCAAAAATAAAAAGATAAACAAATATTATCAAGCTCTTGTTAATTAGTTAAATTCAATAATAATAAAAATAACGCATTAATTATGTGTACATGAGTTGTTTAAATTCGAAAATGAAGAATTTGTGAATTGGAAACTTTTTTACCAAAATTATAGTATTCGCTTCAATTTCACTTCAACCGCATTTAATCTCATTGACTTGACGTACTGTAAATGCATTGCAAATACTTTCTTATTTTATTTATTTAACAATTTAAAATAGTTGTAAGTCATCTGTAGTACGACAAATACATGAAACATAGCTATAATTTAGACCGACTTTACATTGGCGGTAATGAAGGTACTCGTTTAGTCCCCGCACTTAAATTGGACTTAACAAGTGTCGCTAAAAAGCGAAACTGCTTTCAACAGTGACGAATGAAGTGTGGCGTGCGTGCCATTAACGCTACTAACATAGCATTTGGAACGAACGCTCTTTGCCTTCCAGTTTGGAAGTCACGACAAAGTTACCAATTTCTAAGCTTAGGATAATACCCGTAAATAAAATTTAATGTAAAACTCTACTTTCATTTTTTCGTTCTACAATATTACAACCGCTCTTTGTTGTGCGCACATCGCATTGTACGTACTGAAAAATTCATTAAAACTAGTGGAATGAAGAAATGAATTGAAGTTTTTTTAATTGAATTTATATGGTCACCATTAACTTAATTGAAAAGCATCGAACGTGAATATATTTCAATTGTCTTATTGACATAAACTTATGTGTAATTAAGTTTTACAGACTTCAAGAAAAGATGTTCTCTTCTGTTGGTACTGTATATTGACAATATTAATTTATATTATTTAAATAACTATTTTTAATAAGCAAGTATATCTCTATAAATATTGTATAATTTCTATTGAAATTAGAAACATAAAATTATATATTCCTATTTATATTAAGTTTAAAAATTAGTAAACCTGTTAGGAAATTGATATTGTTGCAGTATTGGTAAGTTCGTTTTATAACAATCGTTTTCTTATTTTCGGTGTGAAATGAAATAAAAACCCTATTTTAATTTACATCAACTTAAAAATCAACTAATTATTACTTGTGTAAGTTACTGTAATTTTAGACTTAATACAATGTTAGGGATTTAATGGTAGCTATGCTAGACTCACTGAATAAATTGCATCATAATTTCTTTTTTCTTTGCAGCAGGTGGACAGTGTGAGACTTGAACCCACAAAAAACACCTCTTAGGAATGAGTAAGGATGATTCCATTTCATTCCATCCCGTTCAATAATAAAGGTAGAGAGGTTAGAATAAGAGGCTTAATACCTAGAGAAATAGGTTCATCTAAGCCAGAAAGCATAGACGTGAAGCAGAGAAATTAGGTGATGGTGAAAAGAGTGCTAGTGCTAGTGGTAAACTCTGTAATCGGGTTGAAGAGGGGATTGATGGAGGGATTGGAGTTCCACTCATCGAAGGAAAGGGAAAGGTATTGGGGAGGTTTGTGGCGTAAGGCCTGAACAAAGTCCACAGGGAAGGTGCTGGGGGCTGAGATATCAGGTGGGTTTTTGTATATCCGGGTGAAGTACCTTCGGACGAGTGAGAAAAAATACTTGTCGATGCGAGTGATTTTGGCAGAGTTCAAAAGGACGAAGTTACAACAGTGCTTGCCGTTAGGGTTGAGCTTGTAATTGGTGCAATAGCAAAGGAACTTTCGCTCGAAAAAATAGAAATAGAGAAAGCGTGCGTGACTAAGGGGCGAATAAGTTGTTTATAGCAGAGCAGTTCAACTTTGCAGATGTGCTGGTTGTGCCTTCGAAAAGTATTCTTTAGTTCAGTATGCTTAAACCGCGCTTATATACATACTCAACATGGGGCATGAAGTTGCGACGGGACGGTAGCATAACACCAAGCTATTTCAGCTTGATTATAAGCTGCATGATGGTGTTATCAAGCTTTAGCTGGATGATAGATTGCATCATTAATTAACTTTCTCTTCTTTACAAAAATAAATTTAATTTCTAGGTAGTTAGAATTGAGTATTTTTAGATATTTTAACTTCTCTGTTCTTATTGCATGTGTCAGCACATATTCACTTAGCCATATATATACTTTATTCTCAACATATATAAAATTACTAAACCTTGTATGATTAAAATAAATATTCTCGATATCGTTCGACAATTCAAATACTTTATAATTACGTTCATATTCTGAAAAGAAACTATTCTTTTTTTTAGCTTCTTCTACTCTCTGTGTTCTTTGCCATTACTCTGTGTGTGTGTTGTGAACCTGCGAATCTAAAACGGCCATTAGTTTTCCATCATAATTTGCAGTCAAAACTTGGTAAAAGCAGCAAACAAATTGCACATAGTCCCAGCGTAAAGCAAAAAACTTTAGTAGTGCAGATACGCAGTGATCAGCCGGTTCCTTTGGTTCTTAAAGGACGCTCCTATGCACAACAACAACTTACCCGGTTTAGAGGACCACGTCCGCTTAAAATATCAACAGCTCCTGTATATCTTCAAAATGGTCCACTGCTAACAAAGCCATCTTTGCGCAAACCAATTAAGATTAAATTACCATCCAGCAATACTAAATGGATTAAACCGTCCCCACTCTACACTAAACCATTTAAATACGAAAAGCCAGCATTTTCCCAAATTCTAGATAGTACTGCCGTACAAAAATTACCTGTAAGTATTGTTTATGCAAGTATACACATAAATCTATTAGTCGGTGATACCACAATAGATATTCAACCTATTAATACTGAAGCTTACTTATTAATGCTACGTTTCTTAAATATTTTTAGTTAAAATCACATGTGAACTTTGTTGCTAATCACTTCGCTCCTATTCATACCATTCCTGCACCAAATCTTGCTATAATACATGATAACCAGTTACACCATGAAGAAACATACTTAGCTCCTGAATCCCCCAAACCACAACCTTACCATCAATCGAATACCAACAACAACAATCAATATAAAGTCATAGAGGATAACACTAACGATCAGACTATTCTTGATCCATTGTCTGGTTCGCAAAAACTTTTTGCACCTGATCCAGATCCGTCTTTACCAACATCTAAGATACGTCCTGCCGTTGAACCGTTTAATCAACCAAGTAATAACAAGCCATTGCCAGGGGATGTTCAAAATAATATAGTAACTCCAGCTCAGCCTATCCTGCAAATAGTTGGTGGACAACACGTAGATGTGCCAACATCCGAAATATACCCAATACAACTTCAACAGTACGTAACAGCTGTGCAACCGATACCCATATACAACCCGACATATCTTGTTACGCAATCGAATAATCTTTACTCACAACACAAACAACAACTTTTCCAACCTAATGAAGATGTCGTTGAGGCAGGTTATGTCAACGCTGACTTAACACAAGAAGTTGCGAGCAACGGTCAAATTCTTCAAGCCGCGAAGGATCCCTACAATAATATTCATCCTGTGTTAGATTCTGCACCACAATTTGCTGCTCTAATAGCAGCACCTTCATTAGGAGAGGAACAAATTTTCCAAAGTAGTTCCTTGCATTTGCCGAACGGAATTTCTATTAATAGTGCAACGGAAAATGGTTTTGCAGTTTCAAATTATTATAAAAATGCCCAAGACTCATCTCAATTGTTACAAGTTTATGCAGAAGAAGAGGCACGCAACCAACAAATAGCGCAAGAGCAACAAGAACATCAACAACTACTTATACAGCAACAAAATCATCTATTGGAGTTGCAACAACAACACCAACAACAACAAATCAATCAACCTATAGATGCTGCTGCATCCGCTTTTGAAGAGCATCAACGGTTAGTCAAACAACAACTTGGTGCGAATACTCCTTTGCGAATATTTGTACCCGATGAAGAAGAGGTAACCTGAACGGAATTAATTTAATCTAAAATATTTAAAACATTAAAACCCTATCTAATTTAGCAGTTACGTCTTCAAAAACGATCAGATGAGAAACTTGAGGACAGTGAAATGGAAACTGACTTTTACCAGGATTTTCAATCCTCAGAGGCTTTAAATGAAATTAAACTAAACGATGATTCCACAGAAAATAATAGTAATTTAATCAAATAAAAATTCTTCATATAAAAATTTTTAGTTGTCCGACCAAATTTCTTATAATTGCTTTCATGTTGGAAAAATATATTAATTATTTATTTATTATAAATGCATAGTTTTTCTATATTCACAAAAACAAACGCAGGAAAAAAAATAGAAACGAAATAATACTAATTGGATTGATAAATACCCCGCATAAGTAATAAAAATGCTTTTTTTTTGGGAAATTATATTTTAAGCTTCAATAGAGTCCCCTTTTAGCTCCAGAGACACCGAATCCAACGATCTTTCAACATTTGGATATCTTTTAAATGATATAATTTATCAAGCCTTTCAAAATATAGCTCAGTTCCATTTCTCCCATTCCAATTTTATCATTTAATGCAAATCTCTTTCCCTAGAGCCATCTTTTCAAGTTTGGAAAAAGGTAATAGTCACTGAGAACCAAATCTGGAGAATACGGTGGGTAAGGACATAATTTGTACCGTAATTCATTTAATTTTGCCAAGGTTTTCATTAACGTCTGAACGAATGTGTTATCCTGCAGAAAAGGAGAACATTTCTTTCTTCAACAAATGTGATCGTTTTTTCTTGATTTCTTTATTCAATCGATCTAATAATACCCAAAAGAAGTGTGATGTCATTGTTTTCCTTTTTGCAAATAGTCTATGAAAATTATTCCACTTGAATCACAAAATACGGAATATGGTAGTTTGGGAGCACTACCCCCGGGCTCTACCTATTCTCTGGCATGTTTTTTTTTCGTTCCGGTGTAGAGTAATAGAACCATTATTCATTAATTGTCACAACTCGACGCTTACAGTCAGCTAAATTATCAATTGTGAGTAAACGTTGCACACATCTTGCCGAAAGCTTTATCATACCCAAATATTCATATAAAATATTCGCTTCGCGCTCAAATGATATGTTTGTGATCCCTGCTGTCTCATCCAACATCGTGGATTTTTTCAATGTTTTTTTCAGTAGTAACCTCTTTTGGACGACCCGGACGCTCTTCATCAAAAACTACGAGTGTTTACGAGCCATCTGTTGTGAAGTAAATTATCAATTCATCGAATGTGGCTTCTATTTTATTGTTACATGTAAACACACAATAAATCAACACCAACCCAACACCACTAGATGTCAAGATAACAACGACGCTGGAAGGTCCAAACTGGAATTTGAATACGAAATTTTTCTAAATTTATTAATTTGTCAAAATTATTTAAATTTAAGCTATTACATCAGTTGTTTGTACACGAGGTTATAATGATTACAGTAAGCTAAAAAAACGCTATTTTTAATTAATTTTTTTTGGTAAAAGTAAAATATGTTATTGATGTTTTAAAATTATGTTTTTATAAATTTAGAAATATAATTAAATAGATTATGTTAGATAAATTTTTTTTTGTTTGAATAAAATGCAAAATTAAAATAAAAAAAATAACTAAAACTAAAAAGTTAGATAAAGCAAATCATAACGTCCTGCGGCTCCTTTGTGCATTTGCCCCATCGAAAAAAATATGTAAGGCCTTTAAGACATTTTTAGGACTTGTGAAAAAACAAAGTTAACGAAGAAAAAGAGTTGCCTTTATATAAAAACATTCTCAAATTTATATAAACTAATAAAAGTTTATTTACGTCACTGTGTAGTAAAACTAACACACTAAAAAAACGCACCAAAATATGTCTATATATTTTTGTGCGAACCCTGATATACATATACAAAACACCTAAGAACAGCTTAGGTGTTGATTAACATCAAACGATGTTCATAAACTTTAAAAAACATCTCCGAAAAATTTTATGTAAACAGTCTGATTACAAATAATTCGCATTTAACAATTAAAACATAATAGTATGGGCTATGTCACGACATTTCAAACATATTATTTAGCATGCAATTAACATTGAATTTTTCCGAAGCACTGGATAGTTACCACAGTTTAATGTTGGATTCATCAAAGACAATTCACAAAACTAAGCACTTAAGACTTTCATATATTTGTAGCACGGGTTTAGCATGCGAAGTAAAAATAGTGAAGAAATCCTAGATGTGTGCCTTCACAACGTATTTTTCGGAAACTATTGTGAACGCAATTTATAGTATTTTTTTTTATAAATGCAACAGTGTTTGCGGATAATTATTACACTGAGCTACCCTGAAATTGATATGTATTAGGCATACAATGTAAACAACAGGAAAACAAAGAAACTAAAATTGCAGGATCATTCTCTAACAGTAGCATTAGTTGCAATGGATTCCCATAAAAATATTATTAAGGCGGTTAAATCCAACTGGATTTTAAATGGCGGATGTGGACTTAATGAAGTAGTTCAAACAAATATAACAAATGAAGATATATTTGTAAAGCCAAAATTGGATGATATTCTTTGTGCGGATCGTGCAATTTTACTGGGACGTCCAAATTCTTCTCGAAGTGAAACGGCCTGTGAACTTCAACTTTTGGTGTCACCTCCATATAAAGTTGAAGCGTTTACTGTTTTGTGTAGCGTACCGAAAATAGAATTATTTATTGGTGAACAAAAGGAATACGCAGAAACTGTTTACGGTACAATTATGGAAGAAGACGAAGATGAGGCAGATATAGCTGGTTCATTAGTTTCGTATAGGTATGACGTGGAAATAGAAAAGTCAGGAGTGGTGGAAGTAACTTTAAAGGTGATATAAAGCACATGTCAGTTGATATCAACTTAAAAACATTTATTTGTAGTTTATTACGCCCGCTGATGAAGTTTGTGTTTTCGGTATCATTTTGTTTGCAGCTCCAAACCCAAACGGAATTACTACACAAACACCAAATTGTATAAATTTGGAAAACGTACAAAAAATTCTAAACAGTTCCAAGCAAACCATATCACCAGGAGCAGAGAAGTGCAAATTGTTCATGCAATTATATAGTCAAAATTCAAATATGCAAGACCAATTAGTTGAAAGCAGTAATAAGAAGACTGGAAACGATGCTCTATTGGCAACGTTGCTGGATAACATTGTAAGAAAAAATATTGAAGAAATGGAATCGAGAATGAATACGCGATTAAATCTAATAGAGCAACGTTTAAGTAAACTTGATGAAGTTTTAAGTATCTTGAATCAGAACAAATAATTTGCAAATCTATTGGTGCATTTTACATATTCTCATTAAATTATATCATTTTATACATCAAACACTTTAATATAAATAAATAATGTTTTCAATATCTGAATACTACAATAATTTCTTATATTTCTTACTCCTATAAAGCAATCTTCTATATCGGAATTTAATATATAAAACATTTGGCGTTATTTTTAAAAATTTTATCATTACATGTAATCAAATTTTGTCCTTTTAATCTTTGGAAATGAAACAAAAATTCTTTAACATCCCGAACATTACCGAAATTTAAAAATATTCATACTTATGTAAAGAGGACTAAAATTAGATATTGCTTTATTTCTTAAAGTATATCTCTTCAATAAGCTAGGTAACTTATTTTATATATAAATAATGAGTAACTTTTACTACACAGGAATTTAAAAAGTAACTATATATAAATTTCTTTAATTTATGAATAAATTTGCATTACACTTCTAACGTAACAACTTTACATATATAATATCCGTTTACCTACAACTGCACAATAATTTATTCGGAATCTGAGTCGTCGCTCGACGATTTGTCTTCTTTATCGACGGCATCATTAATCGGCGGATCATAAGAATGAAGCTGTTTTCTCCATATTTTTACTAATCCATCGAAAGCTCTGCGACTATATTTTCCATATTTGTTAGGAGTACGTGGATGGTCACGGGTACGTTGGGATCTTTATTAAAAATATTGTTTATTATAAGTTGTCATTCTTAAATTATTGAATATTACCTTGGTATAAGTTCCAAATAGCGCTCATATGCAATAGTGTTTTTACCATAATCGATTTGCTTCTGACGACGTGATATAATGGCCGGATCAACCTCTGTGGATGCTGATGAAGATGAAGAATTGATGCTATTATGACGCACTCGCTTTTCCACTTTACGACTATTAAAACTATTTCGAAGAGTTGCAACTTCACCGCTGGTTGTACTGTTTGGACTATCTGAGCGACTATCAGTGCTTGTTGCATTTGAATAACGACGTTTAAAAGGCGTTTTCAATTTATCTTGTTTAACTAAGCGATCAAATTTCTTTTCGTTCATACCATCGATAAACTCTAGAGATATTTCACGTGCACTTTTTGAGTTCTCGAACTTATTTCCAGAGTTATTGCAACCAGTTTCTTGCTCTTCATTCGAGGAACGCGACTAAATAATCGTTTAATATTTAATTTAAAAATTTTATTCACAATCTTTGTACTTACACAAGAATGGAGGGTACGTTCAGATTCACAAACATTTTCCACCCAACTTGTTTTTAAATCCAATGAAACTTCAGATGAAGCTGCTGATAAGTTAACTTTTGAAGCGCCAGCGCTTTCATGTTTGGTTGGAGAACAGTCCACGGCCATATCCTCGCAATTATCCATATTAACAAGCAGTTTCATAAAATTATTTTTAGTTATAAACAGACACAAATATATTTGACCCCTTATAGCGTCAAACACTTCCCAACAACAGTAAAACAATGCCAAAGCATTACATTCTTTTCCAAACAGTTCCCGCGTTTTTAATTTTATTTTTATTCTTGCATTTATCCAATTCGCATCACAAGAATAGAGTGGCCACACTGCAAAAAAAAATTCTTTTACTTTTACTTTGTTTCTCTGAAATTGGCATGTACGACGATGTTTACTAAAAGTATTATTCAGAATATAATTTAATCAAATTATTAAATTCAAAATGTATGTAATTGTTTGATATTTTTAATATATATATTTGTTATATAATGCTCTTTTTGATTGTTATATAATATTACTGATGAAGCCAAATTTCTAAGCATTGACAAATTGTCTACAAAAAAAATTTATATAAAGTAAATAATAATTAAAAAAAACTGAAAAATATATTTAACGATTCAACATAGCTCTAAATAACAAAAATAAATAATTGAAATTGTTAATCTTCATAATAAACTATCTATATTCAAGTTCAGTGCAAATGGTGTTGCATTATTACATTTGCAAACAAGTATTACAGACTTTTGCCTGTTAAAAATAAACTATACAGACTTATATATACCTCTCTGGTACCAAATGATTATATAAATATATTTGTAGCAAAACAATTTATGTATCCGCTCATTTTGCTTACTCATAATATCAAGTTAAAATTACAATCCGAATCTATACAAATTCTGGCTGCCAAAATTACAGTTGAATGATAATTTATAAAATATCTGTATTGTATTAAATTTCTAATTCACAATAGTCGAATTGTGCAGCGATGTTATGAATAATTTTTATAAACTGCAACGACACGGATCTGATTTTTCAACCACGCCCATTTGAAAACGGGCGTTTTGTCAAACTGTCTTTAATAAAGACAGTTATTTTAAACAAATTGTCACTTTAAACTACACTTCAATATAATTTTGTTTTAAAGATATATGGCTTCAAAGTAAGAAATGTTTCTAAGAATATCACTGGTAGCAAGCCAGATGACTTGTGTAATCAATTAAATGAAAGAATCAATGGAAAATTGCAACTACGCAACTTTTGTAGTTTTTCTTAGTACTACCAACGCTACTAGTTTACAACTTTAATTCTAGCAATCTCAAGAGGTAATCCATAGCGGCATTTACATTTACAAGTTTAATTGCCAAAACAAAATTAAATTAAAATTACGATTTGATGTGTGAACAGGTCTTTAGTGAATCGAGTCGAACAAGCAAAATTACATTTCAAATGACAACTGCTCGTGCTTTCTGTATAGACTATACCCTTTAAAATTTGTTTTCGGTTAATAGCATAATCAAACTACTGCGTAACCCTGCTCCAATATTTGCATCGAATTATCAATACAGGTACTATATATTGACATCGTTACAAAAATACCATATGTATCAGAAAGAAATTGGATCCTCAACTAACTCTCCATTTCCTAATATATTTTAAATATAAAGAAAAGATGTTTGGATTTCGTTTCATCCAAACAGCATTAGATCTATTTTCACAAAATAAATTACCATAGTTAAATGATGAACACACCAATGCTTAGGAAAAATGCTGTTTGTCATACGGAATTTTGCATTTCAAAGAAAGGGTTATTGGTATGTGGTGCCTTTTTTATAATGAATGTTCGAGTTTTTAAATTTATCACAATTTTATACTGTTCCCAGTTGAGCGAACAATAATTCTATAGATCCTATAAAAGAACACATTTCGCAGATAAAAATAATATTCATTTTATAATAAAATATAGAATGAATTTTACTTTCTAAATGTTTAATACAATGATATTTATAAATTATGTATATGCAAAATCAACCCCAATGTCCACAAAATAATTTATCAAATCAAATCATACAAGGTTAAAAAATCAATGTAAATGTATTTATAAATATAGAAGACAAAGAATAAACGTACGTAGTAATTTGTTAGTTTTAAGTTGATGTTTTTATTTTTTTAGTGATCATATTCTTCGATTAAATGATTATGAATAGCATTTCCATTTAGTCTTCGATGTATTCAAATGGCTCTGGTGGTTCTGGTTCCTTAAGATCTTCATTTTTAGGTCCAAATGCAGCTACTGGTTCTACCAACTCCTGGTCGGGTGTTTTACCAGTGTGTTGCATGACAATAATACCACCTATGGTAACATCTTTTAATGGTTTATAAGATTGTCCGTCAGCCACACATAAGACCTTTAATTGCTGACGCATAACACGAGCGGGATTTTGTAATAACTCAAAATTAGGTTCTGGTTCTTTTTTATCTTTTTTATCATCACTTTTATCTTTTTCTAAAGCTGAGCTGCTAGTTGATGGTTTAAGATCCTTTTCACTTTCTTTTTTCTTTTCTTTCTCCTTTTCATCTTTCTTCTTATCATCTTTTTTCTTCTTATCATCTGGTTTTTCATCAACTTTCGTTTTCTCTTCTTCCTTCTTAGAATCCTTACTATCTTCATCGACATCCATTTTTTCTTCCTCTTTTTTATCCGCGGTCTCCCTACGTTTTTGTCTTGCGGCAATTGATAATACTGCAGTTGCCACCTTTTCTCGTTCTTCTGATTTTTTTTCTTCCAATGGCGCTGGATAAGCGTAAAGTGATGGTTTGGCGGAAGATCTAAACTCCATTTTTGGCATTTTCAAATCAGAGTTTAAGCCAATGACGCAAGTAGGTGTAAAAGCTAATGATAACGCATGTGCCAACGGGAACCAGTACCAGTATTGCGTAAAAACTAACATACCAACAACAGCTTGAAGATTCGTGTGACCTGTTCTAGACTGCAAGGACAGAGTGGCATTACGACCTCCAGCATCAATAATACCTAATTTTATTTATTTTATTAATAAAAATTATAGCTTTATTTCAATAAAATATTTCGTACCTTGAGCTAATATAGCACCATATTTTGCCATTACATCTTCATGTTTGTTACTTATAACTTCTGCATATAATTGCCTAAAGTAAGCTACTTTTGGACAAGTTTGATCAGTATGCTGTATTAATATCATTGCCGACGCAATGAGTGCACCTTGACGAACAAAATTCACAGGATCGAATTTGACCATTGGTTCTAACAAAGCAATAGCCTCTCGCAATCCAGTACCACCACACGCTATACCTAACGCCATTGCTGCTCCATATCTTACATGGGGATTATATGATTCGGCTAATAAGCTTACAACAGACGGACATTGCTCAGGTGTGCGGAATAATATAAAACCGATAGCCGTGACTGCAGCTCGACGCACATCATCGTTAACATCGGACACAGCAACGTGTAATAATTTGCGTATCGCCTTGTTACTGCCAGTACCGTTATATGCCATTGCTATTGTATACATACCAGAACGACGTAAAACTGGATCCTTATCTGTAGATAAACTTGTTACAAGAGGGTCTGCTTCTTCCAATCTTGCAAACATTGTAAGAGAAATACCAATAGAAAGGCCTCGCAGAATTTTTTCATGTTGTGTTTCTTGAGCATATGAGACCATATCTTCTATCGCTTGTGCATTTTTCGATCCAAGCATAACCATACCCATGCCAATACCTGCTGCCTCTCCAACTATAGCATCATCTTGATAGAGGTTAAACTTAAGTTGTTCATATAAGTCTTGCCTATGAGTACCCATTGCAGCTAAACCAAGCCCCAAACATCCACCATGACGAACGTTTTCGTTTGTGGCATCTTTTAATTGTTGCAGAAGGTAATCGATAATGTTTGTACCATGATTGGCATGAATTAAACCTAACGCATATAATCCGCCTCCTTCAGAGTAACCAGAGCTAGGGCCAGTTTCTTTAGGCAGGTAACTTTGCATAAGAGCTAGTGAATCTTTTTCATGACCCCGATGAATAACACCCAAAGATGCAGTCGCTGTAAGCTTTGCCCAATTAGTAGCCCTTGCCAACCAATCTAAATTATCACGTAGAAATTGGTCAGAGGTTGTCCCACTATGCATAAATGCGTTTGCTATAACCGTGGCAGTATGACAAATCGACACACGCACAGCTTCTTTAGTTCCGCGCAGGATTTGCATATCAGCGTGATTACTTCGAATAAGAAACTGAAGTTGCAGGCTAATTGTTAATTCTCCCGAGAGGATAGATATAAGCTTTTCAATGTTTTTCTGGTGAGCTTTTTCTGAATCGTTAAGTGAATCTATTGTTCGTTCAATTTTAGAATCTTCTGAAAATAATATATTCATTTACATTTATAAAAAAAAAATACAATAGCTCAAACTTTACCATTAGTATCTTCGTCACTTTTTTCGGTTTTTTCTTTTGCCTTTTCCTCGTCTGTTTTTGAGGAATCATCGGATGAATTAGTACCCTGGGGCTTGAACGTACTTGGCAAAGCCGTTGGTATAGGCGCAGTTTCTTTTAATGCTTGTAGTACTTTTCCTAAAAATTCTTGAGTCGCAGATTCGTACAAATCGAATGCGATCTGATAAGCCATTAAATTGTTAGGTTCTTGCGATGAACGTGTTAATTTATCAAGAACCTCTGCTACAGCTAAGGGATCTTCCAAAAAAATTAGACACTGACACATATTCACATAATCTGGAACACCTAAATCACGGTAAAGACCAACTAGACAACGTAAAACTTCATTACGAAAACCACGATTTTGAATAAGTGACATGGTTACATTGTATGCATAAGCCAGCATACCACTAACATCATCTGACTTCATAATGGAGACTTCAAAAATATCCATACGACGTGTTTCCAATGCGATGCCAAGTGCTTGTCGATATTGGCCATCATCCAAACACCTCTGAATCATGCGATTAACAATACCTTCCAATCGAGCATCAACTGACTTAGCTTCCTTAGGATTTTCAATATATTCAACTCGTTGCGCAATGTAGAAGTCTATGCATTTAGCTATTATAGTTTCAGTGTACTCATTACGTGCATTCACATCGAAGAGGTCACCAGCTCCGAGGGCATATGTTAAAGCATCTTCAAATGAACCAAGATGATAAAAAACTTTGGAAGCAACCATACCAGCTAACTTATTTTCTGGAAAGCTACGATCTTCATGCAGCATTTCAATTTTCTCAATGGATTCCGATATTTCTGGCCAAAATTCATCGACGATAAAATCTAGCTTTTTTAAAGCAAATACCTTTAAATCAGCTATAGGCTCATCTAGGAGCGAGATTATGCCCGCAGCCGATGTTATATTCATTTTAATATCACTATGAAGAAAAACAAAAATATCTATTAAAACCGGACGCTGAAATTGTTAAATGTCTAACCTTAAATTAGGTGCTGGAGTTCAAATGTATTAAAAATAAAGAAATTTTAAGATTTTTAAAAATTAATTATTCGAATAATAATATTTTTGAATAAATTTCACTCTGTTTCTTTCTTCCTATCAGAAACAAATTTAATACGTTGACTACACGGTTAATACCGAAAACTGCAAATCACTTATTATTCTTGAAATTTTGACATTTACTTAGGTTTGTAGTAGAAAGTGTTTGTAAATATTGCAAGTTTTAATCTGCAGGTACTGCCATCACAACTTTTTCAACCAAAATTCAATTGAAAATATTAACAAATTGTTACTTTCCGTGTTGAAAAATCACCATGATTTCTACTAATGACAATTTTCCGAAAGTATACCAATTATGCGATATATTTTAAATTTCTTTTTTTTTAAGTCATGCACTAAAAAATAAGTAATTTTTACTTGCACAAAATATGTATTTGAATTTGTCTAAGAATGCTACGCCATGTAAATGAAATGCAATTAGAAAATTAAAGAAAACAATACTTTCATCATATTTCATTATACAAAACCCAAACATTATATGCATTTATTGTATGTGTATTTAATGCACATTAATATATTAATATATAACTTTAAAGCTCGATATCTCGAGCTATACTATATAACGTAGTGGAGAAAGTTACTCGGAATGAGTTTATTATGTATATACTATCGTTTTTTGGGTAATTTTTAAAATTCACTTGCGCTTGTTTTTCAATGAAATAAATTATTTCTAAGTACTACAATTTAACGACGGTTTGTCATTATAAGTAACTTTTTCCATTAAGCTTTATCTCAATGTGGTTTGGTCCTCGAGATAACGTGCTTCAATGTTATAATATTAATATAATTTGTTATAATGCAAAGAAATAAACAAAAAAAATGTAATGGTTTTTGACTTTACTTTTAAAAATAAAAAACCAAGAATTAAACAGTTTAATTAATTTTCTAACTAAAATTTGTTTTTTACACAAAGAATTTTAATTGTGTTTTTGATTTGGTAATACGTATCTGCTCGTTAAAAATTTGTTCAAATAAATCTGTTAATTTTATTTTGATTTTATATATCATATTTATTTCATTTGATTTTATTTTAATTTTCAAGAATTATTCGCAATATCATAATATAATTGTACTACTATAAATTACGAATTTGATGTTATTTTGATATTGTACAATAAGGATTGAATCAAATCAGATTGTGATTTCACCTTAGTTTTATACTTAAGGACCCAAACGATCCTTTTCGCTGTGTGCATAGGCTGCAAGTTTTTTTTTGCAATCAAATAATTTTATTGGATGGATAATTTTGAAGGCATAGAGTAATTTTAAGATGTTAAACGTAAATGTGTTCGCGAACAAATGTAAGTATTCCTCTTGAAAATTTTAAAATATTTACATCAGCTGATATTTTTGAAAACATCAATCATTTTTAAAAATAAACAAGTGATCTGTAGACTTAATGAGTTTGCTCAATCAGTTTGAATCATAACACGATATAGTTTATATATGAGTGAACATTTCTAAATACAGTATCTTGTGAAGAATTTGAATAAATTTTTATATTGGCAAAGGACGAAAAGCTATAAGATGAGGAACACTTTATTGGATGAAGTAAGTGAACGGTTGATCAAAAATTGAAAAAATTATTAAGATTTGTACTCTTATATATATATATTTGTATAAACATTTTTATAAGCATAAGTTGATGAATTTAATTCTATTAATAGCTATCGACTAATTTAACTTAAACATACTCACAGTTCCTTTCGATTTATATCGTTTTAATACATTATAATAGAAAAAAATAATAATTAGTGTAAATCATAAAATATACCGTCCTCTGTCCATTAAGCTGTCATCACTCCATTCTAATTGCATCCGGCATAATTATATGCATTTAATATGCATATTTATGTTTGTAGGTAGAAACCCACAAGCAATTTTGCCTACGCACATTTTTAACAAAGAAGTTTTATTTATTTTATTATTTCATTCCATTCTTAAAATTTCATTTACATTTTATAAGATATAACTTCAGAAATTGCTGCTGCTATAAATTTATTTTTTCACCCCCCGCTGATAATTACATTTGTTTGTAAAAAGTATGCATGATTTCGGATCAGCGCATTAAAGAAGAATTTATTTTTGTGCTTAAAAGGTTTAACAATAAAATAATTGGGAATATTTTTTTGTATTAAAATCCTTGTTGCAATTCCTTTCATAATTACAAAATATCAATGGGAGTGTTGAATATTAAGTGTAAAATAATTTCCATAACATAAAAACTTTATTGAATAAATTAGTTAATTGATTTTTGATTTGAAATTTTTAAATTATTAAGATTATGATGAAATGATTCACATCGAACTAAATATTGTCAAAAACATTTCCTTACATTTCCCCTCCTAGAAAGAGGGAAGCTTTTAAAAAATAGAGAAAAATATTTTTCAATTAATTTCGTATGAGAAAATTTTCACTTTTGCTTTTGATTGCCAACATTTGGTCAGGTGTGCAATCAGTCAGTAACTATTTTTAATTCTTGTATTATTTTATACATTTCAATTTTTTGAGAGATTCGAGTGTACCAAATATATTTAAATTGTTTTGGTTTTTAATTATGTTTGCAAATAGAATTTCATATAGTTTTCACTTATACAGTATATTATATTTTTTAAAATTATTTTTTGGAATCAAAATAAGATATATTTTTCATATAAAACTAATAACAATTATAGATAAATGAAAATGGATTTATTATAATTGAGGAGTTTTTAACAGTTGAAGAAGTAGAAGAACTTTACAGAGCTGGCCGAGCTCTTTGTATGGATGCACCGCAAGCGAATCGTAAAATTTTTAGCACTGTTAATGCCTCCGATACTCATAGCAAGGAAACGTATTTCCTTGAGTCTGGTGATAAGGTTAGTTACTTTTTCGAAGAAGGTGCTGTTGGTCCAAATGGTGAATTGTTAGTTAATCCAATGCACGCTTTAAATAAAGTAGGCCATGCCTTACATACAGAACATCCTACTTTTGAGAAAATTACATTTAGTAATCGCGTGCGCGAAATTTGTTGGCAGTTGAACTTTAACAGGCCTGCTGTATGCCAAAGTATGTATATATACAAAAATCCTGGAATTGGAGGAGAGGTGATACCGCATCAGGATTCATCATTCATATATACAGAACCGAACTCCACTATCGGGTTTTGGATTGCATTAGAAGATTGTAATTTGCAAAACGGTTGCCTGCAATTTATAAAGGGGTCTCATAAGAGTGGCGTACATCGACGCTACATACGTAATAAAGAAAACGACGCAAATGAGTTGTTAATATATGACAGGTCAGCACCAATATATCCTCAATCAAGTTTTACCCCATTAAAAGTAAGCAAAGGTGAGTATTTGTTAGTATTATTAAAATAATTATAAATATAATATATAAATTATTTTTGATAGGTACTTGCATTGTTATTCATGGTAATGCTGTACACAAAAGTGAACCGAATCGTTCCCAACAAAGTCGTCATGCTTATGCTTTCCATGTGATCGAGACTGAAAATAATGTGAAATACTCCCAAGACAATTGGCTTCAACCTATCAAAGACAAACCTTTTCCAATATTATTTGAATGCAAGGATAAAAATGAGTGTGATTAAAACAATTTTTATATATCTTCAATGATAGTATCATAATTCAAAAATAAAAGTTTATGAGTACATTAAGATAATATTATCTAAAAATGTATAATTCTAACAATATTTATATTTCAACAATTCCGCTACCATAATATTACTGTTTAATAAAATTTTAGTAAAAAGTTAGTATAAAGAATTTTTGATAATATAGATATGCGATTAGATAGAAGATAATTCTGTTGATCTCCGTGTTCTAAATAAGTTCTTTTTATTAATATTTATATATTTCAAAATAAGTTTCAGTAAAATATAAGAAAATATGTTAGTTTTAAACATACGAAAATATCAAATCGAGACATCTACTAAAAATTTTGAACTATTACTTAACAATATAGTACGAAATAAAAAAACTATAATACTAAACAGATACTGTAGTCTTTAAAGAAAGACTACTTCTCCGTAGAAAAACACCATTGGTAAATATTTAACCTCAAACGCGATAAAGCCACACTTATTGCCACAACAAATAACATAAAATAATTTTAGAAAAACAATCTTTACCCATAATGCAAGTAAGAAACGAAATATAATCATTTAACATTCCCTTCAACGGTCGCTTTATCAGTCCAACTTTGTTGATTTATATGGGAACCTCAAAAGTTGGGTTTAATGATTTGATTTCAATTGGAGAGTTAGTGTAAGCATTGGCGTAGCCAGGAAATAGCAGGTAGGGAGTCTAACTTAGCCAAATTAAAGCAGAGAGTAAAAAAAAAGTCATTAATCTAAAGTTCTGCCTTTAATATTATTTAAAAAAAATTACAATTTGTTTTTGCTTCAAAAAACTAATACATCGTATGCCCATACCTTCGCAATTGGTCCATAACATTTATTGTTTTTACTTACCTTACTCACCAAAAATTATGAGTTAGGAGAGCAAAGTTTCGCAAGTTGCTACTGCAACGCGGGGATATAAGTGTTCAACACCACAGATTTAAAGCACATATGAGGCAGTAGCGATCAAAAATAAATAGGTTATAAATGCTAAAAGAGTATAACTACACTCTGTAATAAAAAAATTCATATATTAAATAAACTTCCGAAATCCCGCATTTTTTATTTAGTGTGTTAATTAACGGTCTACCGGGAAAACTTTTATTAATACCACGTGTTGCATGCAATTATGCACCAGTTGGTGTCATTTTGATTTCGAAATATTTTGGAATTTTATTTTATTTTATAAAATATACTGAATGCTGATCCTAATAGCAGTACACCAGTAAAAAATTTATTTATAATCCATTCAAATGTATGTATATTCGAATGTTTATAGGGTGAACCGTAAAGGTGTGCCACTTAATGCATACATATGTGTACATATAACATAGCAATGCATTTTATTTAATAAGAAGTAATAAAAAACGAACAAGATTGAACATTTTTGCAATTAGACGTAATACAGAAATAATTTATAATTTCTAATAAAATTTCTTAGTCAAAATGCGTCGTGATAGTTAACGACGCGCATAGTTACAACGTATATTTTTGCGCAACAAATAAGCCAACAATAAGAACAGTTTTTGTATAAAAAGACCCAGTATTCATTGAAGTTTGAACTCATTTCGTTGAGAAGTCGATATAAATATTAAGATCAAATTTATTGATTTTGAACAACGCAACATAGTCAACTGAAAGTCAAATCTCAACTGTCAAACTTAAGTATTTATACACAGTCAAAACGTACAAGCGAATTCAACAACGTAAATCGGTAAATTTACACGAAATAAAGCAAAATTATTATAATATAACGAACATAAAAATTTTAGAGTTAAAGTGTAAATGTAGTTTTTAATTTTTCCCGGAAAAAAGTATTAAATTTGAGTGCCGAATAACAATAAAAATAAGCAGCAGCTGCGTTCAATCGCATGTCTATTGAGTGAAGTTTTGGATGCAGTTAATGGAAGGATTTGTCAAACAAATGTAACATCAATTTTGGTAAATTGTAACATAACATACATTTCGTATTCCTGAAATATTTAAAGAGCATACTGGCATTGTTTATTGTTATTGCTATCTATAAATAGAAATTGGGGTCTTATTGGTATTACTTTCCGCTTTTTGCTACTGAAGTCGTGTTTTGATAAGCAAATTAAAAAATCAGTTTTTGCTAGCTCTTAATAAATATATTTTTTGCTTGCTTTTTATGTGTCATTCAATTATTTTGTTTACATTTTTTGTTCTTGACAATACTACATTTAAGCGATGAAGATGACGGTATCATGATGACGCACTTAGTTAAATTAGAATTTTGCGTATTTCAAATACGGGTGACACATATGTATGTATGAGTTTGAGCGTGCTTTCGCCAATGAACAAATGTAGTCGCACGCAACAACTATTTTATCCTTACATTTAACAAGTTCTTAACTAAAATTTATAACGAATAATATATGTAAACTGTTTTTACGAAGAAAAAACTAAAAAACATAATGGCAATATTTAATATAAATGTATGTTTGTATAGTACAAAATGAAAATTATTACATCAACTTAACAGTTACTTTTGAAAAATATACTGGAGCGGATCTTAAAATTTTCAAAATATTCAATTTAATTTTTTTTGGATTTTTTAAAAAATATTTTGACATGGTAGATCATTTTGATGTTTAATAATTCAGTTGCCAAAAATTAATAAATAATTATATTAATTTACAAAACCAGTGTAATAGATACGGATGTTTTTTATACCTAGAAGCTATAAAAATAACTTCTTACCTTACAAATAAAATTTATAATTGGAGTATTTATATGTCATGCACTATTCTTATTAAAGTTACGTCGAAATGTATTTGCATTCGATCTCGCAGATATTATAGTTTGGCAGAATACACTTTTTTATAAAAAATTAAAAAAGAATTTGATATAAATAACATTTTTTTAATATAAATATTTAAAAAAAAAAATAAATAAAAATATTATAAGATTATTTGTGTGCACTAATTTTCAATCGGAATTTAGAAAAAATCGCTTACTACTTTGATATTAGGTGCTTTTCGTGGCTCGCAAGTGTGGCAAAAAACAGCATACTGGCCTATAAGCGCTAAGCGAGACATTAGCATCGCTGTTGCAGTCTGTCAAGTTTTATGTTTTGGCAAATAGCAAATCTTGCATTTGTGTACATAATGATAGCAAATTACATTTTGTATAAAAATAAATAATAAAGCTAAAACTAAAAAATTGAATTAAATAATAAACTAAAAGCAATGTACAGAATGCAGGAAATTTTTTGAAATTTCCTTTTACAACAACATTAATAATAGTTTAGAATATTAATTGCCTTAATAAATATATACTTGTAAGCAACCAATACGTTAAAAATTTTAAACCGTTTTTCATTTATACATAGTTTTAAAATCACAATTTTGCATATTTTTAAAATATTTGTTTTCCACAATTTTGAAATTTGTGAAAAAAATTTTATTTTTGTTTGAATTTTTATTTACAAACATTTGACATATGATTGGAATATTCGTTGACAGTTCCAATGAAGGTTCACAAAAGTTCGCTTATGCGTTGGCAACACTTATTTCTTTACTGGCCAAAATGTTTAACCACTTCACAACTAGGCGCTTAGATAGAAAATGTAGTGTTGTTGTTTTGCGTGCATATAAGCAACTATAGGCCAGCAACTTGTTGTTTTTTGCCACACTATTATTGAAGCACCTATTATTGAATTCTATAGTATTTTAGTTGATTATAGAGTCTACAACAAGTATCTTGCATAAGAGTTGTATAAAATCAGCATAAAGTCTGGTTCAAACAAATTGGCATCACTTTTAAAATATGTTAAATGATTATTTTTGACATATATTTTTTGTGTTGTATACAATATGAAATATAAAAATTGTAAACACAATTAGTTTAAATAAAAGAAAACAAAATGAATTTTAGAAGGGCAACCATTACTATCTTATATATTTAAATTAATTTATTTATTTATGTATTTAAATTTATTAGTAAATGAAATGCTCATATGATTTTTACAGATAACTGAAATTTTGCAACATATTTCCAATAAACATTCACAATAGACTAATTACTTAATTTGACCGCACTGAAGCTTAAGGCGCAAAGTTTTTGCGAGTAAAACTTAACTCTATAGATTTTAAGAGCAGTGTTGTTGCTTCACATGTTTTCTTTCGTAAATTGCGAATATTTTTTTGCTAATCTGAAAGAAAAAAATACGACTATTGTTATTTCACGCGCTGTTTTAGAGATTTAAAAACAGCGCGTCTGAAGAAACCAAAAGTACTGCTGCTGGTGGTGATTGTAGATGGTTTTTTAAACATGAGTAGGACAAATTCACGGCCATTTTATTGCTACTGTGAAATTTTATATATCATTCTTTGATTTTGTTGCAAATACAAATTGCTAGACATTATCATTAGTTTAAGTAGTATTACGCTACGGTATTGCAATACAAAAGATTTTCGATTCAAAAAATGCGAAAAACAGTGATGCATGTCTTTTTATATAGTTTTTACTTTACGATTGTTTAAGCCAAAATAAAAAATACTATTTTCAATTGTTATATGGGCTAATTAGAAAATTTAGATTATCATATAGTAAATTCAAAATTTATTTAGTTACATAACATATGCCAATGTTTAACTGAGCGTAGCAGTATATAAAAAACCTATTTCTTCTGTTCTATTATCTTCCTCATTTTAAGGCAATCAGATATAATGTTACTTATAATTTGATTTGATTTTATATTATTAAAAATTTGTTTTAAAACGCTTAAAAAATGTTGAAAAAAAAACAACTTCAGTTAAACTCGTGAATTTATATATTAGATTCTAATTTTCGCTAAACAAAAAATAGATTTTACTCTAATTACACAGTATGTTACTCTAGTATGAAACTAGAATTAATAATAGGTCAAATTATACTTATCAATGGTTTAATTTATTTTTCTAATATTTTAGGATGTAAATTAGAAAACAATAAATGTTTAAAATATTTTATGTTTATTTCAGTTTTAGATATCTAACCAATTCTGCAGGTTATATTTTACATAATCCAAAATCGTCGTTTAATAGATCTAATTATTAAGACGTATATGGTCGTAATAGCAAACACCAAGCCACTTAAATTCCATATCAATGACTTTAAAAATATTTTTGTTTGGTGTCGAGTGATGGCCATATACGAGTATGTTTTATTTATTTATTTTCTTGAATAAATTAACAACAGACAACTTAGCGCCATTTGAATCGATTATGGAAAAGCCATAAAATAGCAACAACATCGACAACAAAAGTATGGCAATGAGGTGTAGTAGGTGTTAAAAATTATAAACAAACTATGAACAACACACCAACAATTTGTTTTATCAATGCGAGCAACAACAACAACAACACGACAACATAACGAATGTTGAACAATTCGTTTCAAATATAAGACGCATAAAACAAAAACAAAAAAAAATATTTTAATAATAAAAAAAAAATTAAAAATGTTAAACTAATGTGAGAAAAACTAAGAAAGATAAGAAGTAAATATAATTAAGCAGAGGTTGTAGATATGCAAATAGTTGTAATTTGATTGTGTTGCAAAAAGCACGCAAGTACCAGTGCGAGTATTATCTTGATTTAGTTTCGTCTCAGATTGAATTTTTTTAGTTTATTAGTTTTTACATGTCACGAGAATACATACATACATACATATGTACATATCTGTCAGTAGACGAGCCAACGAGGCAACGAGCAGCGAAGCAAGCTTTTTAGTGTTAATCATAACAGCAGCATAGGTATCATTCAGTTAGTTCAAGCGACGAAAAAGTCGCGCTTCTAAGCGTTCAAGGTGTATGCTTACATACAGTTGCGGTATTTGAAAGGTTAGCAATAGCAACAAATACTATAGTCTGTTTACCAAGTACAATAACTTTTGCTGCATTTCGTTATTTGTTCTCACGAGAAAGCAAAACATTGTAAATTATTAATGATTTCATTGTTTTTCATTTAAAAATTTATTATTTTTTTCATTTGTGCATTAATGCAGGTGTGTGTCCAATCTCATCTATTTCAAACATACTAAGAAAGTAGTACGTTTTAATAGAAATTTTTTATTGCGAGTACAGTAAGAACCCAGAAAAAGTGCTTGCAAAGGAGTAAGTGAAATGTCAAGTGAAATGGCATACATATATTGTCCAAATCGAATTTCATTTAAAACTACCACATAGAATGCAATTTGAAAAGATGTTAGAAAATTTGTGAAATTCATTCAATAGTTTTGTATCTTTGGACATAGCTAACGTAATAGCTAGAAACCATATGTGTTATAAACTGAAATATTTAAATTTTAATTTCTTAAGATCCTTAAGATCAAGAATAAAAATACTCGAATATACTTTCTTTTTTATATGTATATAGATCACCGGTCTGGTTAAATAAGATTAATTTGGTTGGGTGTGAGCCACACATAGACCTATTTATAGTAGAACCAGCCGAATACCGAATACCTATCAAAATACGTTTTCAGTATTATACTATAAAATAATGTTAAGTTCTTTTAATACTAATAAACTTAGTTGTGGAATAAAAAAATTTAAATATCATAACAATGTTTATGCCTACAATAAGCGGACCTGAACTAGAGATAATTACACAGATGTTCAAACCACAAAGGAATAATAACAAAAAGCAAAATGAAAAAATATTTTAAAAAAATTGCAGATATAAGCAGACATTTCAAAAATTTTTGTATACCTATAAGACTTAAATTTAAAATATATAGTGCATCAAATGAAAATATATTAGTTAGGCTTTAATTGCACAAAAATGAAATCTCGAAGACGCTTGTATCAAAAATTTATCATTTAATATTAATTAAATGTTTCTGTGAAAAACGAGAAGTATTTGATTTGCTCCAACAAAAACATTTATAATAAATATTGTAATCTCTATTAATTCCATTTCATAGAGATAACTTATTCGGAGATTATTTATTATCGAATAATCAATAATTATATTATTAATTATTAATCAGTAATATCCGATTATGGGTGTGTACCCACAAATCATATTAAAAAAAGATATAGTTAAAAAATTGAGACCCTAATGTATGTGATCGTAAGATGGATCCAGTACGAACTGATGAAAAACATTTTTACATGGGACTAAAAATAAATCCGCGGTTTACCAACAATAGCACTAAACAGAAATAACGCGTTCATAATAGTAAATTTATATTGCAAACAGTATAAGAATATTTGGGATATATTTATACCTGAAAACTTTTTTTTTGAAAACATTCACTTTTACATTCGGATTATTTTCACTTATGTTTCAGTTATCGAGTTCGTCTTGTAATCGTGCTATTGTGTGTATCCCCTTTCATAAGATTTACTTTTTATCTCGGGTATCTCGAGCAAATCTCGGGTAAGAAAAATTTATTTTATTTACTGAATGCATCTGTTCACTGCGATATCACTGTACTCATTTGTAGTACTGCAGCAATCGTACTGTCAGCAACAGCAAAAATAACAAAACACATACGCCAAGCGCAAATAAAAACAATAATTAAACAATCTCTATTATTAACTTGGTTATAATTTACTCTTCTTCTTCAGTTGCTGCTTGTGCTGTTGTTGTTGCTGTTGCTGTTGCTGTTGCTGTTTTTCTTTCCCATTTGTTTATTTATTTAATTATTTTCTTTAAACAATTTTGGTCGTCAGATGCTTATCAAATGATAAGCGACCGCTGCTGACAACGAGTGTTGTCGCGATTATAAAATTGATTATTTTTGTTAGAATAAATTGTGAAAAACTGGTACGGCCAACTTCATTGTTGTTAATATTGTTTTTTAATATAGATTACAAAGGTTGAATTGGAATAAAACTGGAAAGATGAAAACCATTTCAATGGTGCTCATACGTCACGGCGAAAGCACATTCAATCAAAAGAATCTGTTTTGTGGCTGGCACGACGCAGAACTCAGCGAGAACGGTAAGTTTTTGGCACGCGTGATAAATATGTGAGAAACATTTTTCACAAAAATAACAAAAAGCTTAGCAAGAGCAGAAGGCAAACAAACAATATCCCTAAAAATTAATAGATGCGTCACATATTATATACGAGTATATTAAATTCAATTCTTTACATTTGCAGGTATTAGAGATGCTTCCAAAATATCATCAGCCGCCTTGATGGAACACAAAATGGCATTTGATGTGGCTTATACATCAGCGTTGAAGCGAGCACAGGACACTCTCAAAATAATACTTAAGGAAATAGGTTGTCCTGATTTACCTACAAAGTGCGACTGGCGTTTAAATGAACGCCATTATGGCAACTTAATTGGTTTTAATAAAAGGCAAATGGCTGACAAGTACGGAGAAGAGCAAGTGCAAATATGGAGGCGCAGTTTCGATGTGCTACCACCTCCAATTACGTCCGATAATCCCTATTATGAATGCATAAGATCTAACCCTAGCTTCCGTGATATACCTCCTGAACAATTTCCTTTAAGTGAATCGCTTAAAACGACGATGGGTCGAGTGATACCATATTGGGAGCAGGAAATACTTCCACAAATTCACGCTGGCAAGCGGGTCCTGATCGTAGCCCATGGAACAATAGCACGCGCATTGGCTAAACATATTGAAAGTAATCATAAATTTTTAAAAATTATCTTAAATACGTTCATAAGGATTGTTATGATTTTCTTATATTTTCTAGATATATCTGATGAGAATATTAAAAGCGTTAATATTCCCAACAGCATACCCTGTGTATATGAATTTGATTTAGAAAAGAAAAATCTTGTTGGAAAAATTAAATATTTGGCGGATGAAAACTTCCTAAACAAACAAATGGAGAAAACTGCTTCTATTGGAAATTAAAAAATATTATAAAAGATGTTACAAATATTATATATATATATATATATTTATTGTAGTACACTAAAATTTTACATATTATAAATAAAACGATATCCTATTTATAAACGCATGTCTTTGATTTGGAAATCATTCTCAGATTGAGCTTTTTGTAAGCCCAATATATTTTTATATATGTTAATATATTATCTAAAGGAGTGGTTTCCAAACCTTCTTTTGGACAAGGACTACTATGATGTTTTTGTTTTTTTATTATTTTATTAAGAATAATAAACGGTATGATCATTTTAATATGCTTTATGCATCTCTGGTATGTTATAATGTATGATGAATTGTATGAAATAGGTATATAGTTACTTGGAACTTTTTTGTGCTTTTTTCTGTTAATTTCTGTAAAATGTAATTAATGGACCATTTTTAACCATTTCGCAGACTAGTTGTGGTTCATACCTGTTAAATTTGATTCACGGACCATTTTTAACCAACTCACCGACCAGTTGTGATCCGCGGAACACCAGTTGAGAACCACTGATCTAAAGTGCTACTTGATATTACAATATTAATGTACAGTTTATGTATATATATAAGTTGAGTCTTACACCAGCACTTCATTTTATTTTCATTCAGTGATGGATAGATCTTTTTCGGCTTCAGTTACTAGTTTCAAGTTCCAAATTAAATTTGAATATTGCATGTAGCATTTATGGACAAGTACTTCAACATTTCTTTTCATTCTAAAATTTTTTGTTTTAAAATTATTTTTAGTTAAAAATTTACAATTTATGTTCAAAATAAATTATTTAATAAAAGTTCTGGAAATTTATAAGTTAATAGTTACGTCAACCTAATCAAAGGGTTTTTAATTTAAATCTGGAGATCGGTGAACCAGGAACCAGCTACTGCACCATCGGATAAAGGTGCTGTTGTAATGACATCATGTAATATAAAAACAGATCATATAATATAATTATAAATCAAGATTTTATAGTACACTCTCCGCATAATGAAACATGTAATGTCAATATTCTGCAAATCATTTGACAGGGATATAATATTAATGAAATAATATTTATAATTATAATGCAGTAATTTAGGTGACTCACCCAAGGAAGTCAATTTCAATTTCCCCTTAAAATAGCACATTTCCGAGGCCTTCATATGAAATTTAAAAACAGTAAGATAAGGTCCATGATTAAATCAAATATCTTATTACCATTGAACATTTACAATTTCTAATTCCACCATAATTTGTCTCTTTGCCAAACATATCGTAAGTAGCCGAATTTTAGTCTTCTAAAAGGCTAAGTTTCTTCAGTGTTTTTGAGTTATAACTTCTCAAACGTCTGATTTCAAAAATATTTTGATAGCGAATAAATGTTATAGGTGCTTTTGATTGATTCGTGCTCACGATAAGTTATTCCAGGTGCAACTGCGCCTGTGTTATACTTTGATTTCACTGTATCTTGTCAAGTAAATCTTGTTTTGTAGACATAATTATTAAAATTACAATCAAATTCATATATAAAATAAAGCATTAACTTTTTCTTAATATTAATTTTAATTATAAATTTTTTGAGTTATATAAAGTTTCTTTTAGGATCTGTCTTTATGAAGTTATTTTTAATTTCTGTTTTCGATATAGTCGGAACCTTTTAAAGTTGGACGCTATCTTTAACTTTAGTTGAAACGATATTAAAGTCTGCACTAAACTTCTTACAGGACACTGTAGACTCAATTACCACATGAAGAATATAGATGCAGTAGATTCCTGTCGAATCTACTAGATGTAATGGTTCCTGTCGACTCTATCATGAGGGGAGGAAACGTCAGAACATGTTCTATGCAACCACATAGCGGCGGCAAGAAGTAAACTTGTCTACGTTGGAAGCGTTATCTTAGTCCCAAATCAAATAGGTAAAATTAAGCCTAGAGAAATTACGAGATTTATAAATAGTCTAGAATTGTTTTAGTTGGGCCTAAAGTTACACAAATTTGTAAGGTCGAGGTGCATTCAAAGTCTATTATTTAATAATAATAGTTTGAATCTTGGCATGAATATGAATCACTTTTTCAGCGTTCTGCCGTTTGCCGCAAATTTTCTATGTTCGTTACATCTTCGAAAACAAATTCAACCTTAATGTTATCAAATCAAGATAAACCCCTATTTTTGATTTGAAATGAAATCATGCCTATATGATTATAACTTGGGTTATAATAATGAACATTCGTGCCAAGTCAATTTCAATCTCGTAAGCACTGTACGGATGAAACAAAAAGGAATTCATTATTAGACACATTTAGAATTTTGTTTTCTTATACCTTTTAAATAGTAAGAATAGTAATGTTTATTTCGTATTGTGCTTTTAAGTATTTCATTAATATTTATTTGGATTTTTATTCATATTAAAAGTTTTTTTCAGCAGTTTTATTCAAATACGACGGCATTATAGTCATCGTAACGGTTCTTTAGTAGCGACTCAAGAACAAAAAATTGCATTTTTCGCTAATATATTGTGTTGGTAATGCAGTGTTATCTGGCACAATAAAACGAGATACATATTTGGAATCTCTCCACATTTTGCAGTATACAGTCGAATCACATTGCACATTCATTCATTAAATACTCGAAACAGCAAAACAACCACCGCATATGGAAAGAAATATAAAAACAAATAATTTGCACCGCTCCAAAGAAAACTTGGTAAATGTCAGAAAAGTGAAACAGCCGAGGAGTAACTTGGTCTAAACAAAAGTGAGCGACAAAAACTGAGCAGTGCAACAACAACTCGTAAGAGGAAAGTATCTCAGAGATACAAATGAAAAATCTCATTATTGTGTGAAACAAAATTTAAATCTAACATTCAAAATAGTTCAGTTCAGTTGGAAAGCTGCTCTAAGCAATGCCTAACATCGAATATTAAAATGTAAGGCACGGTAATAAAATAAAATATACATATATGTATATAAAATAAAAATTGAATTTTAAGGAGGAGTATCTCAGAATCGTGAAAGAAACAGAAATCAAAACTTCAAAAACATATTTTTAAACTTCATTAAACGTGTGCAAATCAAAAACCCAAAAAGTATCTAGCAAATAAATGTGTGTCGAAACTGAGCAATGCTAATTTGGGTATTATTCGAAAACAGATACGAAAACAAAAGCATAATTAATTAATTCGGTAAACAAAAATTCGTTAAAAGTGATCAATAAATTAAAAAACATGTAATGATTTGTGGAAATAAATTGGTCAGCAGTTGCACAAAGTGAAGCAAAGTGAGGTGAAATATCATAAGCAAACTGCAGACGAAATCATAACTGATTCCCAAAGAGAAAAATATAAAATCGTTTTATGATAATTTTGGGCAGTTCAAATTATACGAATTAAATATGGAAACCATCAGAGGAAACGAAAACAACGACGAAGCAAGCAACAAACGCTGTTCAGGAAATCCTAACCTTTAAAAAAAAAAACTATAAAAAATAAATAAAATCGATTTTCACAGTTCAAACAAAAAACACAAACATTTTGTGGAAATTCGCCATGAAATTCTGAAAAGGATAACCTACAAATAGTGCAAAACGCTTTGTTCACAACTAGGGATGCATTTATCGATACGAAAAGGTAAAATATCTGATTCGAAGAGAAAAACAAAAAAAGAAAAATTCATTTGCAAATACAGATACAGCAACAAATACAAGATACAACAACAAAAACGAGCTGCACAGCTGCTGCCAACTAATCTGCAATAATATGCAGTATTTCCTTCTTTGTAAGCCACTCAACCACTCAACCTCTCAACCCCTCACCCATTCAACACTCGAATGGATAAATCCTTTCCGTATTAGTCCCACATTAATTACTTAATTTTACGGCCATTAGAAGAACAGATAGATAAACTAATTGAAATGCGGAAAGACTTACTCGTAGACAGATGGTCACCAACAGTTTAGTGACTAATTAAAAATCAATTGCAAAGTTCAAATTCAAAGGCAAATGGCAAATAGCAAATGCCAACCGCCAACAGCCAACAGCCAAACCTAACAACGCACTTCAGGTGCACATATTTACATATCCGCATAAAAATTTGTTTATTTACTCGCTGACTTTGCTTTGGACAGATATAGATACTTTTATGTTTATTTCGGTTTTGCTTCAAATTTATTGCATTTATTGCGTTTGCATTGTTGTTTGCAATGGTAAACTATTTTTCGTCTTCTTCTTCTTCGGTTTTGTTGGTTACACAATAAGTTGGTAGTAACTAAGCTGAGTGGACAATTTTGGTGTGGCTTTGTTATATATATCACACCTTAATATTTACGTACTTAAGCAAAAATCTACACGCAACAAAGTGCGGAAACATCTCATAGATACTCAAATGTACGTAGAATTGCGTTTCGAGCGGACAGCTAAATAGTCAGCAGACTATAGGTAAGCAGACTAAGCCGGTAGTGAGTGTCAAGTGACTAAGGAAATACTGAAAAAGAAATGCCACCGACTTACGGAAATATTTACATTTTGTAAAACAAACTCAATTTTTTTCCGTTCTCTATTTACTTTGAATGAATATAATTGTAGTTTTTTTAAATAAGCATTGCTTAACATAATGTCATAAGTCGTATTTGAATCCCATGATGTATTATGTCTAATGGCATTCTTTAACTAATAGGTTTCAGGGTGCTCTAGTTCGAGGTAATACAACAATAAAAATCAAATCAAACCACTTACTAGAAATGTTGGCGAGATTATTCATATGCCAAATAATATTCATTCGAATACATAAAAAACATTTGGAGTCAGCAGTAGGTTCCAATATATCAAAATTATTTATGTTTCTCTTTGTTACTCATAGCTAGTACAACTTGGTCTCGGTCAGAGGTTTCTTAACAGTTGTTCTATATAATAACACAGTTAATGGCATTGATTTCGTAATTTCATTTGCTTATGATTCTTAAATTTGCTTCTACTGTGTCAAGCCATTGATTCCACGGTTTAATTCTAGCTCTGAATCTATCTCTTTTGTTTTAATGATCTGTTTTAATACACTGTTATCTGGATTTTGAATAACGTTATTAAATATATGGGCAATAAAGCTACTCACTGACGTTGCATGGAAGTGTTAATAAATTTCGCTTCATTGCATGCAAGAAGAACCGAGTGAATGATATATAGATATTTTCATACAAGTTGGCCTCTCTTAAAAAAGAAAAGGTTAATCTGTTGCAAACAGGTCACTGTAACCTTGATAGTGCAGTATATATGAAGGTACTTCCACGGAATTTTAATAAATTTTTTTAAATAAGTGCACTATAGGTATATGCAAAATTAACAAATTGTTGAAATAATCACATAATCCAAACTTAATTTGTATATTATTAATATACTCACTCATTTAGTAAAAATATTGTTATTCTTTGCATAATAAAAACACTGTAGTTGTTTGGGTTTTGGTTTTATTTATTAAAATATCAATCCAAACTTATAAATGTATCTGTAGTCAGATCTATATACTTGTCCCAAATATATCTCACAAAAAGTAATACTGTAGAGCAGGCCTGTCCAAAGTACGGCCCGCGGACAACATGTGGCCCGCGGCTAATGTTTATGCGGCCAGCGATATGTTTTTAATCTACTATAATTATGCAAATTTTCTTTTGGTGTACTGGTAAAACGACGTCATTTTAACATTATAACCGTATATATAATGTTATAATGTATTTATAATAAAAACTATGAACGTATGTATTTGTTTCTGCGGCCCTCCAATCTGTACAGTAATTTGTATTGGCCTGCGATCGTATTTAGTCTGGACAGCCCTGCTGTAGAGCATAGGCAAATATCTCCTATATTGTGTATTTGCATAACAAAAAGGTATAAAGAAATATTCAGTGGAAGAATTACTAAATGAAGAAATAAGGTTATGTAACTTATGTAGGTCATTATTTCTTAAATCAGGTGTTATTGAATAACCTAACTATAAATTTATTGGTGTTTATTTTCAAACACCTTTAGTAGGAGCAAATTCTAATAATAAAACGTGAAAAAGATTTTGTTGTGGTGCTTTAGGTCGGCAGGTACGTGTGACCGTCGACATTCTTTATTTGGAAACTGATGGTATTGGCCCGTTGTGATATTAAATAATTACAGTAGGCTCTCTATATACATTGGCGGTAACCACATTGGCAACATAATAAAATAAAAATGTGCCAGGTCAATTAGAAAATAGGTATAACATTGAATCATAAATAAATGAGAAAAATCTTGTGACAAGTCGGATGCCACTTCTGTTCAGCATTTGTAGCTCCCTCGTTTTGGCTTTTGATCGATTCGATATGGTTTATTTAGCTTGTCTGCAGCCAATTGTATTATCCCAATCAGTGTGAGTCATTAATTTTAAGTTTGAAAAAGTCCATAAAGGACCGCAGAATGGTTGTGGCCTAATATAATATAAGGCCACATCTTAAGGTCATCTGCTTTTTCGTTTCTCTCTAATCCGTTGTGCCCTGGGACTCATATTAAGTGAACCCTGTTCCTTCCAGCAAGATCTTTGAGAAGTAGAATTTATTTAAAATATATATGTATGTATTTATTTTAAATATTTCTTGCTAAGCATTCCAAAGACTGTGGCAAGTTAAAATACCCGCACTATAGAGATGTACAATATAGTGCGAGTATAGCACAATATACAAGTATGTGTAATTGACTTTAAATAAAATTCTCCTTCAAGAAACTTAAATCTATTCTAATTTGTAGATTCTCACATCTTCTTATATCTGCTCTTCTGTAGTGTGTAATTTAAAAATATTCTTAATTCACTACTGCAATCTTTGCTATTTGCTTCATGATGTTCACATAAGTCCGGTGTACAGAAGAAATAGAGTAACCGCAAAATACTTGTACTAGGCAGTTGGTTCACGTACTTGCGCTCATAAACATCCTCATAATGACAAATGCATTAATGATTTGATAGCGTTTGAGATAATGATGAAGATAATATAGATCATTCTATTGTCAATTGCGCGTCGAACAAATTTAGTATTAAAAATTTTTATTTTGTTGGTAATTAGTTTTGTTAACACTTGGAGAACTGTAACCACGTAAGTAAATAGATACACAAGTGTTAATTTTATTAAATCACAATATTTGTAGAAAACTTTTCATACTAAAAAATATGGATTCATATCAGCAAAGTCTGTAATATGAGAAACGAAAACCATTATTATTCATTATAGACCGATTTTTCTAAGTAATTTATTCAGTTTTTAATGGACTCTGTTTTGAAGTCGTAAACGATAAGTAAATAAGGGGAGTCAAAATTATTGATATAAGTTTGTTTTTTAGGTTGCGATACAACTGATTTTTGTATTTAGTTAATTTTTTTTTAGGTTTTTACGGTCACGTTTAGTAGATAAAGTTTTTTGAAATACTCTCTTACAAAGCGTATATACACAGACTTAAATTTATTTATTTATTGCTTTATTTTTATAATATTTAATTATTATAAATTATAATTTTTTTCAAGTTTTAAGATGACAAATCATGGTATACACTTGCAATCGATTAGAGTATTTTAATTTTTTATTACTGGTATCAGTCTGTTTATTTGACTACTGCTTCGCAAGATACATTTTAAATATTGGATAACAACTTCTTGATAACGAATATTGAATTATATTCTTTAACTCTTACATAAACTATGGGATTTTAGAGCCCTTTTAAAAATTTAAGGCATATTTAAATGTTTGTTTAAATTTTAAGAAGTATCAAAATTGCTAATTTTGATCGTATTTTAAAAACAAAACGATATTCTTCATATGGCTTACGTACATGTCTATTAAGTATATTGTTATCAAAACTGCTACTATATGAACCCGATAGTTTCTAACCGCTATCAGACCTTGGTGAATTATTTTGCCACTTTATGATATCATAAAATAAATTTAGGAACTGATCATTCAGTCGTATTCAGCATCATATTATATAATATATTGTCCTAAACTTAAATAAGTAAAGTTTCTTTGTTGCAGTCATTAATAGCTATTCTCTGCTTACTACTGACAATATTTTATAGATTTATAGATAGATTTCTTGTTAATCTCCCCCATTCAGGCTCCAATATATGTAAATGTGTGCCCCAATTACTTTTGTTGAGTTCAAATTAAGAACTGTACTAGTTGTATGTATACTGAAGATACATATTGTATTCCCCTTTTATATATCTCATATTTACAGATATGAATGCTATCGGCATTTTCAGAATGCTATCGACAACGAATTAGCCAATAGACTGCAATGAGTATGAGAGGTAAGTTTTCTTCAGCTTTATCCGCAACTATATATAATATCTCAGTAATTAAATAAATACTCTACAGGTCGTAGAATACCAATACCGTTACCCAACACAGGCACAATGCATCGGAAACGCAATACGTATTACATGCGTGGTATTATACTCCTAGCACTCGGTATATTTCTGCTGCTACAGCTACATGTATTTAACTACGGTACCTTTAAATCAAATCAGATTTAACATTACTTACTAATTGATTAATGATTACTTGCAATTCATATCATTTACAGCAGATGTACGCACTCCCATATGGACCGAACCAACAACGAATGACTCAGTCGATGCTATACTTTCTATGGTGCCATCGGTGTTACACAAATTCTTAACACCAAAGACAAGAAATCAAACATTGACCACTAGTTGTAAGTAGATTTGTGTAAGAAGTATTTGACAGATATAAATATATTTATATAAATAATTTGATTACAGCGGCATTACATAATAGCACAACTGGTGGAACTACAAACGGTAGTGGGAGCTACTCGGACAGCTATCATGCACCCAATTTAACTGAAATTAAACGTCAAATTGCACGCCATAATGAGATGCAGTTTGTTTTAAATGAGGAAGCTTTTGGACCCTTACAAAATGATTCTGTGATAATTGTAATACAGGTGAGTGTAGAATTTATAAAGTGGAAGGCATCTATAGAAGTACAAAAAAGGTAAAATTTTGTAACACAAGATAATCACAGTTTCTCAGCATCAGTATGTAAAGCATTTCTCATATATATTATTATGCTTTAGGTACATACACGTATTACATACCTACGCCATTTAATTGTAAGCCTAGCACAGGCTAGAGATATCTCGAAAACTTTACTAATATTTTCGCATGACTACTATGACGAGGATATAAACGATTTGGTACAAACTATTGACTTTTGTAAAGTTTTGCAGGTGAATATGTGTGATTATAAAATAAAAGAATTAATTTAATGAAATAATATTAATGTAAATTAATTCAATTCTATACTCAATTACATATAAAATTAATTGTGTAAACAGATATTCTACCCGCACTCTATACAAACCCATCCACACGAATTTCCAGGCACAGACCCTGAAGACTGCCCCAGCAGCATGAAAAAGGAACAGTGAGTTGTGATCACAGTTAAACTTAAATGCATTTTAACATTTTTTGTAAATTTTCATTTTCAAGAGCGCTAATAAAACGTTGTAAAAATGCATTATCACCTGATTTATATGGACACTACAGAGAAGCCAAGCTAACACAAATTAAACATCACTGGTGGTGGAAAGCGAACCGTGTATTCAACCAGTTAGAAGTGACACGTTATCACACTGGTATGTAGTACGATAGAAATCTACATACAAAAGAGCATATCTCCAATAATAATATTTCACAAAAAAAATAGGTTTGGTGCTTTTCCTTGAAGAGGATCACTATGTAGCCGAAGACTTTCTATATTTATTGGAAATGATGCAGAAACGCACAACCGACATGTGCCCTCAATGCAATATACTATCCTTAGGCACGTATTTGAAGACCTTTAACTATTACACATATAATAGTAAGGTGAGTGTTGTTTATGATCGTTTGTTTGTTATGATCCACTAAGGACATCTACTGCTACTGTGACTAATATTTTATCAGTTAAAAAATTAGGCACACAATTTTAAAGAACCGCACAAAATATTTGAAAATTAATTTACGCAAATTTTCTGTGTTGTGTTCATGAATAAAAATTAACAAACTCACATTGTTGACTATTAGAAGTAACAGAAATATATGGATACATGTGTAACACATTGAATGTAATATGTTACTTTTATCTTTTTTCATGGTCTCATATATGCTTTCATGTATACTTGTTTTGTATTAATGAAACCGTCGCACAGACTAACAAGAAATCATTTAGCAATCAATTCGCTTCCTCGCTGATCTCTCCAAATAATTTGTTAGGATATCAAAAGAGTAAAAATTCACAGCAAAAATCATCAAAATCACAAAAAGTGTCATCATCATCGTCCTATTCATCAGCTGCGAATAGTTACAATAAATTGCATAAAAGCAACACGGTCAACACGCCCAAAGCGAGGGCTGTTGTCGGTGATACAAACACCAATGCACACCATTCCATCACTACCACAACCACAGTCACAACAGAAAAAAATGGCGCACAACAAACGTGGAGCTATCATGTACTACCATCTCTGTACTCTTTCTATCAGAAGGTACTTACATACTTACAAGTATTACTGCGTTTTGCTCTATGCTGTTGTTTTTCTCGTTGTGGCACTGTCGATATTGCCATTTTTTTATAAATTAAATATATATTATTGTTTATTTTTTGTATGCATTTATTATCCTTCTCTGTACTTAGTTTTTTTTTCATATTTTTAAATTTCTAACCGAAATCGGAAATTTATTGGTTGCCAAAATCAAACCAAATTGCACAATAAATAATGATTGAAAATAATTTGTCATATTTGATATTGATTCCTAATAATTATAAACTAAAGAAAATAATTTTTGTTTGTTCTGCATGTTTAAATGTTAACTATTTGTGCATGGCATTACGTATACTAAATACATTTCGATACATGACTTCTAGGGATAATTTTAAATTGATAGATATTTATTAGCCTTACTTTCTAATAATCCTAATCCTAAGTGACTAATGCAAAACCTATTCTATTATATCATGAATATATAAGAAAATAGAAGATTTAGTATCCTTAATAGTTAATCAATTAAGTATTTAATTAAGATAATAATACAAATTCTAATATTTTTTCAGTCTAAGTATTATATATTTTGATTAGGCTTGAGTTTTGTAATCTTAATCTTATAAATCTAAGAAAGAAAATATTGAATTTATTTATGAATATGCCGATATTTGATAATATATTTAACTAAAGTAAAACCTTTGTTCGTATTTCTATTATATTTATATTATATTATATTATATTATATTATATTATATTATATTATATTATATTATATTATATTATATTATATATATTATATATATTATATTTTATATTATATATTACATTATATATATTATATATTACATATTACATTATATATATTATATATTACATATTACATTATATATATTATATATTACATATTACATTATATATATTATATTATACATATTATATATTTTATTATACATATTATATTATAGATATTATATATTATATTATAGATATTATATATTATATTATACATATTACATATTTTACTATACATATTACATGTTTTATAATACATATTACATATTTTATTATACATATTATATATTATATTATATATATTAGTTTTATTTATATTACATATATATTATATTATTATATTATATTATATTATATTATATTATATTATATTATATTATATTATATTTTATTAATTATATGTATTATTTTTAACCTTTTAATGGTAAAATGTTTCGATCGTCATAAAATTGTAGCAACTGTGCCTGGACACATTATATTTTTTTAAGGATTAATTTCGATGGATGATAACAGCCAAATGCAACAGTAGTGACTAACGTTAAAAACAATAATTATTGCTAGAATAGCGCTATATACATGAATAGCACTCATTGTTCAATTTTATATATATGTATGTGATAATATTAAATCAGATTAAGAAATTAAGAAATAGAAATTTCTATTTGTAATCGTTGTTTATTAAGTATGATTTCATAAATATTGTATATGAAACTTAAATTTATTTCAGTTTTCATCAATTGAATGTTACATGTTTAATTTGTTATTAATTTTATTGGCAGAGGTGTGTGCATTTCATAAGTTAAATTATATAAAAAATATTTCTATGTTTACTGTCAACTTTTGTTTGTTTTTATGTAATACTATGTGTTTTAGTTAAGTTTGCTATATGAAATTGAAAAAGCGTGTAAAATGTTAAATTATTGTTCATAATTTAGGTTGTTTACCGCATGTCAAAAATACCAAAGAAAACGAACGCGAACAAATTTCGAGAGGTACTCAATTGTTTTTTTATCTGATTTTAGTACGTCAATTTACAAAGAAATTAGATGAATTACCCCGATAGCTCCCAAGTAGACAAATAATGCCGTCGTTTGTGTTCTGCGTTATCAGGCAAAGTTCCTGATGCTTGTTGTTAGAATTATTGTTATAGCTGTAGTTGTAGTGATTATGTACATAAGGAGTACTTAGCGTAGGCGTAGTCGCGTGTATTTATGAATTAAGGAAGTGAATTACATATTTTCATTTTTGTGTTTTTTTTATTGTCATATCTACAATAAATAAATCGTTTGGCACATTTGCAATATCCGTCGTAGTTTGCTTTTTTCCTCTAATTTTCTCCACAAATAAAATAGTTTTAATTAAGAACTTATACGCGTTTCTGTTGTCCTCAGAAACCTACTGGATGATATATACGTATAATATTTGTTTTAAAGTATTTGAACACAAGTCACAAAAAAGAATTCTTAATGTGTATTCTTGTACCCTTTGACCTATAAACAGAAAATCAATTTAATTACTTACGCAAACTAATTCGGGTGCATGCGGCCTTGTTTTCTATTTTTTTTTTTTATTAATTTGACTTGTATTTATTTTTATAGTTTATAGTTCGAAATTCATCCAACAATATTTATGTTTATTTACCTATACGCACATCAATGCATGGATTTATTTAAATCTTAACGAGCTTTTTAACTTTTATTCATTGTAGATAATTTTATTTGTAGCTACGTAAAAACTTTCAAAGACAAAAAATAATTTATAAATAATTATATTCTTATTCTGATATCAAAACAATCAGGTTGAGATAATGCCCTGGATAAGCAATAAACATAATATGGGCTTTGCATTTAACCGCAGCACCTGGACCAATATTCGAAGGTGCGCAAAGCTCTTCTGCTCTTTCGATGATTACAATTGGGACTGGTCTTTGCAGCATGTGTCGCAGCAGTGTTTACAAAAGAAACTGCACGCTATGATCGTGAAGGGACCAAGAGTCTTCCATATTGGTGAATGGTAAGATTGAAAACTAAATTATCATTAAAAGAGTTAAAACGGTTTTCGTTTTTGTATTAAGTTGGTTTTTGCAACAATATTATCATGAAAAATAAATTATTTTATTATACATATATTGGTAAGCTTTATTCTGTAAAATTAAATGCATTTAAACTTTGTATTCGCGTGAAGCATGCTTATAACTTTTCAAAAGCCATAATATCGTTTTTGCTTTCTTTTTCTGGCACTAATCGCGACGAATAAACCCATGCAATGTTACCGATGTCCGTTAAAGGTGTAGGTAACTGTGATAGTGCCAGTCCAAACTTAAGTGAATTATTAATGTTGATTAGAACAAGTTTATCGCTATAGTAATATTAGCATATGCTCTATCTGCCATCCTTTTTGAAGCTGTTAATCACATCAAAATGTGTCATTCGTGTCATGCATTTTTGACATGTCTAACATACATGTATCGAATGTTCCAAAATTTGCTTTATTTGAGATATATTTGTAAGATAAAAATTATGTTGATTGAATAATATCGATTATTTTATTACATCATAATATGATGTAATACACTAGGTTAGGTTGTGTAAACAAGAAGAAGAAATGAGGGTGTTAGCTTCTATGGTGGAATGTCCTAAATTATTCAGAACTGAGTATTTGACAGAAAGTGTTAATAGTCCCATTTTCTACTTCCTTCATGAAACTTTAGAAGTTTCAATTTCAAAGGATGTCGGAGATTTCTCTCCACAAGTTTTGTCATTTAGATTCTGGATATGTTCAGAAAGATATCAGTTCTTTTTTGGTCATGTACTTTAGCTGTTTAAGTATGTTATTTTTTAAAGGTTTCCGCGGGCTAATATTTATGTTCTGTTAATTATACAAAATGAAATGAAATTTATTTTTGAGCCCTCTTAAATGAGATAACCTTTAATTCTTCCACCAAGGACGCCTCTAATTTTTGTTTAGTTATTCTATCCAAAAATACAATATCTTTTATTTTCGGTGTCTAGAGACCCCACTCCATAAAGTTTGGCTAAAATATGAGTTGAGTTTTTCTATGCTTGACTAATTTAAATTGAATAAAATGACAGAGTAAACCAAGTATTGCAGCTATGCTATTCGAGAAAATTATTCTGCGCTGATTCTACACGTTGACTTCTAAAATTAGTTTCTTTGATAGCAAAGTCATCGATTTGAAAGACATTGAATGTGCTCACAAGAAAAGGGAATCTTAATCTGTTTTTTGAACTAGATAAATTCTTTTGCCCTTTTAACAATCCATCTTTGTACCATTCGTCTATATGTAATCACATTTATTTATTATTTAATTATTTATTATTTATTTAACATAAATCCTTTTTTTTAGCCGTAGGTGATTAGCCATAGGTGTACGGAAGGACTTTTCCAAAACTCTGTTTCAACTAGATATATGTTTTACATTAAATACTTTAAATACTAGATAACAATTAATTACTTATTCGTGTTCATGATAAATTTTACATATAATATATTTGTTCATATCTTTTAATTCATGTCTCAACTAATGCCAGATAATGATATTTTAAGAAATTTAAAAAAAATTATTTTATAACCTTGCAGCGGTGTTCATCACAAAAAGAAAAATTGTGAAGCGAATCAAGTGATCTCCAAAGTACAACAAGTTCTGCGTATTGCTCGCAAGTCAGGACAAATGTTTCCACGTTCTCTGACATTAACTGTTGCCAGTCTGGTTAAGAAAACTAAGCTGCGCAAAGGGAATGGCGGTTGGGGTGATAAAAGAGATCATGAACTTTGCTTGAATATGTCGCTACCAACGAGGTGAATTTCTAAAACCAAAAAATATATGAAATAAGTAAAAAGTCAAAAAATTATTTAATAAAAAAGTAAAGGAAATTTTAGCTAATATTTATAAATTTAGTACGTAATATCGGTTAAATAATTTAATAAATTTTTGTTGAAATTAATTTAAGCACAAATAAAGTAAAAACACATTTTAAGATATAGGCTTTTTGACAATTGTCCAGATTTTACAAAAGTTTTCTATCGAAAATATTGGATGTAATTTGCATACGATGTGATAACAGTTCAATCAATCAGCTTAGATAGTTAGATAGAACTTCTCATGCAGGACAGGCTGACTTAGGTCCTAAAACGTGTCCGTTATGACACTACAGAATCATCTTACAGTGAAAACAATTTGCAGATTGGAAATTTTTGCGTAAAATTTTGGCTTTGACTAATCTTAAGTAGAAATGAATCTCTTCTTTTTTTAAGGTGATAAATATGATAATATATGAAAAATATGATATTATTACAAAAAAATTAATACTAGAAGACAACACTATGAGTTGATTAAAACCAAAAAGTTATAAATTTATTAAAGAAAACAAAAATTAAATTTATAGATTGATTAAGCGCCAACTCTTGCTTAATTCGTAAAATCCATCATTTATTAACCTATTTTTCAATCTTTACAATTCTTAGTAAATTTTCTTACAAAAAAAATTAAACCAAAATATTTTACAATAATTTATAAAGCAAAAACAAAAGCAAAAATATTATATTGTATTGAAAATGCAATTAGTGTAAAATTTAATGAAAATATTATTGAAATACCAAAACTATAATAAATCATTATTCTAGTCATAATATCGCGATAAAATCACAACATGAAATAGATTTAATTAACTTCAACGAGAAAGAAAACTTCATTAGCATTATTTATAGAAAAATAGAAGAGAAAAGAACAGGGCTCCATGCTCTCCATGGAACGGAGCACTGCAAATATAGTGGAGCTTTTGTGCTAACAACTAACTTTAATGAATAGACTATACTAGATGCTCCTGTACCAGTATTCTCTTCCTGTCTCTGATAAAACCCAAACAGTCATAAAAAATTCCACTAGAAGTCACATTTCATTCAGGCAAAGACAACATTCAACTCCTGCACCTGAGACAGATACACTTGCTTGAAGTGTTGGCACAGTTGATCTTAACCCATCAATGATCTGCTAGCAACATCAATTCTGTCTTATTGAAAAACTATGTCTATTTAAATCATCAGAAAAATATATTTATGTTCCGACAGAGCAACCACTGCAAGATATCTGTAATGAACTTCTAATTATTATTAACATAATATTTTTCATATAAACGTATTAAATAATAAATTTCATTAAACCAAAATAAGAAAAAATTATAGTATAACTAGAATATTTACTATATTTTTGAAAAATTATAAAATATCATAGTTCGAACATTGAGTTCCGTCCAATAATAAACGTTAATGAACAATTTTTAATTGAATTTGATTGCTACATTTTAATGTGTTAACTCATTTGATGAAAAAATAATTTTGATCATTTAGAACATATCTCCCTTCAAAATTGAAACCTAAATAAAACAAATTAATGATTTTTTTATTAATTATTACATATTACATATATTCTCGCTATAAGACAAAAGTGTATAAACCTTTTTTGTTAAATGGTTTCTGAATAACTTCTTTAGTTCCTGAAATATGGATGACATATAACATATAGCTACAAGTTTCTGCATTTGCTTTTTTTCATATTTAAGAAAATCGTAGAAGACTCTATAAAGCATAGCCTTTGGTGCCAACTACAGACGTATATAACTTCAATATTCCCTTCCCGTTCCTCCTTTAGCATTGAAAAAAAACAGCTGAAGATCTCTACTGAACTTTACTGTTTTGGTATAAAGATAAAATAGATTAAGATAACAATAATAAGTAGTTAAAGGAAAGGAAGATTTGGTTAATTTTAAACAAAATTTTAAAATTAAAAATGTCAAGTAAATCGGCAACATTGTTTGTTCTGAAAAAATCTTAACAGATATCAGAAAATATTATTTAATTTCCTTTATTCTAAAAACAAAACATGTAGTATATATTGTTGAAAACATTTATTATTTGAAAATATTTTTTTTAGTTACAAACTAGTCACAAACTTGTTAGTAAAAATAAATAAATAAATAGTGTTAATTAACAAAAAATGTCGCATAAAATTTAATTATTTATATTTAATTGTACGTGTGAGAAAACACGAATAAAACTAAATATATATTTGAAGTGTAATAAATTTCGCTGTAAAATACCAACTAGTAATTTTATAAATTATTATATATAGAAAATATTTGTTATTTTTATTGTTATTTAATCATTTAGTGAAATAAATTAAACCACAAGTACTGCTTTTTATTATAAAATACCTTATAAATAATATTAAAATATTAAGTATTTAAAAATATATAATAAAAATAAAAAGGAAAAAATTCTTTGTTTTTTATTTTGAAACAATTATAATATATTTATTTGAAAACAGTTTTTAAAAAATCCGGAAGAGGTAAATCAGGAGTGAATACAAAAAAATCAAAAAGTCAAATAATTTGTTAGCTTGTGGGGTTCCTATATTCGTGATTAAATAAAGAAGTGCTTCATCAAATTAAAGAGCCAAGACTTGAAATAGTCAATGAAGAAACGTTTGTGCAGAATATTGATTGAGTCTCATATCTGCGAGATAGAGACAAATAGTCACTATAGAGAGTATTCATCATGTCACTGCACTCTAGCAAAAGAATTAAGGGTAGTGCTAGGAGGATGCTGACCATTGGCCATGCACCAAAAGTTAACACAGTCGTGAAGAATATTCCTCTTATTACAAATTTTGCCCATAGTTTTAGATATCAAACATGACACAATTACCAGCAAGTTGCAAGATGCTGGCGAGAAAGTGAGAATATCAAACAAATAAATGTCAAATAAAACGGGATCTAAGACAGAATCCTGTGAAATGCTTGCAACGATGAAGCAGGTGGGAAATAGCTTCGACTCTGACGCGGACATGGAAATTTCTATTCTTCATAAAACGGTATAATATTATACTGTCTTGCACATATATCATTCACTCTCAATCAAATCTGAATTGAAAAAGCCGACACAAACAGCTGTACTATTTTGTTGGAACTATTTTGTCTTCCATCGAAATTGGATCAAAAAATAAATACGGCCCTATTTTTAAGTAGATCTTCGATGCTTAAGCTCGAGTTTTGTCGCTGAATAAATGTAGTAATGTACATAATATAACTAAACAGTCCACAACATTTGGTGGCAACGCAGATTTCTTGCCCATTTTAGCCTTAGAAGATGATGGCACTACTTATCTTTTTGTAGTAAAAAGTGAAAGTGTAAAGAAAGTATAAAGAAAGTGACAGAAAATTACAGAGACTTGTCAATGTTTCTTTTTAATACAAAAAAGACAAAACTATGATTTCAAAAATTATTTCATTTCTTAAAAAAAAAAACAAATATTGCATTTCACATTTTTTTGCTATTTCAACATAAAGTAATATTAATAATTATAATAATTCTTCTTGATTCTTGATTCTTCTTCTTCTTGAGTTAGTACTATTACGCACTTTTACTCTATAATGGCTGGGGGGCTTATCTCTACCCCACACTAGGCTTTAACTAGGCTAAAAAAAAAAATCATACAATTTATTTGTCTTTTAATTGATGACGGACCTTAAATCAGCATATCTTCCTGAGAGTCCAGAAGTGGACTTAAAGATTGTTAGGGCGGGGTTAATTAGCGTATCAACTTTAGTGAATAATTTTAGAGCTCTGTCTCTGATATATTTTTTCACTGAGTCAATCCTAAGATCTCTATGTATGTCTGTTGATCTAATATACCATGGAATCTTAAACAGTTTTCTTAAAGCCAGGTTTTGAGCTATCTGCAATTGCTTTAAGGTAGTATTTGAGGCTTTGCTATATGTAACACATCCGTACAGTAGGGCAGGTCTAATTACTTGCGTATAAAGTAACTTTCTGTTTTTAAAGTTGAAGTGATAATTATTAAATAGCGGCTTTAATAAATGTAGAATCTTAGAGCAGCTATTCCGTTTGTATTTCAAATGTTTAAGCCAATTGAACCGTTTGTCAAAAGTGACCCCCAGATATTTTATGTTATCCTTCCGGCCTTTCTTGCAGGAAGCTACCAATGATCAAACCACTAGGGATCCCAAAACGGACCAATTTGACTATTAAACCATCATGCCAGACCTTGTCATAAGCTTTGGCTATGTCAAATATAATCATCCCGGTTGACTCCCGTTTTGTTAGAGCGGTTTGTATCAGCTGCGCTGTTCTGGCTAGTTGTAGTTCCGTGGAGAGATTATCCCTAAACCCGAATTGCTCGTCAGGAAGTAAATTTAGAGCATTCACCGCTGTTTTAAGCCTAGTCAGGATTACTCGTTCTGCCAATTTCCCCATAGTTGAGAGCAGACTGATAGGACGCCAGTTCTGCGGAAATGAAGGATTCTTATCCGGTTTAGGAAACACTATGACTGAGCCCATCTTCCAGGCCTTTGGAAATTCGCCAAGCCTAAGCATGCAATTGATGATATAACGATGCATTGGATTGCGTCTTCTGGAAGATTACGTAGGCATTTGTTACTGATATTATCATATCCGGGTGCCGATCTGGCCTTTAGACTAGAAATAATACAGTTAATCTCATCTCTGGAACACTGTGAGATGCTTTCATCTGACATCAGGTTCCTAAGATTAGCAGCCTCTTCAGCAATATTTGCTTCTTCCAGGGAATTATAGTCACTATCAGTATTGGGCTGAAATTGCAACTCCAAAGAATCTGCAAAGGCCTCAGCTCTGGCTATGTCTGAAAAAGCCATGCCGGTAACAACATAAATAGGCGGCACTACCGGTTTACGTTTAAGCCTAAAATACTTGTTCAAAGCCCAGAAGGTTTTATTACCTGTATCAATTCCTGAAAGAAATTCGCACCATTTATCATTATTATGTTTGCCAATTTTTTTCCTGATTACGTTAGAGAGACGATTGGCTTCTCTTCTTCTCATATGATCTCCAGTTATTCGAGCAAATTTTCGAATCGCATTCCTTTGTCTAATGATTTGTTTGATGTAATGCGGCAGATAGAAGTAGCTACTTGGTTTTCTGGTCCTGGTGATGGAGCTATTATCCAAAGCCTCCTTAATCTTGAGAGTGAGTTTTTGGATACAGTCATCAAGATCCTCAGAAGTTACTAGCCAACTGTTTATATTTGAAATATCAACCTGATTCTTAAATGAGCCCCAGTCATTATTATTATTTCAACACAAAATAATATATGTTAAGTTTTAAAAGAAAAATATTAAACAATTAAAGCAAGCAACGATATTCTAAAAAAATGTATTAAATTATTTTAGAATGTAGAAAAAATTATTACAGCAATCAACATTTTTCAATGTTAAATTTTATTAAAGTAGATATTATTTCGAAATAAACTTCAGATTTTATAAAGAAGAAATTTGACAATTAAAGTTAGAATTTCGCAGTTTCTCGAAGAAATTTTCTTAAATAATACGACGCTGTCAACATTCGAAAATTGTTTAAAAAAATTAAAAGTGTGGCTTCCGAGCAAGTTAAAAATCAATTCGAAATTTAACTTCCTGGATGAAAGGTATTGAAGCAATAAAAAAATTTTCTATTCTAAAATACAAACAACTTTTTATGTAAATGTGAATTATGAAGCTTTCAAAATAAAAGTAACGGCCAAAACGTAAATGTGATTGAAAGATACAACCCAGTACGACGTAACGCGACAACGTTAATTTAAAAAGCTTTTCTATAAAACATTGCAGTCCAATAAGCTTTCGCAAATAGGTTAGCGCGCTGATTTTGCAGTTGTAGATAATATTAATCAGAGTTAAAAAAAAATTTAAAACTATTGAAATAAATTTACATTTATAAACATAAAATAATTATAAACTGTTTTAGCTACGTGAATTCATCTTTGACTGCATAATAAGAAATGTTTTCGAATTCGTGTTGTTTATAAAAAGCTTAGTGCTGGCAACGTTGGCTTTATTATCGCGAAAGCTTCATATTAGATTTTTTTTAATTTGTTCTCTCATTTAATACGTTTAGTTGTCTTCTTACAGTGGTGGAGCGACGTGGTGGTGTTCGCTGGGAGTATTGGGCATTTACAAACGCTGACAAATATCAGAAAGTGTATATTTGGAAATAAAAGACAAGACTAATTAAGCCCAATTGTGCACCGTGATAATTTGAAAACGGTTTCCATAGTATATTTACCAGAAAAGCAGTTGTGAACGCATCTTCATCGGAACCAATTATGGCAGTAGTACTACGCAGCAGTAGAAAATGGTTCAGTCCGACGTTAAATAATCTTTCTAATAACTATTTTACCTATTCTAATGAGCTGGCTCATCCAATACAACGTGAAACACCAATTGTTTGTCCTGATGAAGCGGTTAGCGTTATAAAATCAGGTAAGAAAAACAGCATGTAATAGTGATTCCCTTTCATAAAAAAAGTATTGAATTTTTTTTTAATTTTTTTTGAATGCTTGTTATGTAATTAATGCAAATATCTGAAGCGCACGTAAACGCTTCATTACGGAAAATGATAACGTGGCAGGGAAATAAAAACTATCAGTTCTAATAGGTCATTAATTTGTAAGCTTTGTTGAATATAATAATTTCTTTCGATTGTTTTGTGCTAATTTACGAAAATTCAAAGTTAAGACATACAATTTTACTTTAATTCGCAAATAACTCATACTCATATCTAATTGAAAAAATTGCATGACAAAGATGAAATCAAAACATATTTACTTTTCTCTGCAGGCAGTGTCGATTACACACATGTTTTACATGGTTTCATGGCCGCAGAGCAACGCTCACTGCAAGCCATTCAGCCGGCACAGTAGAATGAATTGGCTAACTCGCCACATAAAATAAATCAGCTAACGAGCTACTCTATATTCTTTCGTTTACTTGATTCTAATCATATATTGTAAATATAAAATTGAAACTTTAACCATATCTTAAATTTACACTTTAATACACTTTAAAAAAAATTCTAAAAACTCCTGAATTATTACATAATAGTGCATTTGTAACTGACGATGAATGTGTCACGGATTAAATGTGTAATTCAAAATATTATATTATCCGATCGTTAAAGTCAAATCAATTTTCTTCTTCTTCTTATTTGGCACTACAGTCCAGTGTAAACCTTTGCCTCCTTTACAACCTGCTTCCATCAACTTCAATCTTGTGCAATTGTTTTCCAATTCAGAACTCCGACCTTTCCGGCGTTCTCGTACACGTTTTTCTTCCATCTCAGCTTCGGCCTGTCTCTATGGCTTGTTGTCATCGGACCTTGTTAAAGCAGTCTTTGTGCTTTAACAAATCTTACTATATTTTCATTTTTAGGCAGGTTTGCAATTTCCAAATTAATTTTCATCTGACAAAATTACATAACTTTGCTAATATAGCTGACACTACTGGTAAAAAATTAATTTTAAAATTAAAAGTTATTCATCGTCCTTAAAACAGTAAAAAAGGATTTATGTAATTGATTTTGATAACAAAAAAAAATTTTTTTCCCACTGCCTCAAAAAAAAAATTGTTCTTTGATAAGATAAACAGATTCTCGTGCCCTCTGTTCATATCACATTATGCCCAATACTCGTACTTTTTTAAATACAAAACAATTTGTGAATTCATTCGAGCGGGGAGTAGCAACAAAACTAGAGAAGCTTTATTTTGATACGATTCTTAATGATAAACCCGTATTTAATTTGTGTCAAATTGATTGAATGAAATGAGTAAATAAATAAGTTAGCAGTAGCTATAAATGAATGTGTCTATGTCTGTATTGCGACTATATTAATATCTAAATAAATAATATTTATTTAATAAATTGTTTTCTCATGATTTTTGACAAGTTCAATGCAACTTCATTATAATGTGCGCTTTATAGTCGGTGTTTTGCATGTGGTCTTCAAGAATTTTTCATTATTTCTCTACTTACTTCGCTTTATTTCGCATCGACGCTAGACAAGTTAAAATATCAAAACAAAAATCTAAAAATCTGCATTAAGCTAAAAATAATTCATTTTTCGTAATATCTTGATAGCAATTTAGTTTGCTATTTTTGAACGGAAAAGTGACTACGTCAAATCCACACGCGTAAAGAATTTTATCTTCTAACTTATAATTTCTCCACTATTTTTATTGAGAGCTCTGCTTTTGCTCTACATGCGCTCAGTTTTTAATTTTTGGTGTGATTTTGGCTTCTCATAATAAATGTAATTGAATGATACCATACAAACTATACAATGAATGAATAAATCTGTATTTTATTCAACATTTTCTCAAACACTTAAAATTTGTGTACAATTTAATTTAAATAAAAATTAATGATATCAAAAATCATTCTATCTACTACTAGTATTACCCGACACTTTCACTATCATCGTGAGTCTGAAAGTTATTATAATATCTATGTACATACCATACAAGTATTCTCAATAAAAAGTCTAAAGTCCAATTATAAAGACAAATCTTTCTAAATAATCATTAAAATTGAAAATATGTACCAATGAGTATGCAGCAGATTTAATACTCGCATATGACCTTTTTCAGTTTTTTTATGCGCTACATTCAGTACACACCACTTTCTCATAATACTAAACTACTAAACTAAACTATATTTTATGTCCTATAATACTGTTTAATATGTATATATAGTGTATATATACCATACAGTATATAGTGTATATATAGCATATAGTATATATAATTCTGCTGCAATGTCAAAGCAGAATTCTCATTTGTTGTAACCTGAGCTTGGAAAATTGTTGTCGCAATGTGGCAAATTAGAAATTGGGGTTTTGGTTTAATATAGAATATATTATACATATCTGAAAAATATGTATACATAAAGATAAATATTGAGAAATATCGTTGGCAATGCGACTTTTTCATACTATATGATTAAGTAATAACACCCAAACGATAGATACTAATTTGGTAACACTCAGAACAGCTGTATGTTCTGCGAAAATATTCAAATAAATAATTTCTTTTGTTCTTCAGAAATAATTACTCATTTCATTTCTAGTTTTAAATGAAATAATTTATTATAGGCTGCAAAAAGTGTGTTTTATTTTTACAGCGAATTGCTTAATAGTTTTTGGTAAAATTAGTTCATCCCATTAAGAATTATTAAGATATCAGTTAATTAACCATTTGATCTCGTCAACGTATTACAAAATTTTATTTTATTGATACTTTCTACTGTGTGTCAATAATATGTTTTAAAATGACGTCGAACACATTTCTCTGCAATCTTTAATAATAGTAGGTTTTGCATAAACACATCCTAAAACCTGATTATGGATGTTGGTAATGATAATAGTTTATGGATTATGGTAACGCCTTTATGCACTGCGACCAGCAGTGATCTATTATGTAGCCCTTTGTATTTAGACATTATGTATCTAGAAAACCGAATCAGTTCTTTCGGATGGAGTTTTTGAAGACCTTCATTCTCTAGTTGATATGTACCTAAAATTTTTAAAAATCAAAATTGAATAATTATGCTTAAGAATTGTATGTTATGTTATCGTATGCTTAAGAAAATATTGAAAATTTTAAGAAAAATGTATAAACAAGATTATATATTAACATATATCGCTCTCATATTACGAAAAAATTCGGTCAAACTGAATGTAGCGCCTTAAATTTATAATGTAAATACAATAGTTATTCCAATTGTACAATAAATTAGTATTTTATATTATATTTCAATAACAAATGTAACAAGAGATAAAAGCCTTCCAAGAGTAGTTTACATGTTAATTAGGATCTTGAGAAACCACAATGATATTAATAATATCTTCACCTTGTTAGAACACTTTTAATATTAATAGATATATCTAAAAATCTTTTGATATTGAGGACTGTCTAACGTTAACCGTCGTTTAGCAATTCTAATCAGCATCCATTGAGTCAAAAGATATTTAATTTAATTATATTTGCACTAATGTGTGAATGTAAACAAATAATATTCAATACATATATATACAAACTCGTATTTATATAAACTTTATTAATTAAAAAAGTTGTCAGAATTGTTTTTACAGTTTTAGTAGAAACAATAATTGCTTATCAGTGCATTGCTGCTGAAAAGAGGGGCAAAGAATTTCATTGAAATGATATACTTGAAATCGAAGTACATACGTTACATGTCGCTAATAAATTTGTATATTTATATATATTTATATAAAATTCCATTCTGAATTTAAATAAAACTTAAAGGAATAATGTTTAAAATTTAATTTAATATTATAGGATCATTCTAAGATATAACAATTTTACTAATCATCTACGCAAACCAGAGTAAGATATATAAAAAAAAATGTATTTTGTGTATTCTCTCTCTCTCTCTCTCTAAATGAATGGCTTTTAAATTTATTTAATATATTCACATTAACCGCATAAAAACTTTTATTCTTACAGGTGATACCGTATTTTGCTCCGGTGCAGCAGCCACACCTATTGATCTTCTCAATGCTATGACAAAACATGGAAAAGACAATTGTCTGGAAAATGTAACTGTTTGTCATATGCATACCGAGGGTCCCGCAACGTATTGCCAACCCGAATATTCAGATATCTTTCGCTCTAGTTCATTCTTTATGGGTGGTAATGTACGTAAAGCTGTGGCGGAGGGACGTGGCGATAATATGTCCATATTCTTACATGAAATTCCAAAATTATTTTTTAAAAAAATTATTAAACCTGACGTCTCGTTAGTCCATGTTTCACCACCAGATGAGCACGGATACTGCAGTTTAGGTACGAGTGTAGATTGTGTGCGCGCTGGTTTAATGCACTCTAAAGTAATTATAGGTAAAAATTAATTGTTTAACTAGTCTAAGAGTTTAATTTTATTAAATTACCTTTAATTTTTTGATGATAGCGCAAATGAACAAGCAAATGCCGCGCACATTTGGAGGTGCCCTTATTCACTCCTCCCATTTTGATGCTGCCGTAGAGGTTGACACTCCTCTACCACAACACGGTGGAAAGGGCCCTAGTGATGTTGAAACAAAAATTGGTAAACTGATTGCTGAAAATTTAGTCAAAGACGGTGCCACATTGCAAATGGGAATTGGTAGTATTCCTGACGCAGTGCTTAATGCACTGCATAATCACAAAGACTTAGGCATACATTCTGAAATGTTCGCAAATGGTGTCGTCGATTTAGTAAAGAAAGGATGTGTAACTAACAGCAAAAAAAAAATGCATCAAGGACGGATTGTGGGCTCGTTTTTGATTGGCAATCAAGCATTATATGATTTTGTGAACAACAATCCATTTATTGGTTAGTAAAATAAAATATTGTTATTAAGTTTAAAAAAACTTTTATCTCATTTAGAAATGCATGTAATTGACTATGTTAACGACACCAGCATAGTTAAGCAGCAACCCCGTATGACAGCGATCAATTCATGTATTGAAGTCGATTTGACGGGTCAAGTATGCTCAGATTCAATTGGCACACGTTTCTATTCTGGCTTTGGTGGACAGGTAGATTTTATACGTGGTGCTGCAGAAGGCTTTGATGGCGAAGGTGTGCCAATCATCGCTATGCCATCAGCAACTAACAAAGGACAAAGCAAAATATCACCTGTATTAAAACCAGGTAATTCAAAATATGTTCAATGTTTTTTATCCGTTAAATATGTAAATTATTCGTTATTCAGGTGCCGGTGTTGTCACTTCACGTGCTCACGTACACTACGTAGTTACTGAATATGGCATTGCGTCTCTATTTGGTAAAAATATGCGTCAACGTGCCTGTGAACTTATTAAAATTGCACATCCTGACCATCGTCAGGCCCTCGAAAAAGCTGCATTTGAACGTCTTAAAGTAATGCCATCTAAATAAACCAAATATAAATGAAATTTAAACAATTTAAGCTTAAGAAAAATTTTGAATAAAATTGTACATTTTTATAATTTCGATTAAATTTCATGATTCCGAAACTATACTCAACACTTAGCGAATGAAAAAAAAGGAAATATTTCGTAATGAATAAATACGTAGTGTTCTATTATATTTTATAAATAAATAATATAAACAAATTTTGAATAAAACCGATATAATTAAACTTATTTTTAATTTTAACTATATAACAGTAGTTGTTAGCATTATTTCTAGTGTTTCCAATTTGTTAAATAAAAGTTAATTGGACTTTTTTTAAGAGATACATTAACAAAACGCAACAAAATCTATTGTATGTTAATAGATTAATAATTAAAAAATGTAGACTAATAGATAATTAGTATATATAGTATATTAATAAAGTTGGAATCCATTTTCAATAATATCCGAAATATCAAAAAAACTATTCACACATTAATTTTATTAATAATATTAGTTAAAATTAAAAAAACATAAACATAAACACTATAAGTTAAGAATGGACTTCATATTGAACTATTACTCTACCTACTGCAATAGACTCCAAACCTGAGTCTCAACACTTCCCTATTAGGGACTGGTATTATAATAATATTGTAACTAACGTAGTTTGAAAGCTATTTTGATTCAAAGTTCATTTATTCTGTCATATCACTTAAATACTCTAATAAACAACAAAGTCCCAATTCTTCAATTATATGTGAGCCTTGAGAAATATACACCTGAATTCAATCAACCGATAGATATTCACGTTTTATGTTTGGAAAAAGCAAAATTTGCAGTTTTACTATACACAGGGTCACATGGATAGATGATATACCTATAAACAAATTAAAACTATTTAAATTCGACAAAAGAAATATATTCTTATAATTAGTAATTGGTAATCTAGATAAGGACTGTCCCAAGCAAAAGTCGCGGCTAATATTTGTGCAGCTTGCGAAATGTTTCTAATCTATCACAATTACACACATTTTTCTTTGGTATATTTTGGTAAAATTAGATTATTTTATTTTGATGGTAACCAAAAAAATTAATTTATAAATATAACATTTTTCCCAAAAAAAATCATGAACGTATGTATTTGTTTCTGCGGCCCTCCAATTTATACAGTGATTTGTAGGGACTCGCGATCGGATCTGATCTGGTCAGCTCTGTTCTACATCAAAGAGCTATTACAATTGATTTGATACTTGTAATATAATATTAAGTCTCATAGATTGCAGTGTGCCTTTGATTTAATAATAGTAATAACAGTAATAAATAACATATAATTAGTTGTTCCCTATTTCGCCAAAATACCGAATCAGGGAATAATTCCTTAACTAACTGTATAATGTCATATAAAGGATAACAAAGCTCGCGGTTTTGAAGCAAAATTATCTTCGTATTGATGTTATTTCTTAACAGGGAAATTAAATATTTATAGAGTAATCAAAATATTTTAAAAAACCTTTTTTTATGAATATTTCATTTAAGAATTAACCAGAAATCTTGTGTAAAAAATAAAAAATTTTACCATCCAGCATAAATAATTATTTTAAGCCTGAAATCATGCTTCGATTTAAAAATAATATACATTTACTTTATGAATAATAAATCTAGCAATCGAAAGTTATAGTTAGTATTATGTATATTACGTATAATAGGGGTAATATAAGGTATTAGGATTATGTTATCACTTATTCAAACAACCATCACTAGGTTGAAACCTAATGTTAAAGATTTCTAATCATTTTAATTTTTAAATTCTTAAAATGTTGACATATTATTTGTTATAAATAAATAATAAAAACACAGAACTTCAAATTAATCCACAGATAACTTTTATTTTTCAAATGGATGTCGTCTTCTTTGTAATGTACTTAAGTTATCAACCGTAGACATAATTATATATTTGAAAATTTTCCTGTTTTTCAACAGGAATTGAATATGAAGATTTGAGTATATAACTTTTGTCTATTTTTTAAGATTGATAAATGTGTAAACAAATGACCTTTTCGGATGTAGACTGCGCTAGAGGCGCATTTATTAATAACATGTTACTTAACTGGTAGCCAAATGATTCACACTTAATTACTTACATCTACTGATAAAAATATCTTTGATTAAATAAAATTCGTGATGGTAAATGTTTATTTTATTGTTTACATAAAGATAATAAAAGCGTGGACGTGCTAAAGGGGACAGAAGGCGATAATAACAGGAAAAAGAAATATTTTAAAACTATTAATTCAATGAGTAATCGTTTAGTAACTAAACCCAAAAAATGCAAAGCCAACATTATTTGCTTTGAATATTTCTAGGTAAGCACATCGTCAAAATAATATTAATTTGATATTGATGAGTTTAAAGATACATTAACAAGTCTTTCTTTACTTTTCTAATTTACGCGTCGCGTTACAAATATATGCTCAATACACTTTCTAATGTAACACGGTTGATTATCCATCATTATAAGACTACATTTATGTATACATATTTTAATATAAATTTTTGCATAGAAAATATCAGCATAAAGTTCTGTAAACAAATTTAACTTTGAAGAGTTCATTTGCGCTACTTACACAGCCCAATATCCAATCTGAACTATGTTATAAGATCCACGAAGATGACCAGACAAAACTAACACGTGCAAATATACAGATGACAGTTTTAACTCGAATTGAAACAACCTCTAAAACATACAAAACATCCAAATATAAACACACTCCTTCTCTCTCTCTCTCTCTATTTCTATAATTTTTTAAAATATCATAATATTTACTGAATTTGGTCGCCGCTTATATGGATTCGTTTCACAGAGTGAATCATGGCTATCATAAACCACTCTAAAGCGTGGCTTCCTGCTTAGATATTCTTAAACTTCTGAAATTAATATGCTTCTATATGTACTGCAAAAACTACTACGCTGCCAAGGATGACGGTACCTGCCCAAAAAGCAAAATTCATTTACATTTCTTTGAGTGATAAATGGAAATCTGATATTTTTAATGATGCTCTTAGAGATACTTTCTATTCAAATACATCAATTAGACACCATCGATATAGTCCAATTAATAAACTTGCTCATTTCTAAAATAAACTCAGAAAATTAGAAAATAACCAATTCTGTTTCAATTTTTTATATTTAATTGCTCTTCTGTGAATTGTTACATTTTATATATTACAAAAAAATATAAACATCATTGTTTAATTTTAGAAGTATATACGAATTACATCATAGACGCCAGATGTCTTACATTTTAAAATTATAAAATTATTTGTTAACATAAATATTGTTAAGTTAAAAGTTACCTAACCTACTTGAATATTATGAAATTTATTTGATTGTATTTAATTAATTATTAAGTAATAATAATTAAAATAAAAAAAAAACAAAACAAATTCAGTGTTTAGCAGTTCACTTTTTGAGTGAAAACAAATTATAGCGGGAACTAAGTTAAGAATAAAACTTTGAACTTTTCGTATATTTAAGAAGAGGAACTACATCTTAAATCTATTATACCGGCAAATCTTTTTATAGCTTAAGAGTTATTTAGCACTTCATTCTAGGGCAGCACTTAGCTTAGTTCTTTTTTGAATTATTCGTGGTATTATTTTCCAATCTTTGCTTTTTCTTTGGTAGGTCCTCCTCATCTTCTTCCGCTTCATCGTCTTCATCAGTTTCTTCATCTTCCATATCAACTATTTCAACTTCATCCTTAATATTTTGACCATGTATGTATACAGGTCCATTGCCCTTCACTAGTTTAAATGTTACTGCTGTTTCATAGAACTCAATATCTGGATTGACAGCCCGCGTCTCACCGGCCTTTAAAACAGCGATCGGTATTCTCAAAGAGTCTTTCACAGTAAACACCTAGATGAAAGGCAAGCATACATAAAATATTATAAAATTAAAAATTAATAAATATAGTTTTTAAGTGTTGTGACTTTTATATACAATTTAATCTGCAATTAATAGTTTGATATTGATTTTGATAGTATCAATACTTGAGGCGCTAAAATTTTAATTATTATGAAATCAAAACTCACTGATAAAAATTAATTTAAAATATTTTAATAATTTTGATTAGATTTTGATTAGATTGATAATTGTGTCAAATTATCTTCATTGGAGTTAAAACTAAAAACGTCATAAGCAGTTTGATAGTAAGTTATCAACGCTATATTTGTTTCAATTCGCTCTTATATGGAATTGACATCCCGTCTTCATAAAGTTATTCTTAGATGCAGTGGAGAAATACTCAGTATAGCGAAAACCTTAACGTTTCCCTATATTTTAATTAACTCTGAGACTGAAAATAGGGAAGCATTGTTAAGAAACATTATTCTGAAATGGAGAAATATACAAAGCTAAAATCATTTATACAGAATACAAGTTATAAGGTATTGATTTATAAAATTCAAAATACTGATTCCAAAAAAACAATTGTATTGTTCAAAAAACAACTTTTTATCTACCAATACGAAATAGTTGCTTTCAAATTAAACTAACAAAGTACAGCAAGAGGGAATCTTTTATATGTGAGTCTTTTCAAAGACCATTATTAACTACTGCCTAAACAATTCACGTGCCACACAAATGACACCTCAGAGCTCTACAAGTAATAGAACATAACATCTCCGTTACAACCATCGACCCCTTTCTCTAAATCGGGTATATTAACATATACTCTAACGGAGTCCACATCAATGGAACAATTCTCAACATGGATTACGCACTTTTATTACTGAAGCAATGGAATCTCCATGGACAGGAATCAGGTTTACAATAGGTTACCGTGTGATATCTCTAAGGGCTTATATGAGGAGCAAAGACTATACTGATCTAACGTATATTACTTATGACATGTTCACACATGTATTTTCGATGTGTGCCACAACTGCAGTTGTACCAATCCTCTTACAAATTTGAGCCTAATTAATTTATGGCTCCGACGTATTGAATATGACAAAGTTTCTTCGCCTGGACCCAGGCTGTTTCAATAGCAATAAATAATAGTCGAATCAATCACACATCCATTAAAAGTTTGCAAACAATCATTATTTTGTTAGTTTTGGAAATATGTAATCATTATAAAATAATTTAACAAATTAACAAGTAATTTACAATTAATTATTGTAGTTTTTTTTATTAACCATTTTTTTTGTAGTACAAGTGGCGTTTCACGGTCATATGCTTCCGATAATATTGCAATATTTTATAATTTTATACACAAAATTTTCCTTAAATAAAATAGACATGTTTTTATAAAAACGAGTACTTGTACTTGATATCAACCAGAAGTTATCAATAAAATAATAATTAAATGTGGGGTACTTTAGAAATACTGCAACGGCTCGACGATTAGTACGGTGCTCTGCTATAACATACTAGAAATGGTGTATAACTCATTTTAAAATAGTAAACCTAGTAGTATCGGTAGCGATAGATAATTGTCAGACAAATAAATGAACTAGAATCAAACAAATTTCAAAAGCATTGCTCGGCATTCATTCCATATTGCGCGCTCGCGATGTTAGCACCTAAAATTGTAGTCTGAAACGCGCTCAAACGTTCAATTCGTTCTGACTCGATTGGTTAACTTAAATTTTAAAATAAAACAAAGTTAATTTAAAATCTTTTAAAAGAATTTATGGTAACATATTTAAGTACAAAACTCTGAGCTCACGGTATATTCAGGAAATCAAATCGCAGTATGTCAACGGAGATCGAAGGTACAATTACTACCCCTAAAATATATACGAATATAATTTTTTTATAATCTAGTGTAAAGGAAAGAAGATATGGAACAAATACTAAAGGGATTCAGTAACAATTATACTTATTTTCTTTTTTGAAGTGATTTTCATTTTAAATATTGTATATTGTACACGTGTTGCCCACACAAATTTCAACAGAAGTGTCGTGAGGTTTGTTGATTACCTTAAAATCACCACTTACATATCTCATTTTTGAAAAAGTGGCTTCAGTGTGGATGAGCATTAAATTATCAATTCGAACCTAATTAAGAGTTCAGTGACCCCTCAAACACATTCAAAGAATTGAAATTTAATCTGGAAAAAATATTTTTGCCACAACAACTCAAAACAGAATTAGTTTCAATTTTTACAAAATATTTTAAAACTAAAGTTGGTTGTTACTCAATAAAATTAATTATTATTTCAAGTGTACTCAATATTGAAAGTCTTAAACTCATCTGAATGAAAATTTTTTTCTTCACTCTAGTACTATCAATTTTCACTCTTCACTCTCTTGAGGGGCTCAAAAATGTTACTTGAATTTTTAAGACAACTGCTAATGAAATCAATATAAAATTATAAATAACTTGGTAAAGTTTATAAAACATAAAAGAATACTTTGTTAAATAATTGTGTTTTAACTTTCTTTTTATTAATATGGCTACACGCGTATCATTATTACTTGCCTGATTAATAATAGCACTCTTGATGGGGTCTGATCTGTTAAAAGCCTAGTGTCAAATTTCTCTGTGTGAATAGATCAAAGACATTTAGTGTACCGGTTTGATTCAAAGATATTATTGATACAAAGATATTCTCAATAAATGATATGGTCATTCTAAAAATGACCAAAATACAAATGAAGAACATCTAAGAAAAGAGCACACTGAATATAAAAAATCAGAGTCCCTAAATCGTGACTGACAGCTAACATTCAAGGTTTTATAGATAATATAAGTTAATTTTTTAGTTCTATTTTTCTGAGATAAACTGTTAAATATTTTTGTATAAATAATATAAAATTTAGACTATATTATACATTTTATATTCTATTTATATGAAATAAATTCGATTTATGTAATAAAATTTCCATTAAAATAAGTTAATTGCTGAGTTTGTTCGTTTTAAAATAAGGCTATGTCAAATTAACTAAGACCGCTATATGCACTATCTCTTTGAGGGACCGACGAATGGACTACTGTACATAAATTAAATTGAAATCATGCCCACCTGTGTACAAGCGGTACACAGGTAAAACATGTCGTGTGGCCACCCGTAAGCACGCGGGCCGGTAATGTTGTTGCGGAGTGACCCATCGGTGGGCATGCGGTCTTTAACGTGTTAAAGAATCAGAGCAGTAAATGAGATTTAAACTAAAGAACGCCTAAGTTAGATTAGGTTAGGCTTAAAAGGTACATGTTGGTGCAAATAGCAACACTTACACTCAGAGACAATTACTGCCAATTGACATACCCACAACGTTATCACAAAAAGAAAGCCTAAGCAACTTACATGTTTTGTAAACATCTTAACTGTTTATCACAACTGCCCATTTCGTAATGACTTTGATTACCTTTGATTTTGGAATTTCTTTATAAGGAATCACTCCTAATAAACGATTAGATGTTAAATAGGCCACTAATAAAAATATGTGTCTGTTTTTAGCAGCACAAAAAATCAACTATGGTCGCGGTGCTTCGCTCCGTCAGGAACAGGTACTCTGTTTATTTCTATTTATTATTTATAGGGGCTAAGTAGACTGATTGTTTAGCGACAGCTGTCACTTGCATCCACATCAATAATGAAAACTAAATGCACAATAATTGAATTCTTTAAACATAAATAAAATGTTATTAATTGCTTATCTCGCAATATTGTCAGTCAAAAGTCTATATTACTACTTCATATTCACTAACGTGATTGATCACTCTTTATAAGTGATTATGGAAATAATTTTCCACAATTTTAAACCAAAATTTTCCATTCTTAGGATTGAAATCTGATATTATTTTGACTTCCCACTTAACGATAAAGATAACCAATTTTTGCTAAACAATTTTAATCATTATTGATAAAGTAAATACTCATATGTAGGAGTTAATAAAATCTAACCTTATGAATTATGGAACCACAAACTGTTCTGAACATCCCACAATTCAAATATATCACATACTGTTCAGAATATTATATATGTTATTAGAGTGATAAAATTTGTTCGTTCGTGTAATGAAAACTGCAATATTTCTGCAAAAGAATAATGATACTGTTCATTGCGGAAGTGTAGATCATTGATGTCTATCATCAAAGTCCTTTATATACTTTTTTCTGTTTATTCAGTTCGTTGAAACATTCCAGTTTGTGTTCGACTGTTTTAATATTATCATTAAATAAAATCAAAAATTTTAAATAATTACGAATAATATTTTGATAATTTGATTTATATTTGTTAGAAGCAGTAGCTCTTGATAAAAGTAAATTTATCTCTTTCAAACAAACAGTAATTATATATATTCAATTTATGTAGTATAATACTCGTAATTATTATCAATCAAAATATTACATGATAGACACTTGTTAATAGAATACAATAATGCCCCTGACATACATGCGTATATCATTATCTTTTATTATAGTACCTAATACCCCGTGCAAGTATGATTGTAAATTATTAATTACTATTATTAAATTGATCATTTCGCAGATCAGCTTTATCGCGAGACGCTTCCAAATATTTATGAGGTGGTGAAGCGGAAAACTAAAAAATATTGCACTCCTAATACGCTTATGAATTTTTTCCCAGTAATAAAATGGCTGCCAAATTATCAACTGGATTATGTTTTAAAAGACTGTATAGCCGGCTTAACAGTAGGATTGACCTGCATACCACAGGCCATAGCGTATGGCGCAATAGCTGGTCTTGAGCCACAATATGGCCTGTATTCAGCCTTCATGGGCTGTTTTATGTACATTATTTTTGGCACATGCAAGGATGTTACAGTGGGTAAGATTCCTAGTGACATGCGACATTAAAGAATGTGATGCCTAATATTATGACTGTCCCTATTTTCCTTTTGCAGGGCCCACAGCTATAATGGCATTAATGGTGCAGCATGTTGCGAAGAGTGCTGATTATGTGGTGTTGTTGTGCTTTATTTCCGGATGTATTATAACTTTAATGGGATTACTGAATCTGGGTATATTAGTACAATTTATTTCAATGCCTGTAACAACTGGGTTCATAACAGCTGCTGCGGTTACCATAGCTAGTGGTCAAATAAATAATTTATTTGGCATCTCGAGTAAGAAAAATAAATTGGGAGTACTTTTAAACGTACATAATTTTTTTTGGTTTTAACGCAGGTTCATCAAACGAATTTTTCACCTCTTGGTACACTTTCTTCGGTAATATTACGAAACTTAAACAGAACGACTCCATACTGGGAGTTTGCACTTTGATAGTACTGATATTGATGAAAGTAAGTTGTATATTTAATTTATATATGAAATGTATAAGTTTACTTTAATTATTTAACAGCAAATGCAAACTAGCAAATGTGTGACTCCCAAGTTTAAAAAGCTCATTTACTTAATTTCCTTATCGCGTAATGCATTGGCTGTGATTGTTGGTATTATATTGTGCTATTGCTTAAGCCACGACGACGTATTACCTTTCAGAGTCAACGGCAAAATCACGAAAGGCATACCACCTTTTCAATTGCCTCCTTTTAGTACAACTAATGAGAACGGGGAAACTGTTTCCTTTACCGAAATGTTTTCCGAATTAACAACATCTATCGTAACAATTCCGTTGGTGTCTGTTGTAGAAAGTATAGCTGTTGCTAAGGCATTTTGTAAGTAAAAAATTGTAACCCTTATTAAACCCTTATAATTGCGAATCTTTCTAGCAAAAGGAAAAATCGTTGACTATTCACAAGAAATGATAGCCCTGGGTCTTGGAAATATAATGGGTAGTTTTGTTTCATCGATGCCCATAACTGGTTCGTTTACACGTACAGCAATTAATAACAGTAGCGGAGTAAAAACACAATTTGGTGGTCTTGTAACTGGTGGTTTGGTACTTCTTGCATTATCATTTCTAACAAACACATTCTACTACATACCTAAAGCTACTTTAGCTGCTATCATCATTGCGGCTATGATCTTCATGATAGAATATCACAGAATTTTAGAAATTTGGAACTCAAAAAGTATTGTTTTAATAAAATTTAAAATATTAATCATTTCATTTTACGATTATAGAGTTAGATGTATTCCCTTACGTCGTGACAGTAATCGTTTGCCTATTCTGGAGCTTGGAAGGAGGTATAATTGTGGGAATAATTTTTAATTTAATATTTATATTATACAGAACGGCTAGGCCACGAATAACGACAACAATAGAAAAGGTATTTCTGTCTCTAATCATAAATTAAAGTATTAAAGCTAATAATATTAACACATAAAATTGTAGGTTAATGATATAGAAATAGGCATTGTTAAGCTAGAAGGAGAATTTCGCTATTGTTGCGCAGAATACCTAAGAATGAAAATCATTAACTTTAAAAATACTCAAGCGACAAGCGTAAGTTTGATTATGTTGCAAGGAGAAGATATTAAGTCAATTGATTCCACAGTTGCCATGGTAAGTACACAAAAACGTCACAAATATACGCATTCATAAATAAATATATTAAATAATATTCTAGAACATACTTTCATTAAAAGAAGATTTAATTTTATTAAACTGCGAGCTGTTTTGTTGGAACTGGAATTACAAATCAGCCGGCGTATTATATCGCCTAAATCCTAACGCACGAGGCATGTTTAAATTTGATATAACCCTACAAGAAATAATTGATGATATCAAAGGAAAAAATAGCAGAAATCACAGTTTGGTATAAACACAATAATTAATAAGATATATATTTTTTTGTATATGTATTGCAAATAAAAAAATACACATGTTCGTAAACAGGTATAACCTTAGTAATTTTATTTCACAGGGTGTGGTTAAATAATGGGTGAGTCAGTAATAATATACAATCGCTGAATATGTTAAATGACACTGCGATATTCACCCATTCATTCCTGGAACTATATACAGTTGGGCGAGATGGTCGGTTGTTGTTCATATAAGAGATTATTTATTAGGAAGTCTTTTTAACAATTATAGCAAAGCTGCTCTCGCTCTCTCTACAGATAAAACATTTTAAATAAACAAATGATACTATTTAAATAGAACAACATACCGAAATATAGGTTTTGCAGTTTGGAAAGTTTAAATCTACAGAATTCATATTTTCCGTACGCGCCGAAACTAAAGTTTCTCTAATTCTCATGACTAGATCAAATAATTTTTCACACACTTCCAGAAATTTACTTTATATATTTAAATGGGCCATGCATTATAGCATTTAAGAATAAACGAAATACAAGCACAATGATTTAAATGATATTGCAAATTAAATTTGTACAATACAATTAGCACCTGAAGACCACCTGAATTTAATAAGCTAAACCCACTGTATTTACTAGTATCACACAGGTTTGATAATGTACAACACTTAAATGGTTAATATAGAAACATACCTCCACAACGTTAAATTCACCCTCTTTGGCTTCTGCACCCAACAGAATTTGTTTGATTATTAATTTTTGACCACGAGGAAAGTCTTCATCATTAGAGAGCACATCCCACGATACAGTACTATCCTGCCCAGTAAGAGTTACACCTACAATTTGAAAGGTTGTTACTAAATGCTAGTATTTTATTAATGTTAGTTTGTCATGTAAAATAATTAAATGTCGAAGCACCGGCAAAAGACAGACACCACTGACACTTCAGCAATTAAGTTAAAAGAACATATTTCACAAAATAAAATCAGTAAAGTATTTATTGCACTGTTAAGTTTCGTATTTACCATAAAATGATTCGTCTGACATAGCGATTACTTAAGAAAAGTTCGATTAATAGAATTTAATTCACGCTCTAATATGCGCAAATAATTTCGATAAAGATATGACAGCAAAAACGCCGGCGAACACCAAAGTGACAGACAAAAGTAAATGTCAAACGTATTTACGTTGCCATATTATAACAGAAAAAATGTCTACACCAGATTGAGTGTTAAATGTAACTAATAACATTATAGAGGGATTTACTCTGTCTTGCAAAGTCATTGCGAGGTGCACGAAATGTAAGAATGTTATATTAAAATTGCAATAGTTCAAGAACACCTCTGTTGCAGAATTGCATCAAAATGAAACCGCTGTTTTTGCAGCATACCACATTCACATGAGAAGCAACAAATACCAAAACAGCTATTTTTTTCCTTTTTTGTTTTGTTGTAAGCATACATACATGGGTTAAGGTATAGTAAGCAGTTGGAAGAAACTTTGTGCGTGTATTTTGTGGTCGTCCCTTACAAGCTTGCAATTTGTGCATTTCGTGCACCTTACAATGAGTTTGCAAAACAGAGTATATACACCTTATAATTACTGTATTTACACTTATACTAGATTTACAATGGCTCTTATATCATGTTTCCAATATAGCAACAACTACTTATGTTAATGAAATTAAGAAAAGTTCGTTTCCATTCACATAACTTTTTAAAAGTAGTAAACGTACATTTTACCAATAACTCTCATTAACGAACAACACACTCATCAACATTAAAACAAACAAAATAAATTGATATGACATTAAAGATGTTATCCTGTTACACTATACTATCTACTATATGTTGTATCCACAAACAATAAAAAAGGTGTGTTAAGATATTTATCATTTTACGACATTACCGAACATTTTTTAATTTAGTTACGTCTAAAAACCCATATTGTTTTAGAATTCATTATATATTTTTACATACACCATCGTCCGAAATTGTTAGTAAAAGTTGATATGGCAGCTCAAAAATTTTATTTTTTTTTATCAACAAATTTATCTTCCAGTTTGTTTTGATGTATTTTCTGAATGAATTGGCGGTGATTGAAGTGGCATCTACAACTGTTATTTAGCATTTATTTAATTTCAAGATTTTTTTTTTACAAAAATGGATCAGTTTTTTTATGGTAAGCTCAATTTACAAATTATTTTTTTCTTTATCTAAAAAAATAACTTCTCTTTTAAGGTACTACTCTTGATATTAAGACTCCATTAGCTACCTTTGAAAATGAAACCAATATCGAGGAAAATCTTTATAATGCGCAAAAATTAACTATTAAACGTATTATTCTAGATCCATCTGCAAAAGAAAATGAGTTCAATATTATTGAGGTAAAAGCTGCACAATTTCCTATGTTTTTATGTAATTATAACTAGTTATTATTAGGCAGAAACGCTAAACTGCGACTCGGAGAATATTAGAATTCCAATTGCTATATTGAAGGCCGGCGAAACTCGAATGCTCAAACCGAATATTGAATTTCCTAATAAAACAGTTTCATTTAAACTTATCAAAGGAAATGGTCCAGTCCACATTTACGGCAATGTAGCAACTGAATCTTCATGGCTGCAAGATGATTGAAGACAAATCAAATTCATTTAGTAATATTCATAATTGTAATAATAATAATTGTAATAAAGAAGCTAACAAATGATAAAAGAAAATTTAAAAGTTTAATGTTTGTATTTTTATATTTGAAAGTTTCTAATGCAAACTTGTTGAATATTTTTATATATGAGTAAGGAAATGTGCGTTAATTATTGCATTCGGGCTACAGATATTTTCTGACGAGGCACTCTGAAAATAGTTTTAGATTAGATATTTAAATATTGAAAAAGTTATACCAAATTCTACCTTATATGTATGACACGTCGCCTATCGCTTGGGTGTATTAAATCTAATTTTTGACTCCAATCAATTTGTTTCATTTCATGCCTTAATCTTTTCCGATCAAAGTACGAAATGACACAGCTAGCCGGAATCCAAAATATTGATGTTAAAACCACAACCGCCACTGCAACAGAATAATGCCAAAAACAACATTTTTAAAACTGACAAATTTACTTACTGACTATGTTGTCTTTTAAAAACCTCAGAACACGGTTGATGTTTATTTCTTCAATTATATCCCAAAACCTCTCGACGACGTCTTGAATTGTTTTTTCACATACGCCCTAAAATATTAATATGATATATTATATGTATGTATGTTACACATAAGTTCAATAAGTTATTGATATTCCTAAAAATTGTTTCATACTTTATTGCAAAATCCTTGTATACATGGTGTTCCGTCTGGCAAAACGTCTGGAGGTTCTACAGGAAAGCACGTCTCATTGATACTCATACGACAACAACTAAAGAAAACTCTTTTGATTATGATACTGGTAAAATTTGGATTTCACGTACCGTTTGCAGGCATCCTGAATTATGTCGCACATACAACTCTGCAATCCTTGCGTCTCGCAATACGGTACGCATTTACCGTTACGACATTGTCCACGTTCTTGACATATTGTGCCATCATCCATTGGTGGTGATTTTGGACATTCTGCAATTACACCCGTACAACGTGCTTCCTGTTCGCAAGTAGCATATTGAGCTTCCCGGCATTTCATGCCAGCTGGCATAAATTGACAATTCTGACAACATGGTGAATTTTTGTCACTACATACAGCACCTTGATTACGACGCAGTTTACAGTTTTTGTCACAGCATGCATCATTGTCTTCTGTTCCTAGCAGTCCAGCATCACATTGCTCGTCTCCCTCAACACGCAAGTTTCCGCAAAATGACTCTTCTGGTTCAGAGAAGCATCGACCAGATTTAGCTTGTAACACTTTACGTATTGAGCGTAGGGAACAGGGAGAAAATTTCTGTAAAGATTATATTTTTATTTTAGTTTTAATTTTTAAAAATCTGATAAAAACCTTGTTATTAACATCGTATCCGCTAACAGAATACGTATACATCAAGAAACTTCCACCTTGTGAAGCACTGGGTGAACATTCAGGTATATCTGGATCATGTTCGGATCCCCAGTTATGTCCAAATTCATGTGCAGTCACCAAGTCCGCTTCACGTGTTATTACGCGTTGTCCATAATGATTTCTCGAACTACTGAGACCGGAATTTAAGTAAAGGGTGTAACCATTTTTAAAGTATTCTGTGAAATATTAAAAAATGTTTTTTATTATCATAAGCTTACATTAAAAACAATTACTAAATATTAATTAACATAAAACTATACAATATTTTAATAAAAATTGAAACGAAACATCAAAAAACGTAAGGATTCATAATTTAAGTGAAGCAAAAACAATAGAAATTTTGCAACCTGGAGTGCATATTCCACCAACTGAATTTCGTCGAGGCGAACCAACATAAGCCAAACCTAAGATTCCGCCTTCAAATTTTAAGTCAGTAAAAAGATGAGCTAAACAAAAATCTTTATGACTATATTCCCGTGAAAAGACCTGCATTTTTAATGAAATTTTTGCAAGCACAAAAACAGGAAGAAATATTTATTGCGAATATTTTAAGAAAGCATATCTTGTCTAATAGTTTAACAAAAATTCTACACAGATACTGAAACTTACCTCCAAAAGGTTACGGACATCCCACTTTTCCCGAATTTGATTATAATGAGCTTCACCACCACGAAGTCGAGTGGGTTCAGAATGAACAACAATTTTTTTTATAACAAATCCCATACCCTTAAATCCCTCTTGATCCTGCAACAAAATTAATATTTAAATAACTGATATTATGAACAAGTTTTAAACTTACTGAACGATCTTGCCACACTGTATCATTATAAATCTTGTGTACACGGTCTATAAGACTTATCTATAAAAAATAGAATTTGCATTAAAATATTTTACGTTTGCATACAGATAATTTACCAAATAATTAATAGTAGTTTTTGTATTACTTCCACCCATTTCCTGAAAAAACCTGTAATCTGCTACCAATAAAAGCGGGCAACGTGTTTTGGTAGGAGTGTATTCATACTGGTCAGCCTGCCGTTTTGCACGTTTATGCACTTGTTTATGACTTTCATCTGTCAAATGACTACTTGTTTTGTGTTTATGATATATTTCATTCTCATTTTCGTCGAGAGTTTCTAATTCTGAAAACGTTTCATGTAAAGTGAATAAAATAAGTATAACTTTTTAATATTAATATTTTATCATTCTAGTTTAAAAACAATTATTAAATCACCTAAGCCTTCTTTTACGTAACCGCATGTTGAAGCCATGCCACCTAATTCATTACTTCCACGGTTCCAGTTAAGTTTCACATCCGAAATTTTGTATGCAACCATAGAACTGTTCCCAACAGTAGGTAAATGACGCCATGAAGGCTAAAATACAATTAACATACAATATTTTATAGAAAAAATAAGGTTTTTCTTACCTCTATATGATAAATTTCCTCTGGTAAATGTATTGACATTGTCATCAAACCATCCGCAATATGAGCACGTACTGATGACTCCATTTCTCCAAAAACTCTACCAGCATAAAAGTTATCGTGATCTATAAAACCAAACAATTGATGAACTTTTTTATTGCTGACGTCTTAAGACAAAATTATTATGACTATGATTATATTAAAATTAAGCATATATAAAATAATTATAATTGGGTTGATTATAGTCATTATAACATACCTAAATGGACAACAGTTTCATTGCCATCTCCATCAACTGAATATGCTTTAAAGTTGCTATGAAGTACTTCGCGATGTGGGTGTAATATTAGCCGAAAATTTTTACCCAATGTTTTGAATTCCACTTCTTTAATGACATTGTACGGATGTGAGCTTTGTTTAGCACCTCTTTTCACGATTTTGTGCGTCACAGAGTCTTTTGAGAGAACTTCGTAATGGCGCAATGTGCGATGTATGGTTACTTTAAATAAAATAGCGTTTATATGCAAATTTAATAAATAATTTGTTTGTTTCATTTACAGGCATTTTGTAGCAGCATTTCAGCAGATATAATATAAAACAAATAAAACTTCATGATTTGGAACTCCCTAAATATCACACACACGAAAAGTTTACTTAATCCCCTAAAATGCTAGTTTAGTCTATATTTCGAAGCCGTTTAAGTTTTCTTCTCTTCTACAGATAAAATCTTTCTTAAACAACAATAAACATTGCAAGTTCTTTCCTTTTTTCAAGTTTCCAATAACAAAAAAAGAATACAAAGGAAAAAGTAATCGAAAACGAAAAAGGTATACCATCCACACAATATCATGAAATATTTTCGAATTACACAACAAATTAAAATATTTTGCTTTCAATATGGTTTACAAAAACTTTAAAGCCACATAATTTTCTCTTAACATTTTATTTGCTTTTTCATAGCTGTCGTTCACATTGCTTTTCCAATTTGTGTCGTTACAAAACCGTTCACTATATGATATCATACAACAATCTGACGTCCAAAAGTGTGATTGAATCTTATATGGCATTTACATTCAAATGACTGATTTGGGTCAAAAATCACAAATGTGAAGGAGATGACTGATTTCTGCATACAAAATCTCATATGTGCAAATGAGATCCACACTCGCGCAATCGATCTCATTTTTTAGAAATGAGTTCCAACAAGTTGCAAATAAGTTCCAAACGCAAATGAATATATTGAACATACCTTAAGTAAAAGTTTTTCATGGCATTTTAACAGTTTGAGAAAACAATATTCGATAAAATGACAAAAAAATACACGTTTGAATGTCACTCTGTAAAGTTACAAGAAAAAACTGTCAAGTCCATCAAATAGTATATTAGTAAAAGAATACCCGACAGCTTCTTTTCCTACATTGAAAGTTTTTACTCTGGAAGCTCCTATATAAACGCCAAATCGAAGGCTAATATGTTACCTCCAAATAAATTAAAACTTTTATTAATGCCAATGAAACTATTTCAATTTTTGATTTCTTTAAATTTTAGTATAGTTCCATCGCGCAAATTGTCACTTAAAGTTGTAATGTCAATTTTTCTTTCGTGCAGAATTAGAACACAAATAATGTGTAGTGAAACTAAATAAGCTGTCATAAAACGCCAAATATCAAATGTTATTGAACCAACCGTTTTAAAAGGAAATTTCGACTCGGTTTCCAATAACCCGCATTACCATAATTTAACCAACTCATAAACCAACTTAACCGATGTCTTAAAGCTTACTACTTGTTTCATAAAATTAAAAATTTAAGTATCACCATTGTATATATATTCATTTGCTTTTATTTGTGCGTAGCAACACACGCAGAATATAGTTAGTACATTATAAAAAATAATTTTAAAGGTGTTTTAATAAAATATTTCGATAGTATTACAAACACGCTGTCAAGCCGAAACGTTAATAATAAAATTCTAAAGTTCTACACCGATATACAACCCTGTCACATATTTTATTTTAATTAGAACTTTTTATTGTTCAAACAAATATATAGTATTTTCTTATCAAAAAAAAAAACGGTAAACAAACAAATTGGGTAATCGCAGTTGACGTTATCTCTAAACAACATAAACATTAAATTGTAAGTGAGGTGTTTATTTTTATCGTGTTAGTCAGTAATAAGCTTAATAAGTGACGATACGAAATAATTGACTTAATGATGTATCCGTGCTTAAAAAATTTCAATAATTTACAGATGAACTATGATGGCATATTAGCACAAATAACAGATGAAAAATTGAACGTTTATCAAAGCCAAGCAAATGCTGTGGAGGAGCAAGGTGCTGTTGAAGAAGAACAAGTGGCTACTATACAAACAGTTCAGCAATCTCCAGCAGTTCGGTCTAAGAGCAACTCAGAAAGTTCCACGCCTCAACGTAAAATTTCTGCGTCTACTCGTTTCATGAACGCATTTCAACAGTTCTATACGGCCACTTCCAATTCAAATTCTGCACCTGCACCTGCACCTACCACACACATTGAGAACAATGATAGCGATACAGCAACCCTTGGTAGCAACCGTACACCTACTAAAAGTGGTACTATGGAATCAAAATTGTTATCGATGTGGCATAATGTAAAATATGGTTGGAGTGGAAAACTGAAATCGAATTTTTCAAAAGAGCAGCCGGTCTGGCTTTTAGGACGTTGTTACCATCGTAAATATACTCCACCTGCGTCACTGGAAACATCTGCTGATCTAACGAATTGCATTACATCAACTGCAAATGATGCTATTATATTAGATGGTACTACAACGCTTAGCTTTGATGGCAATATATGTGAAAGTATGCAACCAAACGTTTCATCACTCTATCCAGTTCTTAATCCACAACATATTGATGAAATTGTAGTACCACAAGAATTAGGAATGGATGCAGCTGAAAATCAAGGAGCCGATATACAGTGGGAAGAGAGTATTGAAGGATTTCGCCGTGATTTTTATAGCAGAATTTGGATGACTTATCGACGAGAGTTTCAAACAATGAATGGTTCCAACTATACATCTGATTGTGGATGGGGTTGCATGTTACGAAGTGGTCAAATGCTGTTGGCTCAAGGATTAGTTTGTCATTTTCTTGGAAGAAGTAAGTTAAAAATATTAATATATAATTTGTTAATTGGTTTGTAAAACTTTAATTTTACAGGTTGGCGATATAACGCTGATACTCAGTTGCATTCAACTTACGAGGATATCACACATAAAAAAATAATTAAATGGTTCGGAGATAGTTCTTCAAAAAATAGTCCATTTTCCATACATACACTAGTACGTCTAGGAGAGGAAATGGGTAAGAAACCAGGCGATTGGTATGGTCCTGCATCAGTGTCTTATTTGTTAAGGTAAGACTGCATATTTTTGACCCTTGAAATATATAAATAGAGTTTTATTTTTATTTGCAGGCGTGCCTTAAAAACTGCTGCTCAAGAAAATGCTGATTTCGACAACATTAATATTTATGTGGCTCGCGATTGCACAAGTAAGAATAAATATTAAAATTATTATATATGCAATAAATTGATTCGTTTTTCTTTATTAGTTTATATTCAAGACATTGAGGATGAATGTCGAATACCGGAACCAACACCACAGTTCGTGCCATGGCAAATGGCTCGCAAAATTCCTAAACAGGAAAGAAAGATGTGGAAGTCACTTATAATTCTAATACCATTAAGACTTGGCACGGAAAAAATAAATCCGGTATACGCACACTGTTTAAAGCTATTACTAAGTACAGAATACTGCATTGGAATTATTGGAGGAAGGCCGAAACACTCGTTATATTTTGTTGGATTTCAAGGTAAATCAATTTAATAGCTTGTATTATATTTACAAGTTCCAGAAAAATATTTTTAATTGCTTTTATAGAGGATAAGCTTATACATCTGGATCCGCATTACTGTCAAGAAATGGTAGATGTGAATATGGAGAACTTTCCACTGCACACGTTTCATTGCAAATCACCACGAAAACTAAAAACATCCAAAATGGATCCCAGCTGCTGTATAGGTTTCTATATTCCAACAAAAAATGACTTTGATCAGTTTGTGGAAAGCGTACAATTGGTAAGTAAATATAAACAAATTTTTAGAATAAAAATTCATTCATTCATCAGAATTCATTTTTTATTTTTAGTATTTACATCCAATGCGTTGTGCTTCTGGAACTATTGATAAGATTATTCCACCAGCACAACAACTGCCTTGTATGGCAACTAGTTACGACGGCAGCACTGCAGCTACACAATTTGCTGAAATGAATTATCCACTTTTTAGCTTCTCAAGAGGCCGATGTTTGGATCACGAAACAGATGAAATGAGTGATTCCCTATATAAACCTGTACAGGAGCAGATGGCACAAGTGTGTCAAGATAAATATTTAACCGATGATGAGGATGGTGAAACAGAAGAGTTCGTTTTATTATAAAGCAATTGAGTTTACAAGAATTTCGAATAATTCAACTATGATGGCTTAATTCTTTTTTTTTTAATGAAACATCCTTTTTTACATTTTACATATATTTTTTTCACATTTATTATTAATGGTAAAATTGTACAAATAATTTGACAGATAGTTTTATTATCGCCTATTTCACAACTACAGAAAAAGTTTAGTTTATTTCGGTTTTTAGTAACTAAATGTACCCTTAGTTAAACGATCCTTTTTGGGTCTTAATTACTTTAATATTAATAAACTCGTTCCTTTTTCGCTTTAAGCTTGCATATTTTCATAACTGCAGCCATCGCAAAGCAAAAAGTTGTCTTTGTCAATGGAATTACTTAATTTTCAAATTATTTAATATTCAAACATTTATAATCTAAATACACACATATGTAAATGTAGTTCGGAATCAATGCTTCTATTATAAAAGTATATTATACAAATACACATTTCTGCTGTAATTTTTGCCAGTAATTTAAAATATTGATCAGAAAAATTGTTTCAAAATTTGTCTTACATTAAAATGTGATGATCATTTAATTACATGCCACATATATGATAATTTATTAAGAAAATAATTAATTTTTTTTTCTTTCATTTTTATATTTATAATGCCTTGATTTACATTTAAATATTTAGTTTTATTTTAGGAATCCATATTTTATGTGATAATAAATATCATCTGATGTACATAAAATATACTTGTAAGAACAATGATTATTATTAAGTATGATTCACTGTTATTGTTGTTAACGTATTTTATTATTAACAAATTTTTCCATATAATTTACTCATTACTCATAACTTATATTTAAATTTACTTGTTTCAGCTTAAGAGTTTATTACACTAATAAATATGAAAAGTTTAAAACTGGTATGCATATACTGATATATATATTATAAATATGTTTTGTTTTTTTAAGCTTTACGATCTCTTTCCTTATTAAAATAATGTAATTTTCAATCCCATATCCTTATACAATAAATAAAAAAATAATTTAATAAATATATATAAAATCAGTCTCAATTTTTAAATTTTATTGTAATTATTAAATTAGTACGAAAGTGCTGACTTAAAGCAAATATAATTCCAACTAAATATTGCCATGCACTAACATAATTCAATAGCTCACATATATAAAATCTAGAAGATAAATATCTGGAGTACCCGTATAAAGTTCATTACCATTTAAATAATATAAAATTATATTTATATACAATAAATATAAAAAAAAATTTAATACTCCACAAAAATTCGAGTCTAACAGGAAGGAATCTGAATTGTTCTAAAATTTTAAAATAAACTTAAGTTTATTAAGTAACTGTCGACTATTATTATTGTTATCGTGACTCATATTAAAAGTAAATGACTAAATAATGAGTATTTTTAAAAAGATCACAATTTTTTAAATCATTTCAGTATATAGTTACAGATATACATATAAATAAATTTTACAAACTTAGAACTAACACAACGAGATAATCATTAAGGATGTGTTTCGTTTCAAATGTTAAGTAACTTCAAAGTATTCCATTTTCTACTGTCACAAAATATTTTTAGACCTATTAATAGGTCAAGCACATATTTTCTACTTAAAATTAAATAGTTACACACTTACAAACATACAGACAAACATTAATTACATTTATAATATCATTATTTAAGTTTTAGTTAAAAATATTAGAAATTTACTTGAAATATTTTAGATAAAATTGTTCAGCAAAGCGATCTGTTGTTAAATAAATTATTTTTTTATTTTTTCCCTTCCTTTATTCGAAGAGTAAAAATTTTAACTATTTGATATTAGCTTCACCTCAACCCACCAGAAACTGAATTTTCTGTCTACGTTGAAAATTTCACTTATTTAATCAATATCAGATTTGGAGTGTTTTATTCGGTTGTTAGTACGCAGTATATATTATAATAAATTTTAAAAAATAATAAAATATAACTGGTGCTAGTTGTGAGATCTTATACTATGTTTACACTCATTACTCTACGGATGTTGGTAAAGGTAGTGCATGTACTCTTCTAAGTTAAGATAGAATTTCACATAAACTTTCATATTTTTCACGAGGAAAACAGACCGCATTCCCGCTTAAAATTTATCGTATTTCAAGTGATCCTTATAATTTTTATTTTAATTTTTTTTCAGTTTAACTATTGATAATTCTATTCTTCGAAATTTGGGCAATGAAACTTCATCAGATTGGTGATAATCAACAATCGCTCAAATCTACTTAATGTTACTTGTTACACAAGATATAAATAATTTTTTTTTCGCGATAAACTTTCAATAAATAAATGTGTTCTGATGATTATAAAATAGATCTACAGTTCTTAATGATGCTAAAAATTCGTTATATTTCTCCTTATGTTTTATGTGTTAGGTAAAATTTTTCTATTGCATTTTTATATTAGATTTATGGAAATGCGAATGTTGTGAACTCGCTCGCATTCCCTGAGAGTCATCCCAAATTTATGTTTATGGGTAGGTGAAAACAGTGATTTATTGGACTAGACTATATAATCCTTGAGGATTTTACACCTTGTCAGAGAGTTTACTGTTTAATTTTTTTTTATCCTTGCTCTTACATTTATTACGCGTTTTAGGTTTCCATTTGCCAAAAGTCACGGAAATTCCTTTAAAATAAGAAATTATTGTGTTATAATGTACTATTTCTTTGAACGATTAAGTAAAAATTGTAAGGTGTAAACTCTCTAATGCTAGTCCACATTCAGTAAAATATAATACAGGATATTACTGATGGGTCACATAAACACCTACCAGTTACGTCTCATTCGGTGTCCGTTAGTTGAAGCTCATCGTTTAGTTTGCGTTTTAGTAATTTTGTTAAGTTTTCATGAGCTGTACTATCTACTCCAGCATTGCATTGTAAAGCATGCTGATAACTACTGATAGCTAAATCAATTTTTCCCCAACGATGATATAAAACACCAAGATTAGTGTGGTATAAATGATTGTATGGTTCCAGTTCAATAATTTTCTTATAAAGCAGTTCTGCTTGAACATAATGTTTAAGCTTTCCGAATGCATTGGCGCGTATAAACATTATTGCGGTTTCATTTGGCATATGTTTAAGCGCCTCACCAGTAACACGAATCGCATCTTCAAATAAACCACGATTATCAAGCATAGTCAGAATATTAGCCCAAGCCTTTGATTGACGCGGATTAATTGCAACTGCTTGTTGCCAATGATGCATAGCCTCTGTATAAAGATTTTGATCAAGATAGAGATTTCCGATATTATAATGACAGATACCGTAATTTTTTCGAAACTTAAGCGCTGTTTTATAGCTTGACAACGCTTCCTCAAACTCATTTCGAGCTGATTGTATTATACCTAAATTCATCCAAGCAGCCGGAAATTCGGGCATAGCTGAAATTGCTGCTCTTATAAACTTTTCAGCAGTATTAAGATCTCCTTTCTCACGATACATGTTTCCAAGATTCATCAAGGCTGCTTCATACTCTGGATACAACTCAACAGCTTTGTGATAATGATACATGGCTTTATTGTGCTGCTTTTTATCGGATGCAAGCCTGGCAATATTGAAATGAACTTTTGCATTATTCGGGCATACTTTCAAAGCTGATGAAAATAATTTCTCCTCATTTTCCCATTCGCTCGCTCGTTCACGAGTGCGTACAATAAAACAAATACAAAGAAACATTAGACAAATTTTTAAAGTAAGCACAATAAAATTTCGTTGTATGCTCCTCTTTAACTTTATAAATGAGTATGCTACTAAAAAGCAGAACCCAATCGATGGCACATATAAAACACGTTCGGCAATAACAAATCCAACTCTTATAATGCCCGATGCTGGTATGAATGGTATTACTAGCATTCCCACACCGAGCATGATGCCAAAGTTAGGTTTATATTTTATGCAAGCCACTATAACAAAAGAGTATAAAGCCAGTACTGATTGTAATCGCAAGTCCCAAATACTGGTTATTAAATCAATACAGCCAATTGCCCAATCAAAGCATAACCACGTTGGGCAAAATAATATCCATAGATTAATAACGTAAAGGAATTGTTGCGTTAAAATTTTAGTTAGCAAATCCCCACTGAAGGCAAGCGGATTATCCATTGGCTTAAATTGAGGGCTTTCAAAATTTTGTATAGCAAACCTAAAAATAATGAGTAAAATTGTTGCAGCCCCATATCCTAAATAGCGCAAGTTTAACACCATTCGTAATTGCTGTTTAAGAGGTTTCATATACACACGAGTGCATAAATAATCGAGGAACACACAAGTCAATGGTATTGTTATTGCGGTTTCTTTAAAAAAAATTCCAATGAATGTGAGGCTTATAACTAGTATATCTGCAACAACTTTCAAATGCTTTCTTAAATGTGTAAGCTGCATTGCCATCAAATATATGAAACAAAACATAAGTTCTGCTCGTCCAACAACTCCACAAACAGCTTCTGTATGTACCGGGTGTATAGCAAAAAGCGCAGAAGTTACGGTAGCCTCTTGCTTGAATTTTAGATTGTAAATTAAACGCCATATCAACAATGTGTTGATACAGTGGAAAAAAAGGTTAATAGCTTTCATATGTTTGGCGCGTAGGCCTTGTTTATATTCGAAGTGGAACATTAATGTAGTTAACGGACGATATGATTTATGAGAGTCGACATCCTTTAGCGGGGCGCCCCAAAAATCGTGTTCAAAAATTGCTGTTAAATTGGTTGGAGTTTTAACAACGTCCGGATTTTTTTCAATTGCTACGGTATCATCGAACACAAAAGCACCATCAAGAGAGTGTTGATAGCAGGCTAAGCACAATATAACGAGAATTACTTGAGCTAACATATCTTTGGATACATTTTCTTCAAGTCTATGCAAAAAAGTAAATCGCGGTACATCCTTTTGCCTTGGTCTGGGTCTCATTTTGTTGAAATCAAGATTTTAATGTTGTTTCGAAGAATTTCAGATATTACTTTATTTATTATTTTAAAACTTTCGCTTGTTTAAAACTTTTTTCAACATTAAACACTTTTGCAAAAATTTTTCATTTACACTCTATTGTTGGTACAATACTTTTCTGAACGTTGCCACCTAATTGGTAAGCAAATTTCTGTAGTGCTATGGTGTTCCCATACTTCGCAATTATGATTGAATTTGTAAAGTATATGTAAGGTATATTATTAATTAATATTAATAAATATAGTATTTGTTATTTGTTATATTAAGTAAAAAAATATTTTAATAATTTATATTTAAACTATTTAACCTGCAAAGTATATTATATATTGTGAACTCATAAGCTCATGAACTTATAATAGTACTCATACATTACCAATTTCTTGTTTAGTCATTAAAATATGGCTACTTTTTGTTAGAGTTTTAAGTAAACATACATCAGATGTATTTTTTTATATATTATATCAATTCAACAAATAGAAATTAAAGTCGGTGGGTTGTGTATTGAATAAAATAATATGAGTGCAAAATGCGATGATTGTGAGAAAAATTCCAATGACAAGTGCCTTCAATGTATTAAAGATCAAGAAAATCAAATTGTAGTTAAAGAAATATTACAAATATCAAGAAATCGTAAAGCCACAAGAAATTCTAAGAAATGTAGAAAGAAAACTCCAAGTACACAACATATCCAAAAATTACAATTGCCAAATGGCGATGTTCAGTATCGCTGCATTTGTGGAAGGACTTTTAATAGTAGAACACAACAATATTATCATTTGCGGTGTGGTGACGCGTCAGTCAAGAAATTTATATGCGACAAATGTGAGAAGGTACTATTTATATGCACCATTTACCATTTATCTATTAGCTTCGTTAATCACCTCCTTTTCAGGACTTTGCCTCCCGTTCTCATTTAAAATACCACTTGGAAACTCATAATTCTGAGTCACATGTATGCACAGAATGTTCCAAAACTTTTATGAACCAAATCGTTTTGAAAAAGCACATGAAACTGCACAAATCAAGTTCGGTGAAGTGCAGCGTATGCTTCAAGATATTTCGTAATAACGAGACACTATCGACTCACATGAAACTACACAGTGATACCTTTTCATTTCAATGCCATATTTGTCAAAAAAAATATGCAATAAAATCATCATTACAACAGCACATGCTTAAGCACTTAGGTAATTTCAACAAAAAAACTAAAAAATTTTAATTAAACATTATATTTGTTATTTAGAAAAGAAATACGTTTGCCATTGTGGAAAACGATTTCAAAGAACTTCAACGCTGAAGACACACAAAAAAAGACATCTTAGTAAAGAAACTTTTTTTTGTAAAATTTGCTTAAAAAACTTTACGGATATCGGATCATTATCACGTCATGAAAAAATACATTCTGGTAAACAATTGCTTAATAAAATTTTGTGTTTCATGCATATGATGATACTTTTTAATTTTTATTAGATTCTGTTAAATATAAATGCCGGCATTGTGATATTTTAACCAAACGCAAGGACAACATGTTACGCCATGTAAGAAATATACACTTGGGGGAACAATTTTCTGAGTGTGTTATTACCATAAATCCCGAGCCGACAATGGAGACTGATGAACCTTATGATTCTTCCTTATTAGCAAACAAAATTAAATCTGTTAGTGAAGAAATTAATATCCCTAAGACTGTTAGAAATAGTTCTGTTATTAAATGTATAGGTAATGTGGAACCTGTTAAAATACCAGATGAAAATTCTGATGAATATGCACTTGAACTGACCTATGAACCTTTAAAAAACGTAAATTTAAGTAAAATAGAACCGGAAAAGAAGGCACACCGTTTAAAAAGAAAATACGATCAAATTGAAAGATATCGAAAAATTCTATACCCTGACGAAAATGACGAAGAAGATGAAAACCATGAAACTATTAAAGTTGACCAGATGGAAACATGTAGTATAAACCAACCTGAAGATTCAACACAAAAAACACATGAATTTGCACAGCGCCCCAATACTTCGAATTTTAGTGAAATGCATTGGAGAAAAAAATATCAAGAAGAATACCAAGAAAACTAGAAAAATCACAGTGATTTAATGTATGTCATATGATCATGATTTGATTGTCGATTTTCTGGTTACAAATGCAAGCTAATTGTGTCGCCTAAATTTTATATTACATTCAAGCGTTTATGAAATAAATATAAGGGAACAAGCGGAGGAAAAATAAATTAAATTATATTTTTAAGACAATTGTATTTTCTAATGTTGTAGTGCTATAAGTAATACCCATTAGTTTTAGTAAAAAACAATTTCAGCAACCTTTTATCTTATTTTATTTTTAAAAAAATGATATATTAAATGCTTTTTTATGGCTATAGAATAATTAACTACCACTGCGAAATTAAATAATACGATTTTTCATATCCAGTTTTTTTAAATACAAAACTAAGAAAATAAACATTAGTTATCTGACATGTTTTATTTTAAACTCGTGTGTTATCCTATCGTGGGCACTTCCAATTGACAAACTAGCGGTTTTTTTATTGTAGTCAAATTGTGCTTCCACTTGGAAGCTGTAAATAACACTTGGGAATCTCATGTATTTTCATTATTTTACATAACAATTCCCTAAACAATACCATGCCTTTATCACTGTTTATTGTAATTAACAAGTTTTCAAATTAAAATAGAATCCAATGATACAATTTTTCTGTTATTATATAGTTTGATTGATAGTGCGAATATTAGAAGTTTACTATAACATATATATTGTATTTTTGTTTCATATCAATTAAAATTATTTAAAACAAATTTGGACTATTGCCATATTTCCGCTTATTGATCACGTAATAAGCGTGCAGATTGTTTTCTAACATTGACAATGAAAATGTGTACATAATTAAATTTTGTTAAGTTTTTATTGAACACACGTAGAGCTAACACTGAGAACTTAGAATGTTATCAGAGTCTTATATATATTATCTTACAAGTGAGGATACTAGAAACTGGCGGCAGCTATTGAAATTTGGAAAAACTCTTGACATCAATGAAAGACGTAAATTTTTATGGTCATGGCCAAACGAAGGAAATTTACGAGAGTTTCAACTAGTTCTAAAGCAATTGAGTATAGACACATTACTAAGTATTGGTTGTGGTAATGGCTTACTTGAGTGGATTTTAAAGCAAAGCATTGGTAACCTTTTTTGAAAAATTATTGTTAATTTTGTTAAACACTTTTATTTTTAGGTGTTAATGTTTTCGGTTTAGAATTTGATCGAGCCTGGTGGCAGAGTAAATATGCTATAAGAAGCTTCATTCCATTAAACTTCTATGAAGATTTAAAGCAGACAAAAAGTGAAAATGATTCAAGGAATATGTTACTAGAATGTTGCCCAAGGTTAGAGTGGAATTTTGCATTACTTTTTTGTTATTTTAATAACAGAATAGCATTTGCAAACTACTTAAATATGTATAAGGGGAACTACATTATAATAATTGGTCCAAACTCAGATTCCAACATACACACAAATCCCAGTGCTCTGGAACCCAATTTTCCAAACAATGAATGGCACTTGCATGTTACTTTGAAATTAGATGAGAACGACGTAGTTGCATTTTATAAGAAAATAACAAAAAATATTGCTTAATATAAAATTTACTTAAAGTTGTGTATGTCGCAAATACATTTTTGAGGGAAATAAATAAATTTTTTAAATTGTTAATTTCTGTTTACTTCTATATGAAATTTACAAGCTGGTATGGACTGCACCTCTGCTGTTACCGTACTGTTGATCCCCAAATTGCTTAACGCACCACGAACTAAACCGCAGGTAAACGCCACGAACTATATGTATATATATATAATTAAAAAATAAAGTTTAGATTGATGAAATTTATGTTGTCACCTTTGGTGCGTGCTCTAATTGTTGCGAACCAGTTGAGATTCGAGTAAGAAATCGGAATGCTTTGTCTTGGACAACGTATGTGCCATGATTATTAGTCCGTAGATTGTCCACTTGTTTTTTATAAATCAAAGTCCAAAAGTCAGTGCAAATGAATTTCATTGTTTCAAGTTCATCTTTAAACCGAGGAGCGTCTCGTGTAAGTCTCTCAATTAATCTATATCCAGTAGTAAAACCAATATATTCTAAAGTGGATAGATCTACATGCTAAAATAGCATTGTAAATTTTAATAGGCTGAATTTAAAAATTAAATACTTGCTTTATTATTGCTGGCTATACAATAGTTTACAATTTCGGCATGTAAGCAATCAAACACAATATCCTCGCACATATTATATTTTATTTTATTATTGTTACTGCATTAATATTGTCAACCTTACTTTAAAAACAGAAAAGCGGATCAGCTGATAAAGTGAAGAAATTATTCAGAAAAATATAGAAGGAATGATACTCTTCGTCTTGTTAGATTCATTTTGAAGAGAGTTACAGAGAGTATGTTTACAATGTTGCAACTAACTTGACATATATGAAACATTGTGTCATTTTTATACTGATAAATATATAAATATATAAATTATAAATTTATATTGAAATATAATAATGTAGTTTGATAATTTTGTCAACATATTAGGCATTTTCGGTGGCTCACAAGTATTGTAAAAAACGCATGTTGGCCTATATTCGCTAAGGGCCGTGTTATGTTATGGTATTTTATTTTAATCATTTTCAATAGCGACCTAACTCAAATAAATTGCTCTAACAATGGTAATGGGAACATACTATAAGCAGGTAATATGAATATTTGTGTACTCCCAGATTAAAACAAAATATATTAGGGGCATTCAGGCAACTGGTTAGTTGCATAGTTGATTCAAAAAATTTTGATGTTAATCAGTTGCTTGAACGACCCAAAATGCGTAATCTGATTAGTTTGTTGTGTGCAAATGCTTTGGCAGCACTCGTATCAACAGCAACAACGAAACGTATGTTAACAGTGAAATACTCAAATATTCGTAAATTTTAATATCATTTAAATTTATCATATAACTAAAATTGCAAACGTGTCATATATCAAGAAGTAGAATATTCAATTTTATACTTTTTAATTATATTTTAACCCTTTAAAAATTATAGTTTTACTGAATTTTATTTATTAATTTATGTTATTATTTTTGCATTTTCTTTTTAAGACACCATATGCTTATAGCGGCGACACTTGGTACTGGCAGTACTATTAATCAAATTTTCACTAATCTGAGAATATTCGAAATAGTAAATTCTCTGCTTATGTTAGTTTCTTTTTTGTACGCAAATTTTTGTTGTAATCAACTACTAAGCACCTAATCAGTTGCTTGAATACCCCTATTTCTTTTTAAACTTATATGGCGTTTACATTGGCCGAAAATGGCTCATTTTGAATGAGCCATTTGAAAGTCTTTACATTCGTTGTAATTCGTTTGTTGTCATTTCAAACAGCTGATTTTTTAACTTCCCTGCTGATTTGATTAAGGTTAAATATGCTTTCAAACCTTACAATATAAACTTAAAACATATTTTTAACTTCGATTAATTACTTTTTGGGAAGCAGAAGTTCTAAAAAGACGAGCATCATTTTCAAGAAAATGCAACCACCAAACATTTGTTTACCCTTGTTTGTAAATATGTCAAAAACATATTTTTCAAACTGTCAAAATGCCATGAAGAGCTTTAATTTAGGGTATGTTCAATGTATTCCTTTGAATTTGGAACACATACGAACGTCGTTGGGAAGCATTCATACAGAATGTGATGGAATGGCTCATTCACGCTTGAAATTTTGTATGCAAAAATGAGCCATTCGTTTCTCATTTTCGATTTTTGACTAAAATGAGCCATTTTCGGCCAGTGTAAATGCCATATTAGACACAACTGTAATTACCATTTGTCATACGATTCTTTGTTAAACATGGCTTTAGCTTGGAAGGGTGAAAAATTATATATATATATATATTTGTTTTTAATGTTAAAAGAATATTTTTAATTAAATTTTATTTTTTCTTTCTTTTAACATAAAGTAAAAATTAATTTTTATTTAGATCATTTGATGATTTGAAAGTGTACTTTGAAGCTCCTGTTTGGGCACTGAACACAAAATCCGTATCCTGTATGGCTTTATGTTCCTTTTGGTGTCATAGTGCATTCGATTGATGATTTTATCACATACTTGTGCATTAACATTAGCATTACATTTGTCTTAAACTATTTTAGTATCACTTAAAGCCATCTTGGTGATCTATACAGGTGGTCTATCCTACTTCGATACGTAAGCTGGTATAAACATTAGTAACAGAATTCGTGTTCGTGTTTTTTCGTATACAATCGGATTTTTGTCAAACTATATTCAAAATTTTATTAATTTTAAGGAATAGAAGCGAAAACAAATGTATGCCTGATTTTATTTTATGCATATTTGTTATTTTTTTGATGGGGCGTGTTCAAAATAATGTTGACTGTTTTGATATGCAATAGTAAGCGACAACAGAAAACTTTGGTAAACAAATCTCATGTGTAATACGCGCTTTATGTTCTTAGTTTGTACATTACTTGTGTTTTACTCGAATTTTACTACGAGTAGCTCGTGGAACAGACCTACTAGTACTTGAGGAATAGAATTTTATAAGAAAGTGTGAATTGCGATGAGAAATGAGTTTTTGTTTGCATGTAAGCAAAATTTTTTTCACAAACAAAAAATACCAAAAAATGACAGCAAAAACATTTTCTATATGTATAAGTTTCATCAATTTTTTAATAGCATCGAATCATGAATAATATTTAAATCCACTAAATACGGTAAACTGTGAAAAACTGTGTATTAAAACTAAGTTTTAATTTTCAATATTACCCAAGTATGATAATATCTAATGTTTAAAGAGATAATATATAATTAAAAACTCAACCCTGCATTGTTGAACTAAGTACTGAAACATGTTTTTTTTATCGATAACTTTAAATGACATCCCTAATTTCAAGTAATTTGACTTCGAAGTTTCAATAACAGTTATTAAAAGCGATAACATTGAGAAATTAGTGTTAAGCGGAAGATTTGATTAAATAATTTAAAAAATTTTTTTGTAAAATCAGAGAAAATGGCAGATCCATTCCAAAAAGAAATATATAATATGGAAATATTAGTAAAAAAGAATGTTGTAAAACTAATAGAAATTTGGACTGAAATGTTTTCCGTCGAAATGTGCAAAGGCGAATTAAGTAAACTTGAAAAGCACATGGAAATATTTTTTGACAAATTTGTAAATGAGTCTGAAAAAGCAGAAGAAACCATGAAAAAAGAAATAAGCTACAAGAAGCATTTTGAGGAGCTTGGAGTAGAACCGCGTCCACTTTTGCAAGACCCTTTGCCATCAGAACAGTAAATTGTTGATTTCCGTGAGCATTTAAAGAAGCTTCAAAGTATGATCTAAAAAATATTAATTTTTATATTAAATAAAAAAATAAAATTAAAATGTTTAAAAATGTTTTATTAATATCCAAAAAAAGAGCAAGAGCCATGTTTAACAGAGAATCGTATGACATATGGTTACTTCAATTGTGTCTAAGCTTAAATAATAATAATATTATTTACAAACTTAATATACTCACCCTAGATTTTTCCTTTGATTTGGGTGAAATGCGGAAACGACTGAACATACCATCGGTACTACCAGACGCAGTAGTGCTGCTGCCGCTAGTATTTGGACGCTCTGCCGGTGCAGAGTTGGTCGCACTAGCAGTAGTGTTATTTTGCTCTTTCTTATCTTTATTATTGTGACTGGAGGAGGACGAAGAACTCTTATGGAAGAAACTAGACAACGATTGTATAAGACTTTTTCTTCGTTCTGGATCTTTTGGACGCCTACTTGATTTTGTTTTTGTGTTAGCTTGCGCACTTGTAGAGGAGAGCAATATATTTGGATCCAAATTGAAGTCTGCTGAATTCGCTACTGTTGCAGTTAAATGATCTTCTGTTCTGGCATTCTGTTGATGATTAGCTATAAAGACTAAATCATTCACACTTTTCGATGTACTCATCTTACGATCACGTGCACTTAGATCGTGTTCTACGTTTGCCTTTGGTTTTGTATGCATTTGATTGCCTGTTTTAGACAATTTTGCTTAACATTTAAGTGTTCCACTTGTAAACATTTACGTAATAATTGCATTTTCTCTTCAGGACTTAAACCTAGCTCAGTATTTGATTTAAGTCGAGCTCGAGCACGTGCTTTATTACGCAGATTTTCTGTTGATGTTAATGGATTTTCAACAGGTGGTGTCGTGACTGCTGCATTGCGTCCACGATTTTGTCTAACTGGTGCAATTGGTATAGGATATTTAATATCTTCAGCTGTTGATAGTTCTGTGGTGTTATGCTTATTGTTGCTGCTGCTATATGTGAATGAAGGTGTTTTATTCAGCTTATACCGTTCTAAGGCATCTAATTTTTCTTCATGTATGTGCTCACTAATAGGTCTTTGTTTATAGGTATTTGATCGATTAGTAGTCATAATACCACCAGTGTTGTATGCCGAAACATATGTTGCTGAGGTTTGTATAGAAGTATTTTATTTGAAGGCAGTGCTAGTAGCGGTAAGTACGCGCTGAGAGTTTGTACGATTATATGCATTACTTGCTGCCGTTGATACATGGTAATGCGCTTTGTTTGTGCAATTGTTGTCATCTGTCGATTTTGCTGCTTCTATTTTCGGTGTAGAACTTAAACTTGATCCGCTGCCATAGCCGCTTGTGAGCATATTGCGCTGACGACTGCGATGTAAACGTTTCTCAACATTTAATTGTTTTTTCGACTGTAGTTTATCCATGACTAAGTCATGTATCAGGTCCTTTTGTTTAGTGCGTTCTTTGGTTATTTCCTCCAGCTTTCGTGTTAATGTTGGTATTTCAGGTATCCTGTTTACATGTGTTGTGCCGATTGCAGGTGTTGTCATTGTTGTAGTCTGAAAATCGTTTAAATTTTGCTTTAGTCTGTTTGGCGGTGTCGGTTCTATCACAGTTTGTTGCGAATTTTTAGAAATTGCTAGGACAGGTGCTTCACCTTTGGAACTTTTTCTTCGTTGTTTTCGAGATTCTAACGAATCTCTTGCTGTACTAATTTGTGTAATTTTTTGTTGTAGTGCACGCACATATTTATAGGAAAGTTCATCCGAAAGTTTATTTTGTGCATTTTTCACACCCGCAACTGAACCATTACTGTGAATTAGTGCGGAGTTTTCTTGTGATGATTGGCGTGATGGCGTAGGTTTACTTGACATTGTGTTCGATGTGCTAGAGGGTGTGCAAGTTGATTGTGATGTCTTAGATTGTTTTTCAGAACTGCTTGGTGTTGAACCTCCACCAGTTTCCGGAATTTTGCCTGCTATACGTTGCGCAGCTGTTGGTTCATGCATTTTTGCAGAAGAAGAATCAAAAGGACTAGTAACGACAGTGAGTCCATTATT